GTTTTTAACATATTTGACCCCTGTGACCTTGAATATGGGTGAAGGTCATTCATTTGAACAAACTTTGTAGCCCTTCATCTCAGCATGCTACTGGCCAAATATCATCACCCTGGGCATCTTGGTTATTCAGAAGAAGTTGTTTAAAGTTTTTTTTAAGACAATTGACCCCTTTGACCTTGAATATGGGTGAAGGTCATTCATTTGAACAAACTTGGTAGCCCTTCACATAAGCATGCTACTGGCCAAATATCATCTCCCTGGGAAGTTTGGTTATCAAGAAGAGGATGTTTAAAGTTTTTAACATATTTGACCCCTGTGACCTTGAAAATGGGTGAAGGTCATTAATTTTAACAAACTTTGTAGCCCTTCATACCAGTTTGCTTCTGGCCAAATATCGACACCCTAGGCCTTTCGGTTATTAAGAAGAAGTCGTTTAAAGTAAAATATTGACGCCGGACGACGCACCACGGCATAAGCTCACTTGGCACTTCGTGCCAGGTGAGCTAAAAAGCAAACATGTGGTTCACAACCCAGTGATCAGTTGAAACATAATCCGTCATTATGATTTCTAAATGTAATGTAGACTTGCTAAAATAAGATTTTTTCAAAGTTTTGTCTGGTTAGTATTTTGTTTAAACTTTTAAAAGCTCTACTGAATAACAATATGCTTCCGATATTGTTTTTACTTTATATCCCAGTAAAGAAATGATTTCATGAATTTACCATAAAGTTACTAAGTTTCCTCTCATTACAGGTATCTATCACAATTGAACAAAAAGATACTTACAAACTCTTTTTGCTCATTCGCGATTGTATGTACCTGTACATGTGTGCTCTAGTTCAAAGTCAAGAATATCCTGCATTCCATCGAAAGAAATATGTAAAAAGTCAAATATTGATTTTTTTTCAATCTTAATGCAGTGTATTCAAAGTGCGATAGATTTAATTTATATATAATATCCATTATCCGGCCTAGCTATCTAGGCCTATTATTTAAGAACAAAAGCTGAATGTTGAATGATAGGCCACTATCTGACTTTGCAACGGCAATACACTGTAAAAAGGGTTGAGCACAAGGCCCCTCAACCTTGGCAGTCCCAGACGCTGCGAGTACTCTTGCTAAGAGAATAAAATATAAGAGCCTGAAAAAAATCATTTTTAAAATTCCAATCAAAAGGGGTTGCTTTGAGTTTTGTATAAAAAGGGTTGATCACAATACCGGGATGAAAATTGAAAATAAATGTTTGCTGTTAACAAAATTCTACATTTAAATACATGTCTTTTATAACATAAAAACCACTTGGTCGGTCTTTTTTCTATCGCATATCATTTTGCCGACTGCGATCTCGCCGTGTAAACCTCTAACACTGTTGGAGTAAGCCTGGCGCCTGTGAATAATTTTCTTAATTCCGAAATTGAATAATTTTGACAAAATTAAATTAAATACTACAACCATAAGAAAAAGAAAGAGTTTTCCTATCCTTACGGCCATATATTTTTGGGACCTAAGAATTTGTTACAGCTATATTTGGACTAGTACTAATATTAATAATCCGACCTCCTCTGCCCTGGCCGGACGACGCAATATAAAACAATTCTCTCGTCGTCAGAAAGCTACGTTATCGCATCTATATTTGGACCTAAAGTAAGGTATTCAGAGTAATTTTACATGTTTTAGATGTTTAGATCGACTTTCGGTAAAAATGACACCTCCATGTACCGAAAGGTGATCTAAACCCTGAACATGTAAAATTACTCTGAACACCTTAGTTTAGGTTCAAATATAGCTGTAAAAAATTCTCATGTCCCTGTGGCTTTTTCTTTACTCGAGCCGAAAACTCAGCTAAAACTGTCACTGTTAGTGATGTGACATGTCCTATGAACCACACACCTGCAACACGTTGTTCAAAAGTTTTAGCTTCCTCGGGACTCTTTCCCCTGTGTCTCCACTTCCATCTCTGTCTGATTTGCTGTTTAACCATTCTAACATCTGCACGCAGAAAATTTCTAACACATGCCGACCCAACTCGTATGGAGGCCGCCATCTTGTTTGACCTTGAGTTAGCTCCCCTGGAAGAGGCTAGTAGGGCCCGAAGTATCATAGATTGTTCCATGCAACATCAGGCTTAACCATTTTTTTTTTTTTTATCGAATTGGAATTACTTAAATTTCACAAGGTCCATTAAGGAATATTTTTTAACTCAAAATATTGGAAAATTTCTTGGAATAAATGAGCAATTAATTTGTTAAATCCATGAGTCAAGTCCTTTTGACTGCATGCTTAAAAAGGCTATTTGATCAATAGCTGAAACAATACCTTGATACATTAAACAAAAAGCGGTTAACACATTTCTTTTTATTCTAGAAAATGGAAGAGGTTTATTATTCTTTTTCAAGTCATGAACCAACTACATTTTTGATAGAACTTTTACTAAATATATATAATAGCAGTGTTGTATCAATTACAAACTCCACAACCACACATTACACAAAGTAGAAACAAGCAAATACTTAGGACTAACACTACAAAACAACCTACGATGGGACAAACACATAAACAATATCACAGCCAATGCCAATAGGTCCCTAGGTTTTCTCAAACGCAACCTGAAAATAAACTCACCACATATAAAAGAATGTGCATACAAAGCACTAGTTAGGCCTAAACTTGAATACTGCTCTTCCATTTGGGATCCACACAACACAAACCAAATTAAACAAATAGAAAAAACACAACGAAGAGCAGCACGCTACGTACAAAACAGATACCACAACACTAGTTCCGTAACAGACATGATCCACACACTTCAATGGCCAACACTACAAACACGACGCTTATACACTAGAATTATCCTTTTTTACAAAATTATACACAGAATCGTAGCTTTAAACCCAACACATATACTCACACCTGTAGACCCCCGCACCAGACAGGTACACCCGTACGCATACAAACACATATCTGCTACAAAGGACACCTACAAATACTCATTCTTCCCACACACAGTAACACAATGGAATCTCCTCCCCTTAGCAGCAGTCCAATGCACAACACTAGAGGACTTCAAGGCACACTTACCCTACACAGCCCTTGAAGCCCTCATCACACACTAGTACATACACCAGATTTTAACTTTTATCTATACCTTGCACAAAAAAAAATCACAACCCCCCCCCACCCCTAATCACTATAAATAACCCCTTCACGCCTCTACAATAGGATCCCCGATGGCATAATCATCAAACTGATGGAGCCCTCGTATATAAAGAAGAAGAAGAATTAAATTAATTAATTAATATTTTTTTTCAATTGCTGGTATAAAATTATACACAATTCTGAATACTATGCTTTTCTGTAAATACTGCACATTTTTCAATGCATTAAACGTATGGAATTACATACATATTTGATGCATAAAATGAATGGGCTGGGTCAGGCTATAGCTGCCATTCACCAATTAATTAGCTGAATTCGTTAGAGCATCCATCTACACCTCTGGGGTTCGAAGTTTCATCCCTTGGCTGGACCACTGCATTTTCTCTTTCCTGTGACCGGTACCAAACTAAATATACAAATGGAAGGTGGCTTTTGGGTCAAAAACCCAGCAGGCATTGAATGTCATGCTACGTCAGATTTATGCTAAATTCTGACATCAGGATTATACGTCAAATATTGGTGAAAAGTGAGTCATATTGACATCATTTCCACCGACGCCAATAAAACGTACAATTTTATGTCAAATCTACGCTTAATATTAGTCAGAAATTGTTGTAGAAGGTAGCGGTCTCCACGTAATTTCGAATGTGCAAACATTACTGTCTGCATGCCACCTTTTCTAAAAATAAGTATAAGAATTATATATCAAAAATAGGGTGATAACCTTGAAAAGGAATCATTGTGATTTTGTGGATTTTTCTTATTATACAGATGAGAGTTTCTGGCTGTATGTTATAGAGATTGAGCTTCAATTTATGCTATCAAGAAGTTTTATTGTGGTTATATCAAGACCTGATATAAAAGTTCATGAAATTTAACTGTCTACCATGTTTAAAGACTCCATATGTCTTAGAATGTTTTTTTTTTTTAATTTAATTTTTTTATTTTCAAAGATTTTCAGAACATGTACATTATACAGAACATCACATCAACACATATCCACACATTCACACATATCTACTATTGAAATTATCAGCAACCTCATCCTCCTCATCATCCTCATCATCTGATGCTGATTTTATACAATCACCAAGACACATTCAATTTTCACACACTTTCACACATAGAATAGACAAAACAAAGAGAGAGAGAGAGAGAGAGAGAGAGAGAGAGAGATCAGACTGCCAAATCTGAGAAGATACTAAATAAAATAAATAACTGCTGTGAGTATTTGTCAATATTTTGTTTTTTAAAGTAGAATAACAACTAATAACTTAATATAAATAGTCATAATACTCAGGGTTAGTTGAGGTCAAGCTCTACTAATTTTAACCATTTTTCCCATTCAGAAGTAAATCTTCTAAGGCCTTGTTCCCCTTTACCACGAGCAATATATTTCTGAACCTTATAGTAATCTTTAATCGAATTGACTATAGCCGTCAATGTCTTAGAATGTTGATAACTGCATACTTTCTCCATATTATTTCTGATGCTACAATCATGATGCCAATATAATTTTGTGAATATGATCCAACACGATCTATGGATATTTCTAGAATATATACACACTGAATACTATTACTGAATGCTATGTTGGTTATACTCTTTTCTTCAATAACAAGTCTTACAAACATGAGCAAATTGTCTTTTACAACAAATATATCAAAGCATCAAACACAAGGACAAACTCTGAATTCAACATCTACATGAAAACATCATCAGGAACTGAAAAGAAAATGAAAAAGTCAAGAAGCCCAATATGAAACACCAAGTTGAAACAAAAATGTTTTTCTGACATCGTCTTCGCTATGAAATATCTGGGACCTTATGATTTCAATTTTAATCAACGTAATAAAACACAAAGTAAAGTTTAAAAATATCACTTTATTTAGGAATGTTTAAGTCATCGTTTTACACATAACATGTAATGTGAACACATGAGTTTCGTAAGTCTGTACAACAATACAATTAGCAATGGTGTCATTTATAATCTGATTTGGATTATATTGGTACAGATACAATATAACTATACAGGATGGTGGTAAGCCTTACAAAGATTCAGGAGAATCAGACGTAAGCTTAGAAACTGGTGGTCTGGACAAAACAGTACACAAAGGGCAAACACTCTGTAAATTATCAGAAGATCAATGTTTCTGATACACATACATCATTATACAGGATGGTGGCAAGTCTTACAAAGTTTCAGGAGAATCAGATGGAAACTGAGAATCTAGCAGACTGGACAAGATTTTAATCTTGTAATCTGAAGTAAACGAAGGGCAATAACTCTGAAAATTATCAATTGATCAATGTGTCTGAAACACACAGCTATACAGGATGGTGGTAAACCTTACAAGAGAAATAGATGGAAACTGAGAAAATGTTAAAATTATCAGGATAAGTTTATACACAAAGGGCAATAACTCTGTAATATAATAAATTATCATAAGATCAATGTTTCTGATACACATACATAACTATTGGTGAGTTTTACCAAGTTTCAAGGGAATCAGATGGAAACTAAGAGTTGTTGTCCAGACAAAAAGTTAATGGATGGACAAAATCAACGCCATGCTATACTCATCCTGTTGAGATTGGCATATACTTACTGTGGATAAATCAGCATAAAATAAAAAGCAAGCATACTGTATTAGAAATTCCACCGTATCATGAGAGAGATTTCACTGTATCACGAGACTGCAATAGTCATTGCTATTGTGTGAAGTACATAAATATAGCATGGAGGGGATATTACCGGTACATGGACGGATCATCATAAACAAATTTACCTTAAACAGTTGCCCCCTCTCAGGATGTCAGATATTTGGATCCTGAGGATATTTAACAGATTTGTCTTATCAACTATAGTACATCTATATCACAATCTGACATCCCGATTAACACAATCACCCCTGAAGACACATTTGAACTCCTCCAATTCAAAGGTTGGAATAGTTCATTATGAAATTTCAGGGGTGAATGAGTTAAGGCTATACTGACACAGAAAACATGATATATATTGTATTATATTATACAAAGCAAAACATGACAAATTGTATTATACAAAACATGATATATTGTATAATACAAAACATGATACAATGTATAATACAAAACATAATATATTGTATAATACAAAACATGATACACTGTATATTGTATTATACAAAACATGAAATGGCATAAATTAAAATAATTGAGATTCATATAATTTAATGACAAGATATTACATTATATTCACATAAGATAAAACATATCACAATTATTTTCACTGGATTAGGTTCCAGGTATACGACACAATGATTCATTGTACAATAGTATTGCTACAAAATAGTGAAAGCTAAATTCAAATTCAAATATCACAGAAAAAATCACAAAATACAATTTACCGGTATTTTTAACACTTGATTTCAACAGACATTAATTATTAATCTTTTCTGTACCATTTATATTTAATGTTCTCCAACATAGCAAAACAGTGAAGTTTTCTTTAAGATATATCAGGTTCACACATGATCAAAGAATTTTGTCTATAGGTGTCAAACGCAGCTTGCAGTACCACACCTCGGTGACTATATATGGTATCATCTAGAACAATACTGTGCGACCTGTTATGAAACCTTTTTAGTAACCTTGCTCTTGAAGTATTGAAATCATGATCTTCAAAACTTTGATTAAACTTCTGTTTTGTTTCACTCGATTTATTAATCGGGACATTTTCTCTGAACCAGAGTGTCTTCATTAATAACATTTTATTGTAACCCATTACATGATTATAGTGTGTATCCCACACTTAGGAGACACTTGATAAAAACTGCTTCAAATATCATTTCCCCATACATGATCCTTATGCATTCTGACAACTGTCAACATTTTATTTTATATCAAACATTGCAATTTTGAACTTTAAATACATGAATTAAATATATCTATAATTGAAATGAGATGACTTTATGCATTCATAGTTTTGAATAATATCATTGCACCAATGTTGCTTTGAACAAAAACTGAAATTATCTTTGGTATTATATTTTTCTGGTGTAGCTGTATTTTCAGGATTCCCCAGTCCAGACGAAAGTCCATCAGAGCCAGTGTTGTCCTCACAAGTCTGGGTGTAGCTGTATTTACAGGATTTCCCAGTCCAGACGGAAGTCCATCAGAGAGTTCCCAGTCCAGACGGAAGTCCATCAGAGATTTCCAAGTCCAGACGGAAGTCCATCAGAGCTAGTGTTGTCCTCACAAGTCTGTGACATTATCAAAAGTCTTTTGTCTTTGCAGTCAACTATTTGGTCAGGGCTTGGATATGTTCAACATGTCAGATAACACAATTTTCCTGTAGCGTTTCTCAAGTTCATTCATGAATCTCAGATTGGATGACACGTGAAATCCATCAATAGCAGTTTCCTGAAATGAAAAAGTAGGGAGTTATTACATCAGGCTGATACATTTGCATATGATGTCGTTCAGAAATTCTCTCTGGTTTTTTTTGGGGGGGGGATGAGAAAGATTGAATATGCATGGACCAGCTGAAATCTTCCTTCTTCAACACACAGATTCAATGTGGTGACATTTTCCGTAACATTCAAAACATGATTATGACTTCAAGAAATTGCACTCAAGCATTGTTCTGAATTTTATTCATTCCTGTTTGAACAAACTATAACAATTTTCACTGAAACCAATTAGCATTAGATAAAAGAGCAGTTTTGGTATAGAAGTTAATCATTAATAATCCACATTCTTAAATACTGTGATAACAGAACCATGTGTATATATTCCTGCTGACTTTTTGTTTTTTGTTGAATGTGAATGCTTTTTAAATCTGATTTCAATTTGACTTCTGATGATTAGACAAAGTTTTAGACTTCAGGTAATATTTAACAGCAAATGTTTGAAGATTATCATCTAAATGGAAATATATATACGTTGCTGTTGTATGTAAATATAAATCTTGTTTTCTTTCGATGTCTTGTCCATACGTCTAAGAGATTTTATTCACCGTCTTATGGTGCATGTATCATGTAAGCTGTATACAATAGAAGAATTACCACACCATTATAGTGATGTCACTAATCTGATTGCTGTCTGTTTATAAAACAAATATAAATTTTCATCGATAATTCAAGGCATGTTTTAAACAAGGCATTGAAATACTTCCATTAGACTACTCAAGGATAAATTCACACATTTATTTTTAAATCATACAGAAAAAAACACCTGTTTGTGACAGGATGACTTTGAGTTTAGGGTGTTACCTTGAGGAAGATGATGAGGTCCTGTGTCTGCATATGTTCCATGATGCGTTTTTGCAGGTGTCGCAGTATGGCCACACAGATGTACACCTGATAGTCAATCCCCATGACGACACACACACATACATAGTGACAGATATCCTGCCAATCCAGGTAGTCCCAGAAACACTGTTTCAGCCAATGTACACAGATCTATAACATGAGGACAATATATTACCAGTAGGAAAATGATTCTGTGTGATCAAGGTCTTCTAATGCTTGTAAATTAACCCAGTGTTCCAACTTAACGATATTCTGATTGACAATCTCCATAAAAACAATGTAGGTCTATGGGAATCATTTACTTCACAGACCAACTTGTCTTTTGAAGTTATTTTCTATGATGTGTAAGATTCAATGATAAATATAGTAGTTTAATGAAAAAGTTATCTGTTAAATTACCTTACTTCTTTTATTAATATAGATACATTCTTAATTCATGTTATCAACACTAAAATATAACTAAATTTTTCTTTGTCAAAGTCTAGTCGATCACAAATTCTATAAGAAATCTAATTTTTATAAGCCTTTTTTTTCTCTAAACATTTTCTTCAAGTTGGTAAATATGAGTTGTAGAAAGGTTTAAATATATATTGTAACCGGTAAGTATTTATTTGCGATGTTTCGATGACTAGTACGGTACATACCTTGTCACCTTCATCAGACAAAATCATTGAAACATCACACATAAACACTTACTGATTGTCATACATGACTTTTCTACAATATATTTCAAAGACCTATTGTCTAAGGTGTATAAATTCGTAATTCTATGACTGTAAAAAACCTTTTTTTTTTTGTCACTGTTGTGTGTTTGACACTTGGCTCTTGGATTCTTATGGAGACCAGCCTATAGTGTTCATCTGCTAGTATTTTATAGTTAATTAAAGGAAAGTTAATTACCTGTGCAGGTGTGTATCCAGACATGCGGAAGGCTGACGCCACCAGGGGGAGCTCTATCTGAAGGATGAGTTCAATGTTATGACCGGTACTTGAGAACAGTGGGGAAATACCACTGGACATGAGAGCACTCGGTAGGTGGACCTGTAAAAACATAGCAACATTTATAAAACACCCAATATCTCTGTAAACCTGACACACTGTTGTACACACACACACTATTACCATAGAGTAATCTTTTTCATCTGGATACTCAATCAAACAAAACAAGTTCATCAAACTTATCTTCCGACACAGAAGATCTCTCATGATTGGTTGTATTTGCCTCAAATGGTCAAACAAGTTCATGAAAAAATGAAATTTTTGCTAATTCAACATTTACTAAATCCACATGAAAACATACAGACAGGTACATATTTGTAAAAATAGTCTGAAGACTCAAAAAGCTTAAACTTTGACATATGAAAATTTACACTTCTAACATAAAAAAAATCACAGATACAAAATTTGTGAGTTTGTTAAAAGATAAAGAGAGACTTACGGAGGAGTGGAGACGGGGTGTCCAGAGGTAACCAGAACAGCCGAGGGTGGAGAACTTGTACAGGAACTGCCAGGACTTTTCAACATTACCATTGAATATAAGGAATACTGTGGCTGCAAACCAGTCAAACCCGGGGTAATTCCCCTGTAGGAATTCTACACACAGGTTAAGGATTGCAGCTCAATAAATGTAAGAATGTACATTTTGTGAATAATTTGAATATGTAACTTATGTATCCCTCTATCCTCTTTACTCACCACTTTCTTCTACAACATCAAGACTGTACTTGCCATTAAAAAATCTATAATATGAAATGAAATACAGGGAAATATAACAATAATGAATTGAGTGACATTTCATGAATTGGATTTTCAAATTTCTATAAGAACATGTAGCTATACCTACAATGAGTAGGTAATCACATTTCTCTGTGTCCTTGATTTGTGCATTGACCTTGACCTGTGTTGACCTGATTGACAATATTTAGTTAAGAATATTTCATATTCAACATTTTTTACTTTAAAATTGTTTATGATAGATTTGCAAAATTTTACTCATTCACTTCCCTACCCAAATGATTCTGTGAGAGCATCTAAAACAAAAACTGCATATTCTTTTAAAAACCAAACATCTGTAACAATGGATCCCCTGAGAGTAGTAACAGCTGTAGAGAAGGATACTGATGTTGGTGTCTGCAGACTTCTGCTGCTGCTGTAGGAAGCAGGCACACTGCTTAATCAGGTGAGTGAGCTTCTCTGTGACGTCTGAAGAGGTGTGGATCAGCTTCAGGTGTATTCCATACCTACAAGGTCACATGAGGCCAAATATATAAATTAGTACAAATTGGAGGAGACATTTTCATGGGATACAAATTCTCCAAGAAGTACAAATTGAAGGAGCTATACCTCCAGTTAGTTTCACCACTTATCTAAACGACACTTCATAAACACAAGCAAGTAGAAAATTTTGCTTGTTTAAAAGATTACAAATACAGCTGGTTCTTCTAAGAAAATTTTCAATACATTTTACTTTTAACAAAATCAGCCAATGGTAAATAATAAGTACCTGAAGACTTATCATACTGTTTACAAACGAGTTTTTAAGGATATATCCTGGTACCAATAATTAAGGCTATATATACCTGATAGCTATTTTGATGCCAAATGTCTGGAGTGGAGTCAGGTGATATGCTTTTACAGCACTGTCAGTACCTGTGTAGAAGGAAACACTTTATAAATACTCATTTATCCTTTCATACGTACATTTGGAAATGTTTCTATTTTCTATGGCATGCTGAAGTGTTTTTGTTAATTTTTTTACCAATTATCTCATAATAAATGTACAAACAAAAACAAATGCTGTTACCAATCAAACATAAATAATTCAATCGCTTGGAGGAAATATACTCTTGTTTAAAGTTAGATGTTTGTATTGAAACACATGGACAATTTCACTCAAGAACTAATAAGCTTCTTAAAAATGGGTTACAATAAGAGTTTCTAGCCGACTCTGAGTTTCTAGACTTACCAGTGTAGTCCAGTAAAGGGAACACAGACTCCTCAGGGACTTTTGTCATCTGCGGTATACACGTCTCCAGCAACTGTTGTATCACTGTTTGTGACAAAACATGTGTCATAAAGATTAAATCAGCAGTGAAAAAAATTAGGATACTGGGTTTATTTTCTATGTTTACATATACATCTGTATTTTGAAATTACATCAGCTTTCTGTGAAGTATCACTGCCCTTGACCTATCCATGCTGACAGTATAAAATATTGATCATTTTCACCTTTATATGACCCCTACTTGTCCTTTTTGACCCTACCATGCCTTCAACATTGTTGACCTGATATCCTTGACATTTTTGCCTTCCAAGCACTTGACCTACTTGACCTTCACAAGCTTTTGACTCAGTTGACCTCCACATGACCTTTCCCTTGACATTTGTTAACTTATCTTCCTGACCTTGGTGGTATCTCCATGCCCTTCATCTTATATGAAGCTCTCCTTACCCTTGTGCTTTACTTTTTTAAGCCCCCCGCCCCCCTCTCTCACTTTGACCTGGTACACTTACCCATGCCTTTGACCTGGTCAGACTTTGCAATAATCATTTTGGTGAGAGTGTTTTTACATCTCTCCAGCCATGTAGTCTTCCCACGGTCAGCCTTAAATGTCTTGGTGTTACTTAAAAACTTTGTCAAGTCGTTATCTGTAACAAAAAAGGTTAACCTAGTTCATCAATGTGTGAATAACACACTTATAAATACTGTAAAAGTATCTTAATACTACTTTGTTGCTTAAGATTTTAACTATATTCGGGAAATCATCAATTATTATATTGAGACCAAAATGTTCAAAAACGCATATTTCTTAGTCAGCAATGAAAAAAAATGGTGCAAATGTTATTAAGATAAAAACATAACTAAATCAGGTACATTAACAGTAGTTCCTGTACATGGCCTGGCAGTCACTAAGTTTACTGGGACAAGTCTACACAAAACTGTATGTGACTGGTTCCATATAGCGTCATTGAATTGAATTATTATTACAACCCATAATACCATACAATACATAACCTCTGACTCATTGAAGGGGGATAGCACATTACGGAGGACGGAAATAGCATTTACTGGTGTTTCTACACACCTGTTATAGATATGGCTGGGTTTATTACCAGGCATGGGCTTATTGAAGAATAAATACAGAAATGTATTGGTAATCACCCTATCCTTTGGTTTGTGATCATAGCATAATAAGGATGGTTGGAAATATATGCCAAAGCAAAACCAATTCAACTTCAGACATATTAGTGTAACATCATATGGACAGAATTTCATTAGGATTTTTTCCACCTAAAATGAGCTTAGAAGACTTAAGTTCAGATTTTTTCCAGAATGCTGTAATTTCAGGGCAGTTTTGAAGAAAAAGCAGAAACTGAAGCAGAATAGTAAATGATCTTTCATGGGGAGTTACTCTTAAAACATTACTAGTAGTTTATTTCACTTAGCGTTAATATCACTTTATGTTTATCACGTTTTTCTCATGCACTGTTGTACAGCATTTTAATATTCCATCTGCAATGTAATATTTAGTCATCGAAACACCTGAATGTCAAGGTGTATAAACGGTATTCAAAACTTGCTCAGAATCTACAAATGATTGAATATGCAGACCGAGGGTGTACATGTGAAAGCCGGACAGAACAGAATGGATATACCAGGTATACCATTATTACATAAATCGTCATTATATTTATCTGACAGAACAGAATGGATATACCGGGTATATCATTATTACATAAATCGTCATTATATTTATCTTATTATAATATTGTCATATTACATACTTCATCTCTCCTTCATCTTTTGTGAACATTTTGTTCCCGTCACATTGAAATGACATTTTCCCCCCTGTAACTTCCTGTCAACTGTAAACCTCCTTTCTGACATACTACTTGTCAAATTGAACCCACCTAATTTTCACCTAGTAAATATTTGATAATACGAATTTACACTAATATTTATTCTTATTTCTAGTTGACTTTAACACTTTATTTAAAACAATCACTTCTTTTCTTCTTTTTTTTTTATCTTAAATTATAATCAATTCTCATCTATGTTAAATGTCATTTCCAGTGAACTTAAGAGGGTAGTGAACTTTGACCCTCTATCAAATAAAATTTCCTGTCAACTCTGACCCCAATTCCTGTCGTGTAAACAGGACTTCCTATGCTGACAGTTATCATAAATTTGTAATAAGATGCTGAATGTGAACCACTTAAAATCATCAAGTCTGTGCTTATTAGGAGATATATAGTTTATAGAACACAGTGAGTGCATGCTGATGGAGTGCATCAGGAAGGGGCGGGGTTATACAGCCTGTCAACCTGTCAATCACTCTTATACAAACCTTTTTCTTCTGATTCCACAAAAGCTGTAATCAAATCTCATAATGTTACAAAAACGTCTCAATGATAACTTTATAATGAAGGTTGTTGAATACATCTAATTAAGCCAGATCCTACATCTCTATTTGACTGTAGGACACTTTTAAAACCAGTTAATGCTAGAAATATATCCAAGAACTATTACATTGAACCTTAATGAGCTTAAAAATAACATCTATGTTAGCAAGGAAAACATTCTACACAAAATAATTTAACATAGATGATTAAATTTCAATTAAACAAAATATTAAATGAAAAACATTAGAATAATCTTCAAAATGATCTTCATCAATCTCTGCTTGACCAAATATGTTACCTTGTTTAAGCGTAGTTCGCCCTCCCAGACTGGGTGTGTATTCCCGTGGTACAGGGAATGATGAAAACAATGGAAAGGGGTAGACAGAATCCTGGGAATTAAAATAAATCTTGTATAATAGGAGATACAAAAGCACTTGGATAGCAGGTAAGTGACATTTAAGTCACATGTAAATTATACACACTGAGAAAGATCACAATAAACAATGGGGAAAATACATCTTTGTAGGAAGGATTGTACAATCTACAGAGATAACCTTAATGGATGGATCGACCAGTCAATGGAGATAAGCTTTATGGAATTTTGAAAGCAAATTTTATTTCTATTAAGTGTCTTTTTCAGAGTCTGTATACATTTTTCCTCTGAATCATATTTCTCAAGCAGAAAAGTTACATTTGAATATCTTAAAATCAGTGATTTACTGATAAAATCTGTTTGTGTTGAGGTGTGTTTTGCTTACCTCACCGAGGACGCGGGGAGGAAGGACCCGTTCAGAAGGTCCTCCTATCAGGTAAGACTTGACTAACACATAATTTCTCTCCACAGACAGCATATCAACCATGAGGTCCTCACTGTACAAACAAAGGCATACAATGTCACATCTAACATTAAGGCAGAAAGACAGATTATTTTGATCTTAAGACAAGATATGTCAGATCTTGCTAAGATTTATTTAAATCTATAAAAAATGATCAGATTTTTTTTTTATTGGTGAAAAAGAAGAAAATGAACAAGATTCATAGGATGGACCTTTCACTACATAGTGTAGTATATTATTTTTCCGCGTTTCGGAGAATAGCGGGAAATATTTGTCCTGTATACACAGAGTATATGTGGGAAGTTGCCTGTCTTGTGCAGAGGTTTTGGCCAATCAGATTGAGGCACATGCTAAGGGTAGTTTACGGGTACGTGTATGTTCAATCTAGCTTCGCACCTCGCAGTACAGTTGGAAATAAAATAATAGCAGAATTTTATGTTTATATAACCGATGTATGTGTGGGCATCGTCATTTGTTAGAAATCCTAACATCAATTTTGTAAAAAAAACTTAAGCATTGTCAGGCTGGTACACCTCCTGTCGTGCCTAATAAGGTTTTCAGGTTGGGTGGCGCGCTTGGTTTTACATTTGTATGGCGATGAACCATGCGAGGGTATATGTGGGAGGATAGTTTGTGTGTATGGTAAATGAAGTCAGAGTAGTTTTTGTAAAAGCATATTTATTATATTCCTATTATATTTATGAATAAATGCTGACTCCGTCCGTGCTATCGGTCGAGCAGCTATTTGCTATTTAGGTGTTGTGTTATGTTTGCCTTGGTACGTATAAGGAGTATATAGAGGACTAGTGTTTACTGATCACATCACTGAACAGGTGGACAGACTGACGTACCGATCGTTGGGGTGATTTTCGCCCTGTGCCTTCAGTAGAATGTCCTGGAATCTATACTGGGACTGTAGAAGCAGGAACGTGTCTCTACACGATATCATCACACTCAGCACCCTGTAACATCCATTTCATTTATTTTATCTTTGTTTTTTTAATTTTATAACTAACAATCTTATAATACATGAGAAAGGTTCTTGTTATTTTAATACCTGTAGACAATAAGGATACAAATCCCCACTACATACAATGAGAGTGGTATTTTAACCCATTCACTCCTAAAGTCACATTTGAACCTTACCAAAATTAAGACTGGGCAAGTCCACTTTAAATATGTAGGGGTGAATGAGTTAAAAATAAGATATTACACTAGTTACCAAATAGATTTCCACAAGGTGAGTGTTTACTGATGATTAAATTTGGACACAGCAACAGTCATCACCAAAGCAACATTTTGGTAACGATCTGATGCCATTTTTTCCTTTCAAATTAATTTCCTTAGCAACATTCAATGATATTTATTAACTACCTCAGGCCAAACACATGGGAGTGTTCGTAGTTGAAGAGAGAGTGAACTTTTCCGGGAGAATCCACAAGGATCAGTCGATCGATAAAACCCTGTCAACAATAATATGAAAATGTACAAAAAAATATTTAACATCATAATACAATGCCACCATATAACCCTACCACATTATTATCGCATTCATATCAGCTATGAAATAAAATGGCATTCATATTAGCTATGAATGCCATGACCGGACTGTCAAGTCATCATTATTATGATGTCATAACTGTAATGTTGGGAACCACTGACTTTCCCTAAACAGATGGCTGTTCTATTCCTTGAACAAGCATATATGATAGATACGCTAATTTGAACAATGAATTTTCATTAGATAACTTAATTTTCTTTGGCTGTATATTATATGCAATTATAGCATTGTAACACATTCCAAAAATGGTAAATATAAGTGTTGAACTGCTTTTAGATATGAATGCCAATTGAAAGCAGTTCAATGCTTAAATAAAAAAGCCTTCAACAAAAGTGATAGTAAAGGTTATTTATTTGAAGGACCTTTACAGCCTTTTTCCTAGCAACCCTACAGACCAAGTACCAATAATACCCTAAACCTAAGGGTCGTTTGATGAAATTGTTTGAAGATTTAAACACTATTGAATTCAATGTCAGACCTAAGGTAGCAGGATACAGTAGAGGGTTGTGGCCATGGGTGATATTTTTGTTAAATGGCTAACCCCTGTATAATGATATGTAAAAAATATATAAAAAAAAAACTGTACTAAAATTGGTATAAGCATGATGATATGGGCTATGTGAGCTTCACATTTGTAAAAAAGAAAGAAGATTTTTTTGGTTCGAGAATAGAATTACTAGTTGCGAGGTCAAATTTTGGGTTAAAAATAGCAATTTTTGGCATTTTTTGGTAATTTTTGATGTGGTAACCATGGTTTTCACACAAGTGACATACATAGAAAAAAGAGGTTTATACACTGCTCAGTACTTTATACGTATTGTAAATGTAATGCAGTTTACAAATATATATACATGTATACAAGTGTTGTGTAGGGTAAATCCGCTGTGTTTACATTTCCTCGACATGTGCCTTGTTTATCAGAGTCTGGCCATTTCTACTGTATACTGCTACCTAAACAGATTAATTTGAACATATGTATTAGCCCTTCATCCCATTAACCTACAGGGCAGATATCAAGGTCATAACTTTGATAGCCTTTTCCTAAGCAAACTACAGGCAACTGTTTACGTTATGTCTAACGATTATCTAGAACTTGGTAAAGATTATCACACACTTCATTTCTGATCCCTGTGAATTTGGATGTGGGTCAAGGTTATTTATTTAAACAGACTTGATAGCCTATACTCAAGCAAGCTATTGACCATGTATCATGACCCTAGGTCTTGTGGTTTATATTTTCCCACAAACAACAGATTACATTTGTACTCATTCAATAGTCTTTACCAAGGTTTGGAATCTTAAACATACCGACTTCAACCTCATTCAGCAATGGTGCTTGGCATGTCAAAGGATGTGTTCTTGTCTTGAATGGGAAGAGGTAAGATTACATTACTTACTGCAATGGTTTCTGGCATCTCACGAAAAGTATACTCGTCCTGAGTGGGAAGAGGTTTACGGGCAAGGACTTCATAAACAGCGGGAAAGGAAGCCAGGACATTGAGGAGACGGACCAGGTGCTGTAATCACCAACAGATCACACTGCATCACACACATCCATTTATCAAAATACACATTACTGTACATAGCTCATAGTTAACATGTTTTGTTTCTGCTTCACCTGTATTCGTGTTAAATGTTTACTCAAATTTTAAACACAGGTGTGTGTTCCACATATGTAACAAAATTTGATTTCTGAGAAAGAATGAAAAACCAAACCATGTATAAGGAATTAAAGCAGTACATGAGTACAGGAATCGATAATGAAATGAATTCTAAAACTGTAATGAACAATATTAGAACTGAATATTTTTGTTGGTTGTGCATTTCCACTTAACTCATTGACCCCTGAAGACACATTTGAACTCTTCTAATTCAAAGGTTGGAATAGTTCATCATTAAATTTCAGGGGTGAATGAGTTAACTGATCAAATACCTTGTACATGGACAAATGTATTCTATAATGTCTGAACTACAAGCTAGTGATACCTTGTGAGAGTGCCTATCTATAGCGTCTACAGGCCAGGACTTGGCCGTGTACAGCGGTGCGTCCGACAGTCCACTCTCCATTACTGACCACAGTTCGGCTATCAGTGCTTTGATGTAGCCTGAAATAGACATCATCTGACCATTCATCACTCAATATTTAACTAGTATTCTATATCACTTCCTACAGCTAAACCATACAGATTCTCACCTGTTCACTGTAGAGCCTCAATCTCTAGTCAATTTTGACCATGTTGCCATACGTCCTTATAATAATTTTCTATTCTATTTCATGTCACCTTTGACCAGACATCATAACTTTATAGATTCTCCCATCTTTTCTTTATAAAATCCACCTTTTGTCATCTGAATAATGTAGTCATATACTGTACTTTTATACATTTTCACCTGTTTTCACCCCATCTTCAGAACCCTGTGTCTACACATTTAAATGAAAAAGATTTTCACCTGTTTTCTGTATAGCCCTACATCTTCAGAGCCCTGTGTCTACACATTTAAATGAAAAAGATTTTCACCTGTTTTCTTTAGAGCCCCACATCTTCAGAGCCCTGTGTCTACACATTTAAATGAAAAGAAAAATTCACCTGTTTTCTGTAGAGCCCCCATCTCCAGAACCCTGTGTCTACACATTTAAATGAAAAGAAAAATTCACCTGTTTTCTGTAGAGCCCCCATCTCCAGAACCCTGCATCTACACATTTAAATGAAAAAGATTTTCACCTGTTTTCTGTAGAGCCCCACATCTTCAGAGCCCTGTGTCTACACATTTAAATGAAAAAGATTTTCACCTGTTTTCTGTAGAGCCCCCAGCTTCAGAACCCTGTGTCTACACATTTAAATGAAAAGGATTTTCACCTGTTTTCTGTAGAGCCCCCATCTTCAGAACCCTGTGTCTACACATTTAAATGAAAAAGATTTTCACCTGTTTTCTGTAGAGCCCCCATCTCCTGAACCCTATGTCTACACATTTAAATGAAAAATATTTTCACCTGTTTTCTGTAGAGCCCCCATCTTCAGAACCCTGTGTCTACACATTTTAATATTAAAGATTTTCACCTGTTTTCTGTAGAGGGACCATCTTCAGAATCTTGTGTCTACACATTTTAATGATAAAGATTCTCACCTGTTTTCTGTACAGCACCCATCTTCAGAATCCTGTGTCTACACATTTTAATGATAAAGATTTTCACCTGTTTTCTGTACAGCGACCATCTTCAGAATCCTGTGTCTATACATTTTAGTGATAAAGATTCTCACCTGTTTTCTGTAGAGCGACCATCCCTGGAGCAGTCCCAGCCACTTGTGTCACCATGTAGCCATACCCAAACTTTTCACACTTGCTCACCTATAAACCACAAGTTAACACCTATAAACCACAAGTTAACACCTATAAACCACAAGTTAACCCCTATAAACCACAAGTTAACACCTATAAACCACAAGTTAAAACCTATAAACCACAAGTTAACACCTATGAACCACAAGCTAACATCTTTCAACCACAAGTTAACATCTATAGACCACAAGCTAACACCTATAAACCACAAGTTAACATCTATAAACCATAAGTTAATATCTATGAACCACAAGTTAACACCTATAAACCACAAGTTAACATCTATAAACCTGAGTTAACGGCTATAAACCAAAAGTTAACATCTATAAACCATAAGTTAATATCTATGAACCACAAGTTAACACGTATAAACCACAAGTTAACACCTATAAACCACAAGTTAAAACCTATAAACCACAAGTTAACACCTATGAACCACAAGTTAACATCTTTCAACCACAAGTTAACATCAATAAACCACAAGCTAACACCTATAAACCACAAGTTAACATCTATAAACCATAAGTTAATATCTATGAACCACAAGTTAACACCTATAAACCACAAGTTAACACCTATAAACCACAAGTTAACATCTATAAACCACAAGTTAACACCTATCAACCACAAGTTAACATCTATGAACCACAAGTTAACATCTATGAACCACAAGTTAACATCTATAAACCACAAGTTAACATATATGAACCACAAGTCAACATCTATAAACCACAAGTTAACATTAATGAACCAGAAGTCAGGAGCAACTCATCCCAACACTGGTTGTTTACACTATAACATGTAGACCTATTTAAGAAACAAAAGGTCCTGTGTGAAAACTGTTTTTCTACTCAAAACAATAACCTTATTTTGACTGAAAAGCATTCAAAAGACACATTTAAGCAAGGATATCATATATGAAAAAACTTACTAATATGTGTAACAACTGTGACGTTGAACTTGACCTTAAAAGCAACCCAAAGCAAGTTTAAAGCTAAGAGGTCATGTATGTGTGGAAACTTATTTTCTATGTATAGTAACATAAGCATACAATACCCATAATAGGATGACACTATTTACCTGTAGTTTCTGTTCGTAGCGTATATACATGTAGGACATACACTCGTTCATGGCACCAGTCTGCTGAAGGAGGAGCATACCCTTGGCTGTGCTAGCAAAGTTCAACAAGTTGTCTCTCAGGGTGTCTTCCCATACTTGTCTGTGGGGGGTAAGGGCACATAACTCATACAACAGGTAGGTTAACAGTGGCACTAGGCACATATTGATTTGTATGGTATCTGTGAATCAGTGATAACACAAGTGTAATGAAAGATAACGCAGGATGTATATGTTATAGCTGTATACATTGAAAAGAACTGATATTTGCTCTAATGAAAGAAATTATCAGGAATAATTAAGTTTGCATAATGTTTACTTCTTTTTGAAAAAAGCTTTCTTATTCTCAAATTTGAGTAAAATTTGAAGATAGATTTTTAATATTTCTGAAACTATTTGATATCTATTTTTAAAATTCTAATAATGTGACTGATGAAGAACATAAACTTACGTGTCAGCCTTGCCCTGCCTTGTGGTGACGTCAGAGTCGGAGCTGTCGTCCGACGGTGTGGGTGTGACTGCATTGTCTGCATCTCGGTTAGCCTTAAATAGAAATGTTTAAAAGTGAGTCAGCATTGTCTATGTTAGCTCTAAATACAAATGGAGGGTTACCATTGTCTATGTTAGCTCTAAATACAAATAGAGGGTTACCATTGTCTATGTTAGCTCTAAATACAAATAGAGGGTTACCATTGTCTATGTTAGCTCTGAATACAAATAGAGGGTTACCATTGCCTTGTTAGCTTACAATGTAAATGAATGTGTCATCTCTGTTAGCTTGCAATACATATCTAAGTATTTTATCTGAAGTAAGTTTCCCATCACATATATCCGCCTCCTTCACAGGATATGTTCTATCTTTAGTGTGCAAAAAAACTGTACATTGCACTTGATTTTACCAACTGTTTGTGGGTTTGCATTGAAGTTTTACCAATTTTCAAACTAATTAAATATATTCTAATAAGAGGCAAAATTTATCTACGACATTCAAAATTTATCCTGCATTGGTTGAAGGTCAATAGATCATCAAATGTATCACGTATTGTGTGGGTGTGACATACCTCTCTCCATGCTATGGCCCCTACACTGTGGAGGTCGTAAGGGTAGAGTACCAGTAAGCCCTCACAGGTGTTATACAGCTGACGACAGATGTACAGGTACGCTCCAATGACAGCCTTGGAGGGGGTGGGACCTGCGTCCCGAGGTAACTCCCCCAATAATGCCTTCCTCGTAAATTTAGCAATGATGTGGGCTGCTGATGACCTGGTTAGATAAAACTTTTACATGACAATGATGATATAACACAATAAAATATTACATTACTTAGCAGACCTGTCTAGACAAAACATTTCTGTGACACAGATGAACTGACCAGACAAATCACACATGTGACATAGATGAACATTTCCGACCTAAACTGTTAAATGTCTTTGCACATAAATTCATTCATGATTATGATGATGAGCCAGTCGGTTCTAAAATAGTTGATTATAGAACTAGCATTGTAGATTGCATCATATGTTTAAAGACACTTTCAATAGAAAACGATATATATTTGTACTTGGTTATAAGTCAAATACTGAGTTTAAAAGGTCCAGACAGGTTATCTTGCAGGTGGAAAGAATCTTAAAGCACCTTATTTCTTTTATTCATTACTGACTTTATGAAACGCATCATACATTAAATTGAATGGTAACCTTAACCTTGTTTAAATCAGTTTGTGACCTTGACCTACTTTGTGCGGGTAAACATGTCCTTCTTCTCCCCATAGATAAGGTGACGTCGCCCCTTAGTGCTGGACGCAATCATAGACACAATGTCCGCCACATGTAGGAGTGTGGTCTCGTTACCAAGGTGATGGTCCTACAAACAATAACATGTCAGATAAGACACAGAGACTAAACACTCTACAAAGCAAGTTATTAATGCAAGAGACAATTTTATTAAAAACAAGTAAAATAATAGTAGAATCATGGAAAAATGTAAGTTGAAAGGTGGAAATTAACTTCATTTTGAAGAGTTTTGCTTTGAAATGGTGACAAAAAAATATAATAGATGAGGCTGTAACTTCGGTAATTATTCTGTGAGATACACATTAATTAAAACATCATGATGTGGGCAGGACTTTGTTGTTTTGTATAATTATTAAACCTTTAATGGTCTATTAGATATTACAGTAATTTTAGAAACTAAGCCTGACTCATTCGATGGTCTCAAGTTTTATTTTGATCTGTATCAGGTTAAATTTCAGGAAAATACAACATGCTTTATTTACAATTAAAAAGAAAACAACAACAAAAATTGCAGCCTAGATATATGTGTTAATATTAACTGCTGAGCAGGCTGTTAAAGCCACAGAATCCCAAGCCATCACACCTTTAACCTTGACCCGGAAAGTAGTCCCATCCATTTTATGATATTTAAATTAGATAAATTCCACATTTTTGTACATTTCTACACAAAAAACTGTTTCCCTTTTGCCAACTTTTCGTAAAACATGAAAACGAAATGTGTAAAGAGTTTGCAAAAGTCAACAAAAGGAAATAATATTACCATAAAATAAATAAATAAAAATAAACAGTGACTTTGTCAATACCTGTTTTTGGTACAACAGAAAACGGAATGTGCAAAGAGTTTGCAATAGTTATCAAAATAATTCAATCAATTGATAAGTAATCATAAATAAATTTAAAAAAAACCTGACACTGTCAATATACCTGTAATATTTTTCTCTGAACTTCGACCTTTGTTAATAAGTAAATCAATTATTGGTATTAATAGAATTATATGTATACTGGAATGGTTTTCCAAACAATTAGTTTTATTATTAAAACTTTCCTGAAACACAATTCCAACATAGGGTATATATGTACATAGCAAAGATTTCACATTGGATTATTAGTAGACGTTCTCGGGTTTGTCAACATTGGGGTTTCATTAATGAACCAGCAACCGTTAATGAGTCTCGGGGTCAGGTAAAACACCAGGTCCTCACCTCGTTGTAGTAATATTCACTTCCTGGTCGAATGTGCTATGGTTTGAGTAAAATACAGAGACAGGTGGTAATGCATAGCTGTATACAAGATGTACAAGAGGCGATATGGGAAACATGTTCAGATAAATACATGTACCAGTAGAAATTTTACATTAATGAAAGAAGGATCTAGATATTTTGCTAATCAAATTATTTATTCTAATAATATTACCAATTTTTTATTACTATGTGACTATAAAAGCTATAAGACATGTTCACAACAAGTAACGTAGAGAGAATGGTTAGAAAGCATGTGATTTCCACTCTTGTGTCTGTACAGTAGCGCTTGGGTGATCTGTACACAGGTTTAAAAAAGACAGAAACTCAGCTGGACCATGGTATCATCAGCAAATACATATCTGATGCATTTTAACAATATTTCCCAGTTAAATGATTAGACAGTAGAAAATGTCTGACTTTGTGTTGGTCATTCTTGGTGGTCCTATGTGACCTCTATCAGACATCAGATACATTTGATTATGATTTGACATATAGACTGAAACGCTGTTTCAAATGCACTATCCAAACATTACACTATTCTGTCAAATAAAATAATACTAAAGTTAAGGAGGATTTATATTATATACCATTTGTTAGTTTAGAATTACCCTATTCACTGTATTAACCATCCCCCTTCCAATCAGCACCCCTCCTCCCACTCCACCTCCCTTTTTTGTTAGAAATATTTCCCCTACCAAAGGGCTCATAGGGCCTGTATCACTCACCTAGCTGGTTTGGCAATGTCTAATACATAAATATATCTATGACATATGCCTGAAGGAAAATTGTAGGTACAAGCATACTTGAAAATTGCATCAGATGAAGTTGTATGAAGTTTTAAACATCTTTGACATCTGTGATATTGAAAGCAGTGTCAAAGTAATTTCTTTGAACATATATGATAGCCGTTTAGCTTACTAAGCTAAGGACAAAGTTTCATGATATGATATCTCATGGATCTTATGAAAGAAATGCTGAAGGACAGTAGACGAAGAAATGATTAATGCCAAATAATGGCATGAGCTGGAAAGCACTTCGTACCAGGTGAGCTAAATAAAACAAAATGTTGACTGCAAAAAAGAAATAATTCTGTGAGTTGAAGCTGTATTAGCACCATGATAAGATTTCAACTTTTAACAAGCAGGGTGCTTAATATAGCAAAAATATTGATATTGGATTGATGTTGAATAAATTAACATTGGTGTTCAGCATTCTAATGAGGGGAGATTATCTCCATATCAGTCTACATCATCCACCTAATTAATTAACATGTAAACAATTGTACGTACCCCTGTGTCCAGGTACTGTGAGACAGGAGACAGGAGAGTGTTGGTGATCTCGTCCTTATACAAACAGATCTCACACACCTGCTCCGAACTACACAGGTTCTTAAGGATCTCCGTCACCAGACTGCCGGGCTCGTACCGAGCTGTGCAGGAGAGAAAGAGGTACATATCATTGTGACATTAGAAATACCACCAAAGGCAGGCTTTTATGTCATTGTTGGAGGAGAGACTATACAGTTCAACAAACTTATTTTTCTGAAAGTCAGTAATACATTTTAACTGGAATCCAATAACAAATCTAGGATTTTTATAATACTGGACATTCTGAACAAATACCAATACAATGGGATGGGGGTGTGTGTGTGTTAAGAGTCAATATATGGTTAACATACCTGATACAGACTTTGAGATCACATGATTGGAGCTGGGGTTGGGGTGGGGGTGGGGTGTGTGTGTGTTAAGAGTGTATATGGTTACCATACCTGATACAGACTTTGAGATCACATGATTGGAGCTGGGGTCGACCACTATCAACACCAGGGCCACCAACAGCTTTGTAATAGTCACAGGTTCTGTAATATAACATAGGTCAAAACTTACTTAGTAAAAACAGATAGAAAGGACTGAAGCTTCATTTAAAACATGATATCTTTTAATACCAAATTATTTTTAACACAAACTGCAGTAGTACGTATTTTTATCAAATTCATCAGTTATCAAAATAACACAGCTGTTATATCACTGCATCAAAGTAAATCAGCATACCTTCTGAATCCTTCAGTTTGATGGGGAAGAGTTTGCGGCCATTGACAAAACACAGCAGGCGCCCCAGAAGAAACACGGAGTGTATGAAGTAGGAGTACTCTAGCTCTGCTCCCGTGTAGTAGAGACGATGTCCAGACGAGTCTACAGTAACATACATAAACACAAAAGATGTCAGCTTCATCCCGACTTATTAACCAGTAAAATAATTGAGACTCTGTCACTGGAAATAAAGTATCAGTGTCACAGTTTTTGGCTTTAATAGATTCATAAAACTTTTGCTGTAAATTATCATAAAATAACTTATGAATATTGCATAAAAAGTTAGATTGTCAGTTACAATCTTTTTCCATACACAATGAAAGTGTACATATACATGGAATCTATCTTCAGTTGATAAGGCCTGCCTTGCCTCATGTTAAAGAGTATCCTGTAAAAAGTTTCACCTGTGATAGACGTCTTTGAGAAGCTGTCTGACACCTCACTCATTAGGTCAAAGGGCATCTTCCTGTTGGCTGAGAACTCAAGACAGTGATGTACAGCATTCACTACCTACAACGTAAATAAACATCAACTGGTTATTATCACATAAAGATATTATCACATAACTATATCATTGTAAAATATATGGATGAAATCTGTGTAGCTACATAGTAAATGACTTAATTTCTGTACTTAAATAATAGGTTCTGCATAGGTGTAACTGTAGAAGTACAGAAATCTTCATTATTTTTTTTTATTGGATTAGAGGTACTATAAAGATGGTGTTTTAATTGTAAATCTTATCTGAGGTGCTTTACACATGAGAAGATACATGTTACTGCTGTCTAACATGAGAAGATACATGTTACTGCTGTCTAACATGAGAAGATACATGTTACTGCTGTCTAACATGAGAAGATACATTTTAAATCAGAAATGCAGTGAAATATGAAGTTGCAAATAATTTTTTCCACGGCAATTTTTTTTATATGACATCATAGTTGTGTATAACCAAAGAGGAAATTACGTGACACATTTAATCCTTTCACCACTGTAGACCATACTGGACTCATCCATATCAATGCATGGTAGCTAAGGGCTACAGAAGTTACTTAGGGGTGAAAGGGTTAATAAACACCTTGGAGGTGTTCCATACGGAACAGAGGTGAGGAACGGTAAAGAAGTTATTGATGTAAGAAACATTATTTCACTTACCAGAGACTTGTACTTCTCCAGGAGTTTCAAAAGTTTCATCCGACTGTAGTTACCATGCTGCAACAAACATCAGCAAAGTCAATAACATCAGCAAAGTCAATAACACCAGCAAAGTCAATAACATCAGCAAAGTTAATAACATCAGCAAAGTCAATAACATCAGCAAAGTCAATAAACACTTCTACACTGTGTTTGTCTAAGGCATCCAGAACGTCACCAAATATAGATAAATACATAAAAATACACACATCTTACTTCTAATAATAATAATTTGAGGTTCTTATAATCCACTTTATCACAACATAGTTTGAAGGTCGTCTCAAAGCGGTTCACAAATTATTATCCGCGGTTATAGGGCCTTTGCAACCAGCCAATATCTTTCTCAACTCCCTAGGGAGCATACAGTCGGTGCTGCCATTTCAGCAATCACAGCTAGCATTCTACAATTCTAGCACTGCCCAACCACTGACACATTTACAACTGAGTAGACTGCAACAAGCGGAGTAAAGTATCACAGTGCCGTGACTCGAACCCACAACCATTCAGTCACGAGCCCGGCATCCTACTACTAGACTACCGCGCCTTCAATATGGTAACATATTCAGTTATTTTTTTCTCAAGATTATTATTGGTAAAAAAACAAAAAAAAAGGTTCAGAATTAGACTGATAACCAAATTCATGGTAGCATTACACAATTTCTTAAAGATTTCTCACATACCATCCACTTGATGAACCACTGGGCCTTTGGATCGATGAGGGATACGAAATGTAGAGGAGTGAGGCTTGAGGAGGTGCCTACTGGCGCCCCCTGTTGGTGTATGGAGAACAGGTTTAGTGTACTCTCCAGAACCATCTCAAGGTACCTAAAACACAAGATCATACATTCATTGTACTTTCAAAGTACCTAATTTAACCCATTCAAAGTACCTAAAACACTAGAGAATAGATTTACAGTACTTTTGCCATATCATGGTATCTAAACACATCAGAATTGGTTCAGTTATGTATATGCACCATCTCAATGTTACTAAAACAGATGAGAACAAACAGTGTACTAGTAATAATCTCAAGGTTCCTTAGTAACATACATGTTTTATAATTTAGGGATCAGAGAGTACTCTGTTATAAATAGAGATAATAAAGAATTTGTATTTACTGTTTGAATTTATACAATTAGACATTTGTTTTAATGTGTAAAGTTTGAAATTGAATTTGAAATTTGAAAGATTTTTTTTAAAGCAAAATCAACTGATAACGATGGCAATGACTCAAAAGATTTGGAACCCAAAAAACCTAACAGAGGTTCTCCAACCATGGATGGTTGGTTTCATGGTTTTCTAATTCCTAAACTTACACATCAAACTTTTTAAAGACACAAAGTTTAATTTAGAGTCTTTTGAAATCAATTAACAAGAGTCAGAAAAACATAATAAGTAATCATCCAGGACAACAAACTCTTTCAGACTTCATATCTATATATTAAATATAGTATGTCAGAAGAGTCAATTATTTATTTTTATTTTTTTTCTAACGAGGAAAAGAAGAGAAAAAAATGGAGGATTATAAAGAGTATTCTAACCATGCATAATGTCATTTATTGCCCAGTCAAAGTTCACATGAGGTTCAAGTGTCATTTTATTGACCAATAAAAAATGCTTCCACCTCTTCAACACATGTTATAAAGCAAAACATGTAAATAATGGAAGCTGTGTTTTTTTTACATGGTTTAATAATTGCATTACAAGTTGGATTCATGTTGACCTACTTATCAGAATAGCGTATCCAGTAGTTAATGGTCTCTTGTTGGAATTCATTCAGCAGACGGAACTGTACAGCAAAGGAGGGAAATAAAACATTAAACATCAAAATCACCGATATACTGTATACAGGGAAATAAAACATTAAACATCAAAATCACTGATATACTGTATATAGGGAAATAAAACATTAAACATCAAAATCACTGATATACTGTATACAGGGAAATAAAACATTAAACATCAAAATCACCGATATACTGTATACAGGGAAAATTTCACCCAGTCCAATATTCACCATACACAAATAAAATCAATGTTGCCCAGTATTAACTTCCCCCTTCCTGTGTTACTGTATATATGTACGCTGTGTATTTATATTCAGGGTTGTGATAAATTTGCGACCGTTGCAAAATGTTAAAATGTGGAGAAATTTCCAGGTATACAGTTATAACATGTACATGCGAGTCATTTCGGAACATATATAACAACTGTACATACTATTACAGCGTAGCCGAATCAACATCGATTTGTGGACAACTGGTACTCATTTTACATCTTTGTGTACATACGCTTGACACTGGTCATTTGTCTGAAGAAGATGACAGAGTACATACAGTACTAGTCACCGAAATGTCACATATAAACACTTATTGGTTGTGCTACATGAATCTTTTCATAATGCACAACCTTACCAACCTGAAGAAGATGTTTAGAAATAATGTGATTATTTACAGCCAACACTGACAGGAACAGTTTGTAGACTTACAGCCTTGATGAGTTTGAAGATTTCAATTTTCTGTATATCCAGTCCATTCTTAATCTTAGGGATCAGACCACGCCTGGAGTTGAACTGGCCAATTAGATAGTCCGCTAGAATTTACAAGTTTATATGGAATAAATACTAGCTATTGGCATAGCCACAACATCCCTAGTATCAGCTTTAGGCGATCCAAGTTATTGGTAATTATAAACCAGACAATGAATTTAAAAGGTTGAAAATCACAACAAAAGTAGATCGATATCTGCCCGTTTTCTCAATGCTTTTATCTTTTCATGAAATTCTCAAAGTGTAATTTGATTTGAAATAATGTTTTTGTTCAATTAAATATCTTCACTACAAACACCTATCTTACGAATTGATGCTGATAACCGAGACTTGTATGTATATATTTACCTAGGAGGGTGTACACTTCTTTGGTATATTGTGAGGTGGTCGTAAACGCTCTAACAATAAACTTCTGGCTGAGCAACTGAAACAGAACAATGGTACAAACAAATCAATCACAGTACGTTTTTCAAGGTAATATCAAACTCATCATAATGGTGTCCATCACCCGTCACAATGTCAAAGACTAATTCTTCATTGTATTGCAAGTAACTGTTTTATTTGTTTTTCAAAAAAATAATTCATTTTCACCTACAAACATTGCTTACTTGTACACAAAAACACCTACACACTGAGGTGATGGTCTAGCAGTGTTTGGAATGATCCGAAGACCTATAGACAATCACTATGACAAACACAGTAAGTCTATGGGAACCACTTACGTCATAGACCAAGTTGTCTATTAAGTTACTTTCTGTGATGGATATTATTCAATGACAACTATACACACACATTAATGAGGGAATAGATAAGCCTGAAAATTAGTGTTCTGCCTTTAACATTACACATAGTTCTGTAATTTCCTTTTATCAAGCACTAATGAAACTAAGTAAAATATTCTTGATGAAAGTCTGGACTAAGTAGGTCTATAAGAAATCAATATCACATAGACCTACTTACTGTCTATGGTGTGTAAATTCTAAGACTGGTCTAGTGGTCACTTACAGAGAGATGTTCGTCGGTATCTGCCATCACGTCCATGAGGTTTTTCCGGATCCTAACCCACTGCTCACTGTTTACGAAATCTGCTGGAGTGTTCTGGTTCAATGTCTGCATTCCCTCTATTCTAGTCTGAAAATAATCGCATATATTCCTTTGATTAATTTTTAATTTTTATTCACAAAAATTCCTTTGATTAATTTTCACTCTGGTTTACAAAATTCTGATATTTCCAACTGTTTTCAGGTATGTAGTACCCACGTAAGCCTATAACCATATGCATGCATATCAACAAAGCTCAAATACACTGTACTGAATTTAACTACATAGATATCCCTTCACTGTGTCAAGTTACAAAAAATTCCAACAAACGGTTTAAGAAGAGATGCAATGTTACAATGTGTATGGACAGAAAGGCATAAAATTGTTAAGAGAAATATTCTAAAATCTATTCTAAATGAGCGATATTATTTATTAACTATATTAGAATTGGCTATTTCCTTAACAGCTATTAAATATTCTGCAACCTATGAGAAGAATGTTCTTGTAAGCTTTCTTTTAAATTAATGTGAATCTTAAGTTCCATATAATGTATGTGTTTTATCTGCCAAACCACAATGTTAATTATTATGACCAGTCAGTCTAAAACCAGACATTTGACATTTTAAGGTGCTTTATCAATAATTTTCCTTTGTCTACTTCACCTGTGTGTCTTTGGTCTTGCCCAGTTTCTCAGCAACATTCTCCAGCATCTCCAGGCTAGTGTACCACATCATACCCTACAATTATGTATATGATACAAATATCTTTACTCGCCTTGTCAAAAGCTGTCAGTTTTAATGTGTTCATTTTCTAAGTAAAATTTCTAATTTAAATATAACATTGAAACACAGCATACTCACAAAAAGGTAAAAATCTTTAAATAGTTAGTGTCCATAATATTAGAGTTTCGACAAAATGTAAATGGATTTAGAATAGTTAAATTTCAACCAATTAAAAGAGGCTATAAACCTGATTGAAGGAGCTGCCACATGACGACTCATCTTCATCACTGACAATGTATGTCTTGCGAGTCTGTCGATTGGCCTGGAGCTGATCAGCAGAGTCACGATGACGCCCTGTACCAAACTCAGATTCAAAGTTCTTCATCAGATGTTCAACTGCATCCATAATATTTTTCTTCATCTTCCTTGATAGGTCATTGTAGCTGAAAACATAAGTTTATTTATGAGTACTGTAAGTCCCAAAATAAGACCCCCCNTGAAGTCCTTTTTTTCAGTAAATAATGTAGCACTATTAAAGTTCTGTTGGATAATAAATTGATTAGGAAATTTCTGAATTGTTGTACATCTAAAACATAACAGTGGTATTTAATTGTGTATCAGATGTAAATATATCATTACATGATTAATAAGAAATATTATGCAGTGACAACAAAACTAAGAGGATAGAAATTTGTCGCTTTACTGACTTGGTCGGATTTCTACCTTTTCTGCATGATATTCAGAGAGAACAGTTAAAGTGAAAATTTATATTTTTTATATTTTATTGTAATAATACCTAAATTTATTTAAGGATGAAATTGTTTGCAAGGGAAGGATTTTTTTAAAATAACCTTATACATGCTAGCCACTATATATAATAGAGAACCAGTCACTAGACATGAACTCACTGTTTTGAATGAATGACACGCTCAGTGATCCTGCTGACCAGTGTGTCTTGACCAATGTCCACTGATCCAGTGGATGTGGACTGCTTCTCTATTTCATCCTCAGTGATAGGGCCCAACACCTCCTCTATCCTCCTCTTCAACTGTCGCACAAACTCATACCTGAAATTCCATTTTGAAAAAAATAATATTGTCATCTTCCAACTGTATGTGCATATCAATTCTGTATAAATGACTCCTTTTACTTAAGCTAAGATTTGATTGGAAGTAAAAGGAAAGTAAACAAAAAATCACATGATGAAGCTATATAGTTAGCTGGCAAAAATTGCTACCAATACCTGCTGTTTGCTGATCTTATTATATACCTCCTTTTGACTATAACATACGTACCATGCCACCTTAACTTTCATAGTTTACAGTCTAAAAGGTATGTAGGAGATTTCCATTTAACTTCATTCTATCCCATATTAAATATCACAGATCTAGAGTTGTTGAACATGCCATTTGTATTTGAATACCTAGCTAGTTTAGTGATGGATGATACAGTGTTAGTAAAAAGTGTTGATAACTGGTTGATTTCAGATTTGTCAAAATTTGACTGTACATGCTTATGACACAAAAAGAAAAAGAGTTTTTGTTATTAAGAATACAACACGCTGGTATAATTATATACCATAAATATAGATTGGAAAAAAAAAATCCATTTAGAATTTCAACGGCCAAGTCTATTGACATTCACCTTCTCCTAAATACATTGGGTTTTGTTAGTGAAAATGAATTTACTTCTGGCATGTAGTTCTATAATTGATATCTTAAAAAATTAAATAGCTGATAACATTTATCTTACATATATAAACATATAGACTATGGTGTTGGAATATACATTGTCAATTTCTATTGACATACAAAATGTGTATATATTTACTATTTTTACATATACCACAACTCTCAAATCTTTGAGATTATGGAAAACTGAAAAAGACTGCCTGTGGCTTATGCCTATTAATACCTGTGGAAATTTTCATCATTTTCCTCCATGTGAACCAGAGCTTCCTCTACCTGGTCTGAGGAGCCAGCCTCACGGATATGGGGGTCAAAGTTGATCAGCAGGTGACGGAGGTTCTGGACAAGATCCTCCCCTTCAAGACCCCTCCAGCCACTCATGATGGATCCTGGTCACTAACAATGATGTTGTCTTACATGGACGTGCCTCAATGTGTACTCTATGGATGAATGAAAGAACTTCAACTTTTAACCATCCTACTTTACAACCATCTCGTTATGTCACACCAGTCAACTTTCACAATGCACAAATCATCAGATTATTAAGTTAGTTAGGCTATTTAACAAGAACAAATCTTTAATCAAACAATCAATTCATCACGTTTCTTCATATTGAACATTATGATGGCTGACAGTCTGGAACTGCTACTACAGTGCACCTAGAATGGACAGCTGGACAGCTTAAAATGAACTCATTGTTGTAAATCATTGGCTTGAAGCCTTTTAGAATTCTTTTTAACCTGTAGATACATGTGCAAAGTTACTTAAATACTTATTTTGTAAGCCACATAATAACAGGCCTTGATGATTAGTTGGGAAGTGTAATTTAATCAACGTCTCAGATAAAAAAAAAACACCAACTTCTCTAATTACAAGCAATCAAGATGCATATATATACACGATGTATCTTGCCTCTGCCATTACATTATTTTATTATTCAAATGTAGTACTACTAACACTTATAGACGGTCGTTTCTGCTCCAAATCATTTCGTTTAGAAGAAAACAAAAAAAACAAAACAATCGTATTTAACAACCGGGTCGAATCACGAATGAAACTGTCGACATCATTAACATGTTTGACGAACATGTGCAATATTGCAAGGAAGTAGAAAAGCTTTATCTGCGTTTTGAATTCTTACAATTATGGTGCCTCATGAATCCATAAAAATGGCTTCTTCGTATAAATACAGCATAAAACGGATTTATAGCTCAAACATAAGAAACATTCCACTAAAACTATTCAAAACATTGCTTGTTTACAATCGGCGTCCATTTTTATTCTTCGTCCATGTTTACTGTGTAAGAGAGTTGATGATTGGTGGAGACGGGGTACCTTGCAGAAAATAAACCAATGAAACTTGTTCTATCATATCTTATCTAGGTCTGGCAACCGTTGACCTATGACCTGAGTGAAGTTGATGATAACAGTGAAAGTGTACAACATGGCCATGCAGTCTAGAAGTTTGATAAATGGCATTTGTAGAGCTGCACTGAATTTACGGGTAAAATGCACTCTTTATCAAAGTATCAAAGCTTTGTAGAGTTAAAAGTGAAATTATCGGATGCAAATAATACAACAAAACTGCTGACTTCATCAAGTTCATGCATCATTGCATGGTCATGGGTCATGCTCAATCGTTGATGACCGAATTTCGGTCGGCTCGATTCTTCAACCAACAAACAAAATGGCCACTTCGGGAAATTTCGTTTTTGATTTTAAATTACAGTATCTAATGCATGCTATTTAACAAAACAGTTACATGCTTTGGAAAATATTTTCTTGTGAAAAAAATTACAAACCATTTTATGTGATAAACATTAGTTCATATAGAACTTCAACAGTTTGACTGAGTGATAACTGTTATTGACACAGGACTTCATTACCAGATCTGTAGTCAATAAATGAGTGATGGCACAAGCTTAGGACTTACTTAGTAAATTAATTAATGATACCGGACCTAATTAGATCGCTTATTATATTTAAAATCCTTCTTCTGTGGCCTTAAAGGGATAAAAAAATATATAATTTCCCTTCAGAGTGAAAGTGTACAAAGACCATGGAGCTTTTTGAGGAATTTTAACTAAATTAGGGCTAGAACATCCTTAGGCAAAGTAAAATCAATTTTGTATAAACTGTGGGTGTTCCTGAAAGCAAAGGGGTGGGGCCCAATGCGATAGGGGAAATCCCCTTGGGTGAAGGGGTGGGGCCCAACAGGGAAAAATCTATAAAATCCTCCTCCTGTATAAATGGAAGGATTTTAACAAAATTTGGTCTAGAGCAGCATCCTTGGTTAAAGGGGGCTCAGTTGTGTATAAATGGAGGGTTTAGCCCCTTCGGGGCAGACGAGTGGGTCCCAACAGGGGAAATAGGGATAAAGCTGTAAATACTTTTTTTTTCTGTACAAATGGAGGGATTTAACCAAATTTGTTCTGGAGTATCTTTTGGCAAAGGGAACACAATTCAATATAAGGCCCTGAGGGTTTGGTGTAGAGCATCTGTGGTTAAAGGAGAAGTAGTTGTGCATAAACGGAGGGTTTAACCCTAAGCCCCTTAGGGGCAGAGGGGTGAGGCCCAACGAGGGAAATAGGGATAAATTTCTATAATCCTTTTCCTAATGTACAAATGAAGGATTTTAACCAAATTTCGTGGAGTGCATTCTCAAGTAAAGTAAAGTCATTGATCAGTTCTATGTGAATGGAGAGTGTGTCTGCCCTCCCATTTTCCCCAAGGCAGAGCCCGATAAGGGCAATTTGAGGTAAATATTTAAAACCCTTCTACATTGCATGAATAAAGGATTTTAACAAAATTTGGTGTAGAGAATCAAATGAAAATGAAGGGTGTGGCCACCCCCAGGGGAAATAGGGATTAGTCTTTAAGATCCTATCCCTTTCATAAAAATGGATTGCTTTTAACCAAATTTTGTCTGGATCATCCTTGGAAAATTGAACTAAATTTGTTTTTATAAAGGGATGGTATGCTCCCCAAAGGCAGAGGGGCAGAGCCCAATAGGGCAGTTTGAGGTAAATATATATAAAATCCTTCTACATATGCACAAATGAAGGATTTTAACTAAATTTGGTGTAGAGCATCATTGGGCAAAGGTGGAAATGAAGGGTGTGGCCACCCCTAGGAGCAGGGTCCTATATGGTGAAATAAGGATACATCTTTAAAATCCATCCCAGTTCCCCCCCCCCNAAGGATGTATCCTTTAGTGAGACAGAGCCACAATTTTCAGTACAATTGTATTAACATATATTTCATTAAAATATCTTGTCATAGTTGCTTAAATATCCATGTGAGAGATAAAGGCCCTCTGGGCCTCTTGTTCATGATACCAGAATATTTGGTGTAGGTCTGTAGGTCAAGTGGCTAATAATAGTTAAAACCAAGTGTGCTCACAGACAATTTGACAAATGAAAATATTGAACTAGTTGATAATATTATGTGCACTTGTTCACAGAGTTCTTGTCTTTCCTTATATTTTAGACCCCATTGTGTAGTCTGTTGCCAAGGAAGCTCAACCGGCACAGCTCCACCACCAGCACAAGTAATGGGCTTGACAAGCTTTATGAACTGCGCATCTATCAAATTTGGCCAAAGGAAATGAAACCATTCATTGAGCTGAGCAAAGAGTGGATTCATCTGAGAACAGCTCACTCGCGTCTGGTTGGTTACTGGGTCAGCGAAATTGGTGGCTTGAATGATGTTGTCCACATATGGGAATATGGTAAACAACCCAAGATGCATGAGGGATTTTTTTTTTACTTGTGTTTCCAGGATCATCCTCAGAAAAAATAGGTTAGGTATAGGTAGTAGGCAATTTATTTTTATTTTGGAAAAGGTTTTTACTCTGCATATATACAGCAGGAATTCTGACTTAAACAGTGCATATCACTAAATGCCAATACAAAAATTTAGGATAGACACAAAATTCTAGGGTAGGTGGGTTGGCAGTAACACAATTTTTTTTTTATTTAGCCTGATTTAGCTTCTACCTGTGATTTTTATTTTCCTTTATGTTTCAAATTAATTAATTAATCTGATATCAATTTACCATTCAAAAGGGTGATTAACAGGTTTGTTAGTGAGGGAGATGCATGTTAGTTCTTTTGGAATGTTACAGATGGACATGGGTAAACCTATATGCATGCACTTGTCCCTTCCACAAACATTTCTACAATGCTTTTGATAGTACAATGTACAACATTGATACAAGTCTCTGTTTTTTATCCACCAGATGATTTGAATCAGCGGGCAAAAGTGCGCCAAGCTCTGGCTGACGACCCTAACTGGATCAGTAGTTACTTCAGCAAGATATTACCAATGATGTCTCGTCAGGAAAACATGTTACTCCAAACTGTCGGGGACTGTTATCTCGTTCAGCCTGATCTCAGAGGTAAGTTTAATATATAACCGCCATTCTGTAGGAACAGTAATTTTGATTTAGTCTGACATCAGAGGTACATCTTAACCTGCACACTGTTAGGGATATCAATATTGTCCAGTGTGACATCAGAGATACATCTATAACATGTCAGAATATCAGAGACATCAGTCTTGTCCAGTCTGACATCAGAGATACACATATAACCTAATAATCACAATGTCAGAGACATCAATCTTATCCAGTGTGACATCAGAGATACATCTATAACATGTCAATGTCAGAGACATCAGTCTTGTCCAGTCTGACATCAGAGGTACATCTTAACCTGCACACTGTTAGGGATATCAATCTTGTCCAGTGTGACATCAGAGATACATCTATAACATGTCAGAATATCAGAGACATCAGTCTTGTCCAGTCTGACATCAGAGATACACATATAACCTAATAATCACAATGTCAGAGACATCAATCTTATCCAGTCTGATATCAGAGATACATCTATAACATGTTAGAATACCAGAGACATCTATAACATGTCAGAATGTCAGAGACATCAATTTTGTCCTGTTTGACATCAGAGATACATCTATAACATATCAGAATGTCGGACATCAATCTTGTTCAGCCTGACATCAGGAATTTGTCAAGTATGTATATCACCTGTTCCTATTAATGAATATAAAGATTGATAAATGTAACCCTCAGGTAGGAGTTTTGTTTCCTTTACAGGTGTTTATGAGCTGGACACGATGAACCAAGGAACAGGTCACCAATTTACAGCCAGCAAGGGTGATGCCAAGCTGCTTGGTACCTTTCAAAGTATTCTAGGACCAACTGACACAGGTTAGAAAATGAAAATATATAAGTATCATTAAATATCTGTATACTTGCCTATACAGTATAGATGATAATTGTCTTAAACCAAAATTAAAACAAACATGCATGATTGTTAATAATGATACTTTGTAGTACGTGTCTATATGTTATACCAATATAATGAAGCATTTTTTATGGTTTATATATCAGTAATTTTGTGGATAATTCTATTTATGAAGTTAATAAATCCTTATCAAGAAATATTAGGTAATGTTTACTCGCAAGGGTTTGAATGTAAAGGATGGAATCGTGTTAGGAATTCCTAAACTGATTTTAGAAAAGCTCACCATTGAATTACATGTATTGTTATTTAAGGATACCAGCTGTGGTTCCATTCCTCTGCTCAGCAGGGTGTAGAAAACCAGATCAAAGGCTACAATAAAGGTAGAGTAAACTTGCTGTTTGTCACAATTTGACCAAATATTCTGTAGCAATCCATTATAAAATAGTTTCACGGTGCTGCTTATTTATTTAAAGGATCCATACTCGTTTGATAAAATGCTTTTTGCTTCATTGTTTAAAGAGATGAATAATGAACTGTTATAGAATGTTACACTGAAAGTGCCTTGAAATCATGGTTAGAATTTTCATCAAACTTATTTCATGAAGGACTTTCCGGAATGGAAATAGATCTCAGTTCCAGATAATTGTATGACCCCTTCTAAAAATGCAGAGAATAAAAAAAGATACAAGACCCAAATAATAGAGAGAATGGGTTTATCACTGGAATGACATGATTCAAGAACCTACTACTGTTTAATACATGTGTACACAGAATAAGTTTGGGGGAAAGTATTCCATTTAACCCTTTCACCCCTTTGTAACTGTAGTTAACTCTTCCATGCATTGATCTGGACGAGTCCATTTTGGTCTCCAGTGGTGAAAGGGTTAATGTCATAATAAGAGGCAACTTATGTGCAGAATTGGGAATTTTTACTGGGCCATCTGCTAAGGGGACTATAAAGAAACCTAAAATGATAATTTGTCCATATTCAAATACTTAGAACCACTATTTCTATTGTTCTTTATCTTCTTTCTGTTTGGCAGTGTCTCCTTGGACACCCATCCTCATATGACCTTGGAACTTGTGATGACATTAACTCATTCACCCCTGAAATTTCATTATGAACTATTCCAACCTTTGAATTGGAAGAGTTCAAATGTGTCTTCAGGGGTGAACGAGTTAAACACTGTATTAAACAAAAAAAGGTTTACCACTGTAAACTATGAAATAATACCAGACCATATACACTAGACAATCACTGATAAATGTGAAAAATGACTAGACCATACTACATTTAATACAAACAATGGTGAGATGTGAAATAATAATAGTCCTCTATGTAGTACAATGTATGTAGGTATATAAATCAGAATCAGTCAGCAATGATGGTTGAAGTGTTATTCTTTTTCCGATTCAGCTGACCAAGCGAAAGGAGGAGGAGGACATAGACGACTGCTGATTCCCACACCCTGGTCTCCCCTACAGTAGAACAGATGATAGCTGATTCCCACACCCTGGTCTCCCCTACAGTAGAAGAGGAGGTCATCTTCCCACATATCTGTTGTTATACAAGACAAAGTTAAGAAGAATCTTGCTGATACAGCCACCAGTTTCCTGAAAAGTAATACAACGGGGAAGTGACTGAATCGGTTGAATATGAAATTTTTTAATCCTTTTTCTTACTATTTCATATGATTTTTTTTTTAGTTTTTAGCACACCTGTATACAAATCACTTATTATATATATACTATATCATGTTGTTAAAAGTAATTACCAGGTACAATACCTCTCCACAGGAAGGTGGACAGGACATGCTCTAGTTTGAATATTTTGTAGACTCATTTTATATTTTTACTCGAAAATTTCATATATATAAAACAAAACATGATTTCAAATTGCCTGAAGAGCCCCAAGATGGGCGAAAGTGCTAGCGAAATTTAACCTTCGTGTTTTGTTTTATATATATTTTTACTGTCACATGGAGGTTAAAAACTTTTCACTGCTAAAATTTTATATATTGTTTTGGAGACTTATAAATCTCAATACTGATACATACAATGTAAATGATAATGTTAATCCTACTTGAAATAACTTAATTATGTGGGAAGTTTTTTGTTAAAGATTTATCAGCTATCGGTGCTATTATATATATCCCCAGTGTTCTTTATCCTAAATATGTCAAAAAAGTCAGGTTGCTAGTTAACTGTTGATTTATAGTTATACATCGATTCATATATATATATATATATGTATTGTGTCATATATCACAAGTGTAATATGAAAGCAAATTTGTCTGAAATGATGTCAATTAATTTTTACAGGAATTTTTTTAAATACGTTAAGAAATCCAGTTTTAATACTAGTCGTAAAGCTTCTGTTTACTTGTTACGTTTTTGGAATACATTATGTGTTGATTGTTTGCCTATTATACAGAATATCCGTCAAGGAAATATGCAGGCTAGTAACTTATATATAGATATAATTTTGTCTTTGCATTTCTAGGTCACCTGAGCTTTAGCTCAAGTGACCTATTGCTGTCCGTCGTCGTCCGTCGTCCGTTAACATTTTACATTTTCAACTTAAGCTGAAATACTGGCAAAGGGATTTCATTAATATTTCATGGGAAGGTTACTGACATCTCCCTGATCAAGTGTTGTTATTTTTCGGGTCGAACAGAAATCCAATATGGCCGCCACGGCCGCCATTTTGAAAAACTATTTCAAACTTAAAGTCAAGTTCTGCGGGGCCGATTGAACTGAAACTTTGTAGGAATGATTGACTCATGGTCCTGACAAAGTGTTGTTATTTTTCGGGTCGATCAGAAATCCAATATGGCCGCCATTTTGAAAAACTATTTCAAACTTAAAGTCAAGTTCTACTGGGCCGATTGAACTGAAACTTTGTAGGAATGATTGACTCATGGTCCTGACAAAGTGTTGTTATTTTTCGGGTCGATCAGAAATCCAATATGGCCGCCATTTTGAAAAACTATTTCAAACTTAAAGTCAAGTTCTACTGGGACGATTGAACTGAAACTTTGTAGGAATGATCGACTCATGGTCCTAACAAAATGTTGATATTTTTCGGGTCGATCAGAAATCCAATATGGCCGACACGGCCGCCATTTTGAAAAAACTATTTCAAACTTAAAAACAAGTTCTAATTGGCCGATTTAACTGAAACTCGGTCTAGGAATGATCAGCTCATGGTCCTGACAAACTATTTTGTACTCAAATTGGTACATATTTCAACAACAAAAATAAATACTGTAGGACTCAGGTGACCGTTTAGGCCCATGGGCCTCTTGTTTTGTTTAATCACCAATGGAAATTTATTTCAGAGAAAAAATATCATCTCAAACTTTTGCCCAAAAATCAGTTTATTGGGTGATCATTTTTTTTGCATGATTTTATGTAAGTGCTAGTGAATCGTTAAAAACCTGTCCTACCTTTGTGTCCTAAAGTAAATAGGACAAAGCTGCATATATCATGAACATGTTTGGTTGTCAACTTTAAAAAACAAAAAATCCATTTAAAAATTGATGGTGAATCGTGATTATTCTGTTTATGTGATTTTTTTAAAAATTTGTTTTGGCTTCCAAACCCAATTATCATTAGCATCAACTACAATGTTTAATTTAATGGTGTATTTAAGTGTCAACCAGTTGTCTCTTTCTTACGATGGAGTCTTTTTATTGTCAACCGACAATTGTCTCTAATAATGTGCCATGATTGTTATACCTGTTTACAAGGTGCTAGTTAATGTGCCATTAATATTATCTTGCCAAAATGAGCCCATATAATTTATAGTCTTTTGTACACAATAAATGTTTCCTCAGGTGTATTTTGTACATTATTTAATACAATTCAGATTATTTTTAGTGGTGTCGCAAGCAATATAATTGCTATTTAAATAAAATGATTTTCCATCATAAACCATATTCTAGTCCATAACTGTTATAAAAGTGTGTATTCTAACCCTACTTGTTGCCAAAAAAAGAAAAGAATGCACACTATATTATATTCATTAACCCTTTCACCACTGTAGACCATAATGGACTCATCCAGTTCAATGCATGGGATAGTCTACATAGGGGTGAAAGGGTTAAAAAGCTAGTCGTTTTGATATTAAATTATGTATAAGCGAGTTATAGAAGAATTAAGTAAAATTGAAAATTTTGTTATTTGAGTAGTGTGACAAAATAATTTTAGACTGATGTCTCCAATTACTAGAGGTTTTAAAAAAGTAATTGTTCCCCAGTTATTTTACTGCCCCATATGCCTGAAACCTTTCAAAAATTTCTTTAGACTTGGTTGCAAGAGATTTCTATAAAGTTTGAGATTTTTCATACAAGTTGAAGATGGTTTCCTGCTGATGGTTTATATTTACAACTTATTCACCCCTTAAAATGCATTTGAACTCTTCCAATTCAAAGGTTGGAATAGTTCATTATGAAATTTCAGGGGTGAATGTGTTAAAATCATTCAAGATTTGAAAAGGATCTTGTTATCATTTATGATTATAAGCAACGAGTTCCGTTCAAAGATGTTCCGTGATGCATGGTATGTTTTTGTTGTTGTTTTGGCAAAAGAAATCAAGATATTTAAATTCGTTGCAGTGTCTAAAATTGTACTGTTATATATTATTCATTAAAACAGATTGTACAAGCATCTTTTTCCGGATTTTTTCTCTCTCAGTTTTAGGCTATGACAAACATTGTCCAGGCTTTAGAATATATTTGATAACCTGAAAAACAACAAAACTGATAACATCATAATGATTTTGAAAACAAATGCACACTCCTGGTTTTATTAAAAAAATGAATAAAAATTAAATGTACATATTAAAAGTTTTGATCCTTTCAACTATAAGTAATGACTGAAGGTTTTTTTGCTGGTTATGCATTTACATTTACTTTAAAAGCTGTGTGCACTTTTTTCCATAATTCATAACACACATCATGTAATGTGGACAAAAATATGGTGTGTATGTTTCAGGTAATATGACTGAACAATAAAGTAGGTCGATCGGTTGGTATGGTTTTTTGAGGGGGGTGGGGTTAGTAAAATCACAAAACATGTTTTTAGGTCTTTAATATTATGGAATTTAAATTTGGTTTTATTACCTGCCTATGAAGTATAGAGAGTATATATATATATATCAGATGTATTGTCTGTTTGTCCATCAATTTGGTGAAAACATTATCCTAACACTGGATGGAGTGCGTTTGAGTGAGATAAAACTGTTAGAGTCTGAGGTAAAAACTCAGAAGATAAGTCATTGGAGAAAGGAAGATCAATTTCAGACAGGGTCAAATTTTATTCCTGTCCCGATACTTTAAAAACACACTGGATAAAAAACAAATATATGCTCAATTTGGACATCAGAATTCCTTTATTCTAATTCTTGTTCTAGCACTGACTCTGGTATCTTGTGTATGTACTTTACATGGAACCAGTAAAATTGAAGATTTTCATTCTCAACAAAAACGAGTGGATGCAAGTCCAATATCAACAAAGTTATATGTAATCAGTCTTAACATTCCTCACTATCTCTTCACACTTATAATACCACGGTTATAACAATAGTAAAAAATCTTATAGATCAATTTTGTTCACAACACTACTGTACAATTTTACATCTTAAGGTAAATTAGCTCAGTAACAGATCATAACCTGTATATACATGTAAAATAAATTAACATCAATGTAACATTGAAGAATACTAAATCGGTAATTTTTTTACGAATCCCAACAATTTCTGACTTTATTACAAATATGACACATTTGTATAATAGTGATTTCCAGTTTAGCAAGACCTGTTATTATCATGAAATGTAAATGTTGACATCATTTACAGCAAAAAGTCACTTTTAAAAGAAACAATTTTACAAGGTTATCAATTTCCAATAGACAATCATTTGAGCTTTTGCTAGTCAGGGTGTTGGGACTGATTAATTTTTGACACAATTCACATGTCGCACAAAAACATGTATGAAGTATTTAAAAGCGAACACTGTTTTAAATTATATGACGAAATTAAAATGATAATAATTACATGGTAAATGTTCTACATTTTAACCAAAGCATTAAACATAATTCTATAGTTTCTATCTATAAATTACAAAGAAACTGTCAATACGACATGTTTCTTCATTATAAAACATCTTAAAACACTATATGATCTATCACATTATTATTTTGGAGAATCACAGCTATATTGCATTACATGTACTACAAGAAGCCAAATGGCTTGTATCACCCACCTGTTACTCAACGGTGTTGGCAAAATTATTTAATGCTGAATTGATCAGTCAATCTTGGCTGATCAAGAGACTAATTAATGACATCATATTGGATTTATCACCACAAATCTTTACCCCTGAACTTTCATAATAAACTATTCCAACCTTTGAATTGGAAGAGTTAAAATGTGTCTTCAGGGGTGAACCTCAAATAAATATCAGACAAGAACATTTATTAGACATCCTTTCATCAAACCCCTGGCCAGATATGTATTACTCTAGGAGATGTAGTTCTGCAGAAGATGTTTTAAGATTTCTAATAATTGTAGGTTAAGGATTTTATATACGCAAAACTAAAAAAATACTTAACCCAAGAAAGCTACAGACCAAATATTGCTAATATGGGCATTATTGTTCTTGAAAAGTCATTAAAGAAAAACTGTCGATAGACAGAAAATGCACAATATGGCAGTATGCTTATAGGCACTTGCTTTGTGGCATGTGAGCTAAATAAAGACTTCAAATAACAGTAAACACTCATTACTTAAATGGAAATACATTAATCTACTTCATCATTAAAACACTCAGACAGTTGGTTATTTTTCCAACAGTAGCTAGTTTTAAAAAACAATAACAGGAACATATCAGCCAATGACCTAAGGCATCATCAAATTAAAAATATATATTCTTTCATATTAAATGGTATTCAAATAGTACTCTTGTCTTCAAATACTTCATAAAAACATACTTTGGCACAGAGTATGATACAACTCAACATAACAGCTCCAGCATGGTTATATTGGATGTAAAATCAAAGTTCATTTCAGAGGTTTATAGTTAAAGTCTTCTGGGGCAAAAGAGGAACAAATTCTTTCCATTACAGAATCATTGAAAACATGCACAAACTTTGTTGTGTAAATTAGAGGGGCTTGTAAACATTACACAATATCTCACTCCTGGTAAGATCTTGTCCCCAGAACGTCATTGCGAATATCACAGAGGATTTGAGCGTATTTAAGTTTGAGCAGTTCTTGTGATTCTTGATCTTCTTTGTCAACTTCATCATTGATTTGTGACTTGCAGCACTGTTTAGATGTGCTCACCTGCGCAGGTGACAAAGTGTCACTGACTAACGGTTCTAAACAACGAGTACCACTGTTCTCACGAGACTGGCTACTGTTTGGGCATCTCACAGGCAGGATAACAGTACCAGTATCTGCTCCCTGACCAGTCTCTAAGTCTTTTTTATCACAGACTTGTATCTGCTGGCCGTTATCCAAATCTGTGTAGTTTCTGGTATACATAGTGACTGCAGACTCTGATGTGGATGGAGTACCTGTGATACGGAAGACTGATGAATCCTTAGAAACGGAATGCTCATTAAACCCAGAGTCGTTGTCTAGGTCGGACTGGCTGTCCAGGAAGTCAGGAACTTGGTAGTAAGGATCAGCCTCAATGTCCTGGATGGCACGACTGAGCCATCCCATCGGGCCCTGGTCCACGTCGGAATGGTCATGATCACTACTACTTGTGTTCAGAATCCGAGATGTGTCCAGCATTGGCTGGTCTGGTGGGCTTGGGTCAGCTAAGAGCTGGTACCTGTTGTTCAGTATGTTATTCTGGGAAGACACCATAGATTCATCATGAACAGCGAATTGTCCCATTGTGCATGACACTCCTACCTCTGTTGTGTTCTTACTGCTGTTTGTTTTCTTTGTGTCTGTATTGCTTGGTTCAAAGGTTGGGTAGGAAACCATTGATCCACCATGAGGTAGGAATTGGGATCCATCTTCTTGTATAAAGGGTGGTACAAAGCTAGCGCTGGCCATTGCAGGACCATCACAAAGACAGTTGGTGCTGCAACCTGCTGTATTGTTGGGTATGAAATTGGTGCTGCCATCGGCTGGACCATTGTGTGTGTAATGAGTGCTGCCATCTGCTAGATCAGTGTGTGTGTAATGAGTGCTGCCATCTGCTGGATCAGTTTGCCTATAAGGGGTGCTGCCATCTGCAGAATTATTGTGCATGCACTGGATGCTCTCACCTTCTTCCTCTGAGACATATTTGATGCCGGAACATTGTGGACCAGAGGTGAGGTAGTTCATCATTGAGAAGTTGGTGACTACAGCATATGGCTCTGCTCTTTGATGCATGTCCGAGTTCGGCAGAGCAGACATTTTCTGTAAGAAGCTTTCCTGTTTCTTCATCCATTCTAGGATCTCCGGCTCATGATAGTAGTAATTGATGGTATCCCTTCCTTCAGCATGCTCCACAGTTTTGATGAGCTGTTTCTTCAGCTCCTCAGTATTGGTCTGATTTTCTGGGAGTGTCCATGTCTTTGGTGACTTGTCCTCGGCCCCATTCCATGTGATTCTTTGCTGAATGAGCTGATCATCTGGTGATACTGTATTAAAAGAGCAGACAAAATAATCGATTTATACAGTACATCTATAATGTAACCTTGAACAAGAATTGTAAGTGATATTCAATGCTTATTTCTGAGGATTGGAGCAATTTTTGTTAGTTCCATGAAATTATTTTGATCACATATATGGTGGTCCTGGACCACATTGGATATATATTTATTTCCCTTTATTTTCATTTTTACTCTTCATGTAATACTTAAGAAACAAGATCGAAGCCAACCAGCTATATATATATAGCAGCCAACTATCATGATTTTAGGTGTTTTCATTCTTAACTAGACTTAGCTTGGAAGCATGCACTTCACTGATTACCCCGCTCCCTGCATATATGTTCTCATATCAATAGTGTTGCAGATAAGACAATTAATCCCCTGACCTTCACACTAATTTCGATATTCGTACATAAAATGGTTGCCTAGATATTCTCTGGAGGCATATGCTGTATTTAAATCCTGAGGTCATATTAAGGTTATGATCCAATTATATCATATGACATGTTGTTTGACCGTAAGGTACCAACTTCAAACCAAGCTTTAGTCCAAACCTGTCTTATTTTAGTACTTGAGGTCAAAGTCAAAGGTTACAGTGACCTCACTTTAGTTTGGGACACACTGCCTTCCTGTGATGTACGTATTAAGTTTGATGATCATTCACAAAAGAGCGGTCAAGATGTATTCCTGAAATCTGTATGAAACTGTATTTCTGCATTTGAAATCAAAGTTAAAAGTCAAACACAGGTCACAGTGACTTCATTTTTGGATGTGACCCAGCGATTTTGACAATGTACCAATGTACAAAGTTTTATTCCCATTTATGAAACAATGGCCGAGATATATGCTCTGAAAAATGTAGTCAACACGGAAAGACAGACAAACACAATTACTCCATACCCTGGACTTCAGTCAAATCATGGCCGGTATAAAAAGAACTTGGTTTGCATGTTTAACAAATACGACCCTGGTGACCAGTCATATGGGTCAAAGTCATTTCTTTTTGCAAACTTTGTACATAGCATTCCATGCCAGCGATCTGATACCTGCCAAGTAACCAACATCTGTGCAGGTCCACTTGCTAATGACCTCAAATAAGATATAGAGATTAAAATACTTCCTAGAAAAAGACATATTAAGTTATAACTATGAAATCTTATAAGTTCAAATGCCATTCTACTGGCGTTAACACTTTGCCTACAAATGCTTACATCATAATCATTTCTTCAGAAAAAAAGTTATTTGAATTTTTTAAGCAATTTGACAACTATCATCAGCACATTGAATATGGATTAATGTAGTTCCTAAATTTGGCAAACTTTGTAGCACACCATGAAAGCTACTGGCCATTTACATGTATCTGAATAGGCCTTTACGAGCTTCAGAAGAAGCCCTCTAAGTGGTTTAAAAAGCTGACCCCTGTAACCTTAAGTATGGGTCAAGGTTACTTCTTTTCACATTTCTTTTGCCAGCAGTCTATAAGCCAACAATCAGAATCTAGGCCTCTCTCTTCTCCAGAAAAGGACACATGAGTGTTTTGATTTTACATAAGAATAATTGTATATATTGTAATGCAAATCACACCTTGAGTGATCCCATTTATTGATGAATTTTATTTACTAAGGTTAATTGCAACAATACTGAATATCAAAATAATCTAAATAATCTGAAAGCTAGTTGAACACATCTTGGTGCTGATAACTGACTGTAAATGTGCTCAGTAATATGAATCACAAGTCTATATGGTGACCATTACTTGTCTGTAGTGACATGCATTTTACTGGTGGTTCCTTGAATCACTTAGGCAAGTTTGAATGTAATGACCTATCTTGAATTTGACCTTATTAGAAACATACAAAATTTCCTTTTCCTTCAAATTTGTAACACTGATCATTGAACTGAAAACCAATCATATTTACTACAAACAAATTAACAATGGGCAAGCAGATGAGAACAAGAGGCTGAAAGATTTCAATCCAGTCTTTTGGGAAAAATAACCAATGTGACCTAGAGAAAACAATTTTAAATGCTAGAGAAATGGCTCAATGCTCAATAATAATTGGACCTTCATACATTTCTATATGACCTAATTTAATTGCATGCTACCGAAAGACTGTTGTCAGCCATGGTAATAATTGAACAACAATATTGTCCAAGATACAATAAAGCAACGTTATAATATTTATCAGTTTTGATATACACGTACCTTCCTGGTCACCGTTGCCAATGGCGTGGAGGGTACTGCCCTGTCTCTGTAGGGCCCGAGTGGACTGCTCAGTGTGACTTCCCATCATGGACAGGCACCTGTTCTGTATGTGACGATTGTAGCCATGTATATTGCTATGTAGATGGCGCTGGAACGTCTTGATTCTGATAAAGGATTTCTCACATAGCATACAGTGGTACAGTTCATTCACCTTTGACACCTGAGAAACCTTCCCATGTTTTTTGCTGGTGTTGTGTTTTTTGAAGTAATGTTTTTCCTTTTCCTTCTACAATGAGAAGATGGAATTTTTGCAAGGCCTCAATAAAGAAGATAGTTGATAATAGGGATTTTTATGCAAAACAGTTCATCAAGGTAAAAAGAGCATTCAGTATTTAAACCCTTGAAAAAATTGATCACAAAAGAAAAAGGAAGACATATTTTGCAGTATAGTTCAACCCCTTATATAAAGCATATAGCACATAGAGGAAAAAACAGAAACAAAAAATGAAAAGAAATAAATACTGTGTATTACAGCTGCTTTGCCATTAATATAGCATCATTTGTTATCAGGGACTGGTTGGTCACACCATAAACAGTCTCACAGCTAGCATCAGTTGTTATCAGGGACTGGGTGACAGGTCACACCATAAACAGTCTCCAAATATATACAAGATTAGTATCACAGATACTATAGGTGGTTAAAGTGGAGGAGTTTTAACCTATATCTGATCTCTATCACTAAATATACCGGGTGTCATATTTGACAGGTTTTGATATATACAGGATCAGTATATCACATACCAGGTAGTCTGATCAATAGCTCTCTAGAGCTAATGTTTTACCATTACATACTTAACCAACTTTAAATAAAGATTACTGTATTGTATACAGTATTGGTATCACAGTCACTACGGGTAGGTATACTAGATAGATCTCTTATCTCTATTACTCATTATATTTTAGGGTTGTCATAATGGACAGGTTTTGATATAAACATGATATGTATATCAAATACAGTATTGATATCAGTCACTATTGGTGGGTTTTCTTGATAGATATCTCATCTCTATTACTCAATATATTCAAGGGTTGTCATAATGGACAGGTTTTGATATAAACATGATATGTATATCAAATACAGTATTGATATCAGTCACTATTGGTGGGTTTTCTTGATAGATATCTCATCTCTATTACTCAATATATTTAAGGGTTGTCATAATGGACAGGTTTTGATATAAACAGGATATGTATCACATACAGTATTGATATCAGTCACTATTGGTGGGTTTTCTTGATAGATATCTTATCTCTATTACTCAATATATTTAAGGGTTGTCATAATGGACAGGTTTTGATATAAACAGGATATGTATCGCATATAGTATGGTTGGTCGTACTTGAAGTTGAAAAAAACATCTCTGTCAAATACAGTATTCTTTGTCATAATGAATAGGATTTGATATATAGGATCTATATCATATACAATCTGGGCAGTCATAATGGACAGGTTCTGATATATACAGAATCCGTATTAGATTATATAGGTAGTTTTAAGGGGACAAGTTTAACTATACTGTACAGTTAAATTGGACATCTTATTGAGGCAATAATGGACAGTTTTCACTCGAGAACTTTATCAAGGTCTTACCTGGTTGTTAAAGACTATGCGGCAGCGAATGCATTTGAACTTGTGCTCCCGTTCATGGTCCTTCAATGCAGAGAATGTAATGGTCTTCTTACAGAAACGACAATCTGTTGGTCTGTTGGACTTCAGTTCTGCTGCTTGATCAGGGTCGGTGACCACACGAAATTTGGCATAACCCTGGAGTATTCTTTTCTTATTCTTCATAACTAAATTGCTAATGTTCTTTGTAAGATTTTTAGATTGAGAATGCAAGCTATTATCTGAGCCTTTTTTGCGTTTCCAACTGGTCTTTTTCTTTTGACCATCACTGCTATTTTTAAATATCTTTTTCTTCTTCTGTAATGTTTCCTTTCCATCACCTTTCTGTTTCAATACATCAACTTTTTTCGACGTTTGTGGAGAAGAATGATCTTTCAACAGGCTCGAGTCATCAGCTTTCTCTTTTGTTTTCTGTTTTTTCCCCTGGACTTTCTTTTTAGTGCCTATCAGTTTTTCAGCATCACCATCATCCTCATTAGAAACAATCATATTTTTAGATTTCTTCTTCACATCTGTGCTTTGTGTGACATTTTCTACTACAACTGCCTGAACATTGTCCTCGGTATTATCATGACTTAGTAAATCACCCTTTTTCTTTCCTTCCATTTTGCTTTTCTTTGGCTTGCCTGTTGATGATGAGGTAACATTCTTTCTTACCTCCTTGCTTTTCTTTTTCTTATCAGATGACGAAGTAATTTCCTCAGATTTACTGGTAGATTTGAGCTTTGTGGTGGCTGCAGCATCATTCCCTTCTGCTAGGTATTTTTCTCCAGTATTGCCTGATATGTCACCATCAGTCACACATGTTATAGCGGCTTCCTTTGATGAAGTAAGGGTTTTAAATGGACGTCCTTTCTTTTTCTTTGCAGGCACTTGTGAACGAGACACACTTTTCTGAGATTTCTTTTCCTGTAACTTACTTCCGCTTCTTTTGTTTGAGGCAGATTTGCTCTTCATTTCACCAGTGGAGACATGCACTGTTGCCATTTCATCTGTGGTTGAAATATTCTGTCTTTCCGAATTGCTTGTACAAGTTGTCTGTCCATTTGTCTGTGTTTGGACATCCTTGACTGTATCTTCCTGAGTGATGTAAACGGTGCAGTTCTGTGTCACAGGGCCAGCGTTCACTAATGCAGTTCCCAGATCAGTTGTCCTAGGGGTGGTGGGGTCACCAATGTTACCCTTAGTGGGTGGGTCACTGGTTGTTTCAAGATTCACTGGATTAATCAGCAAAGGACTTGTGGCATCATCAGAAACACTGTTGCCTTGGGTAATGTTTTTGGTTTGGGCTGAAGGAGCTGTATTAACCTCAGTAGTAGTGCTGATTGGAAGTGTTTTCTGAGATTTTGTTACTGTTCTCCTTTGGTGATTTGAACTAGTTATAAGACTTGTTGTCAACCTCTTCAACATATTTCTAGTACACTTTGGGGTTGATTTCAACAGGAATTCCTCATCAATATCAAAATCTGGGTACTTCTCATTTGCAAGTTTTTCAAATGTCCTTGTACCTCGATTCCTTGTTTCAACTCCTGAAACGGTGGCCGAATTATTTCGTTCTTCTACGACAACATCATCCTGATACAATTCTACCATATCCCAATCAGAATCATGGTCAGTCCTATCACATGTACTGTAGGTGTCTCCTGTATTCTTTCTCGTTTTTTGCCGTTTTCGTTTGTTGACAGCTGTTTTGTAACCCTTTGCCACCTCCCTACACTCACTGAAGTAATTCTCAAGCTTTTTTGGAACACCTCTTTTTCTCTGTGATCTTCGGCTAAATGCATTGAAATCCTCCCCTAAAAAATCTGCTGATTCCTGAAGGAGTTGTTTCTCTTGGCTTGACATAACATGACATTCGCTGCAAGACTTGTAGTCGTGCCAAAGGGGAGGTAACTCTTTCTTCTCGGGGACTGGTGTCGTACAACCATTCTCACGGGTTGAAACATTACTTTTGTTACGCTGCGTGGTAATTGTCATGATAAGTGTGTCTTCTTTGATCTGAGCTTTTGTAAAAGTATCAGATATGGAGTCGGAGATACAACTTTCACGCTTTTGTAAATCATTTCCAACAGTTGCGACAGTTGTGTTCTCCGACGTCCCTTTCACCTTCTGCATTGCACTTGAAATATTTTGGGATAACCTTTTAACATTTTTACCAACTTTATCCTTGGAAGTTTTACTCAAGTTCTGGGATAAAACAGTAGCAATCCTTGTCAGTGGATTATCTGGTTGTGCTCCTATGGCTGCATCACTGGTGTCACAGAAAGATGATCTGCTCTGATGGTCTGCAGAAACTTCACCACTGGTCGATAAAACATCAGAGGTCGTAGTCAATACCCCATCTGATCCCTCATTGATCCGGGACACAGCTAGGAGTTCTTCAGAGACTACTCCAACAGGTGATTTAACTACTAGTGCCCCAGAAACTCCAAAAACTTCTATTTCTGAAGATTTTTTAGCGTCATTTTCAATTTCTATGAATGTTTTCTTTTTCTCTCTATCTGGAGTGCCATTCTCATTTTCAGTACTCTGGGATATATCATTGTTTTCAGATCCTTTATGAAGATCATCTCGAGGACTGGACACAAGAAAACTGACATCTAACATCTCTGTAATACGTTTGTCCAGACAAATAGCATTTTTATTGCCGACAACAGAATGTTCTTCCTGCTGTTCAAATTCCAATTCTCTGGGTACAATAGAACCAATGCTTTTAAAGTCGTTACATGTCTCCTTGTTTTTTTGGATTTCATCCATAGACTGCTGAAGGGTCAAGTCCTTACATGTCTCCCTGCTGACTTGGTTTTTATCTATCGACTGTTGAAGGGTCACGTCCTTACATGTCTCCCTGGTGACTTGGTTTTTATCCATCGACTGTTGAATGGTCAAGTCCTTACATGTCTCCCTGCTGACTTGGTTTTTATCTATCGACTGTTGAAGGGTCAAGTCCTTACATGTCTCCCTGCTGACTTGGTTTTTATCCATCGACTGTTGAAGGGTCACGTCCTTACATGTCTCTTTGCTGACTTGGTTTTTATCCATCGACTGTTGAAGGCGTGGATCCTCGAGCCGTGAACATCTAGCGGCATCAGACAATGATTTGTTGGTTGGTTCCATTTGGATAGGTATTAAACTCCACTCCATTAATGTCAAAGTTTTATCTAAGTGAAGGTCAAATTTGTCCTGGCCCATCTTTGCCATGCGTCTGCCGAGTGATCCTTCATAGTTGGTTGTATCTGATTCAGTGTCACTGTCATTAAACTGGTAACATCCCAAAGGCAATGCGATTGGATGGTACTCAGCATCATCAACACCCAAATCATTGGATCCAACACTCTCAATCTCATCAATCTTTGGATAAGGAAACAAGTTGAAGTCAGAACTTTCTGGAACATTGAAACCAGACTTATTTGGATCCAATTGTTGTGTGGTTCCTGAACTGTTGCTGAACTTGTTAGCATCAGCAAGAAGAGGTGGACAGACTGGGGAAATCGGTTTTGTCTTAGGGTTTGATTCCTCCGATCCATCTTTTTCATCCTTTATATCACAGGTGACATACAATTTACAAATATCTTTAGATTTTTGTGAAGATATTTCTGTCACCTGATCACCTGGTGGTCTCTTTGAACTTACAGAGACTGTGCCTTGTTCATCAATTGGAATACTGATCACTTTACCTGTGCCATCAGCTGTGTGTGAATTCTGTGAACCAAACAAAAGCTGTTGAGAACTGTGTGGAATGCTGCCGAAAATTGTTGCATGTAGTCCTGCTTCTTTCAGCTGGTCTAGGTCTTCATCACAACTGAATTTGTTCTGATCTACCACTTTGCTCTGAATCAATCTAGGCCTGCAATCCTTAGGCTTAAAGGCATCTTGTATCCATGCAGATGGGTTGTGACTTGTCATCTTCTTGCTTCTTAAAGAACTTTTGGTTTCAGGACTACTGAAATTTGTAACATTACTTTTCCATGCACTTGGGTGGTTACAGATGGAAGATCTGAATCCTGTTCTAGGTGATATGATACTAGTGTTCTGGTATATGATCGTCTGACAGGCTAGTGTACTGACTTCTCCAAAGCTGGTCTGTTGGTACTGAAAGTTGGGACCACACATCATGTTTGTGGTCCCAATACTACTCGGGTCTAGAAACCCTCCACTCAGGTACGAGGCCATGGCACCAGGGATTGGTGCTCCCCGTTTGTCTACTGACTGCCCCTGGCTAGGGCTATGCTGGAAGGTCTGAACATTACTTAGCCCACACAAGAGATGAGGTGGGGGAGGAGGCGAAGACATTGGTGGAAATGTGCTACTTTTGCCTGCTGTTGGAGAATTCAACATTTTATCACATTTTGGTGCAGATGATGAGGAATTGCATTCTACTTTTGTTTGGATCAAAAGTGGTGAAGTCTTTTTACGCTTGACCTGCGGTGGGATAAACATTGGTGGAGTGTTTTTATACTGAGGGAGTGATTCAGGCTTCTTACACTTGACTGATAGCAGGGACGAGATGGGAGGCAATGGAAGCTTGTCATTCTTCACTGGCTCTACATGGTACACATTTTCCATCCTACAATAACACAATAAATAATTATACAGAACGTTGGAAAACACTGAATCTGCCTGGTCTTTTACTTTCTGATAACATTAGCTTTAATTTTCCTTGGGGATTTTAATATAATTCAACAAGGCAAAGTACTGTGCGCAAACCATATCCCAATATTCATATTATGTATGTACATAAAATATTGGACAGCACACATTATAATTGTATTACAAATTTACAAGGACTCATAAACTATGTTGTTAATAGTCCTTTCCTGAAAACTACTCTTACTATATATAAATAGTCTGATAGACTCGACAAGATGATAAATGTTGTAGATCATCATTTTTAGATATATGCTTGTGATTAAGACATTGAAACGATAGAAGGGTAGCAATTAAGAGACCCCAGTAGATGTTCGCCTGTTTAATTGGCCTTCTTTTTCAAAAATGATAGCACTTGATCTATTGCCAACAAGCTACTGGCAAAATAACATAATTCTAGATGTTTTTAGTTCTTCAGATGTAAATTGAGTAATTTAACATATCAAACCGCTTGGCCTTTGAACTTAGGTCAAGGTCATTTCTTTACACAAAATCCAAAATTAATAGCTCTCCATGGAAGTGGAACAGAGGAAAGAGAATAAAGTGATTATGAATCAAACCAGGAAACCCACAGCTTCCCAGTCTGTTGCTCTACTGATAGAGCTAAAAGGAAGTTCCCTCCACCCAAAGCTAAAGGGTGTAATCTTATGTATAATTAAAACGTGCCACACAACTATCCCAATTTTTAAATGTGTTTACCCTCGAACATCACAACAACCCAGGTTCTAACATTACTGTTATGTCAGGGGGCCATGGACACCATTTGTAACAGAGAAGAGAGGATTTAACCAGCTGCTTAGTCCACTGCTTTCATGATTGAGCCCTACTATGTACATAAATTCTTTCCAGCACAAAGCTGGAAGATGATCAATCTAGGTGCAATGCTTCCACATCTGCGATGTTCCAATATACACTTATTGCCCTGGTGTGAGGGAGACCTGAAGAGTTGTTTTCCCAAGACAAATCATATTTCCCCGAGGACGAAGCCCAAGGGAAACATGATTTATTGAGGGGGAACAAATCTTCAGGTATCATCAACTATCATCTTAATACATCAACATTAGGCAATGTAACGAGCTCTTGTGTTGTCACTGGTGTGACTGACCTGTTCGCTCTTATTTCATTAGGCCTGGTAGCATATATATACTACAAATACCTATCACTGTCAGTGTTTTGATTTTACATCAAATTAAACAAAAATAATAGCACTTCATCTCCCGTTCGCAGCCATTGTTGGTACTTGTTTGTCGTGTCGTCCGGAACACAAGGGCATTATAGAGTTTAACAAAGAGAGACAACTCGTCCGATAATGTTTGAGGGGTTCCAAGAGGAATAATCGTCAGGGAAAATGGATCACGTGAGGGAGACTCAATGTTTTATAATCCTGTCATGTGATGTGTTTAAACCAATTAGACACCCTGTAAAATCGATGAGAAATAATACTTTTTATTGGTTAATAACCATGGATTATCAGATGCAAATTGAGTCACGGGGCTGGTTTCATTTATCGAATGAGAGATACCCACTTTCATTTTGTATGTATTTAAAGGTTTGCTAGCAGACAAACAAACAAAAAAAACTTTTTGACCTCTAGATCTACTTAAAATCTGTCAAGTTTGTGGTCAGAATGTCCCGCTGAACTTACCGTGAAGGTAACTTGAAATAGTGTTTTTGAATAGTGACTTGACAAGCAATGTTAATAGATTGGTGGATTTGATTGATTGAAATAAACATCTGGCATGAAGCATGTCATCAGTGTTTAATGTTTATTTAAATGATAAGATTATCTAGGTCACCATGCATGCTTATCAAATATAATAAATTATACAAAATAGTGTTTAATGAAATTAATTATCGGAACAAATTGATCATAGAAACAAGGTTCAGAAAAACATCAGCACAAACAAACCAATCAAGTCGTGGTGGCCATTATTAAATTTAATGCCAGTTGGTTATCATTTTCTTAACATGAACAATTGTAAGTACATGCTATGTATTTTGTTCATACATCAAAACTGGTACACGATGTATATCGGAGACTGAGGACATTTGTGAACAAGGGGAATACCCTAGTTAGAGTCCATCTTGAGTATGCAAATACTTTATGGCACCCAAATTTAATTAAACATATTGATATGATTGAGGCTGTACAACGGAGGGCAACTAAGCAGTTACCTGGATTTAAGGAAATGTCCTATTCAGATAGATTTATATTACCAACACTGGCCTTTAGAAGGATCAGGGGGGATATGATCGAAGTATTTAAAATAACGAGCAATATCTGTGATAACAAGGCAGCGGATATTCTTCAACGCCAGAACGACAAAGTCCAAAGACAGGGGACAAGAAGACGTTCGAAAAAGCTGTTTCTATATTATTGTAAACTAGATATCAGGAAAAACTGTTTGGTTCTACGCGTAGTCAAAATATGGAACAATCTCCTAGAACAAGTAATCTCTGCACCAACAGTAAATTCTTTCAAAAACAGATTAGATAAGCATTGGGAAGATCACGACCTTATATATAACTATAAGTCTGAAATTCTATAGAAATTAGAACTGTTCTCACAATTGATTTATTTAATGTATTGTTATTATTGTATATTTGAGTCCCGTGTAGAGGATCTTAAATGATCCTTTACTGGTAGTAAAGTTAACTGAACTTAACTTAATACCCACAATTAAGCCCCCTCCCTACTTTTGGTCAATCTTTTTTCACAAGGGTTGGGGATTTATTTGCAGCCAAATATGGTACCTTGATAACACTTCAAAGAAGCTATTTGAGTGTTGAAGAAATGTTGACCTCAGTGGCTTGGAACATGGATCAAGGTCATGTTCTTCACAAACTTTTGTTCAAACGTCATTTTTGAAAACAAATCTCATTCAATCAAGTTGGACAATGGNAGAAAGTCCTTTAAGCAGACAAGTCTTGGAATTTGTATCAAAACTTATTTTTCAACAACCACAGGAGTTTGACATCATTTTAAGAATATATAGCAGTCTAAATGACATACTTGCCAACTCTCCCTATTTAAGAGGGAGTTGGACCTTTAAACTTAGCATTTCCAACCAGTGAATTTACTAAACTAATCATATGTTCAAAGATATAATTACTTTATCTGAAAGAACAATTCAAATATGTTATTTTAAAGGATTTTTTTTGTCTCTTGGGGATAATACACACATTTTATTGATGTTTTAATTTTGAGCATGCATAATCGGGATCCCCCACGGAAATTTCAAAAAGTCTGTAAGTCGAGATGACCCCAGCCCCCTCCCTACTTTTATTGGTGTTTTTTTTTTATAGCATTAGAGATATTTTTTCCTCTATACAGCTATATTTTATTGATATAACGTCAAATTCCTGTGCAATAACACATCCTCTTTGCTTTCACCATAGGAGCCTGAAGTTCTGTCAATAATGAATAATAATAGAAATACAAAAAAATACCCCTAATATGCTTATTTTTTAAGCATATTAGGGGTATTTTTTTTGTATTACTATCATTATTCATTATTGACAGTATTTTTTTTTTGTATTACTATTATTATTCATTATTGACAGAACTTCAGGCTCCTATGCTTTCACCCCTTCCCACCTAATGCTGAACACTTCGAATTCGGCGAAACAAATCACATTCTTCTTTAAAGCTTGGTTGGGCCTGGTATTCCTGGCCTACGTAAGACCTTTGGAAAAGATAGTGGTAAATATTTTATCAGCGGTACTGTAGTTCAACAGAAGTTCATATTGATATTTTAGTCCAACTCTGACTTCTGAAATAGGGGTTGGTAAGATAACTTGCATATATTGCTGCAGGATTGGGCAACAGTACTTGGTTGGTGTTTTTTGCGGGGGTGGGGGCTCATGTATCTCGCCTGTATTATTCTATTGTTGGTTTAGTCGATAATGCTAGAATACCCACCTTATTGCATATACTATCAGCTATTCCAATAAAGTTTGCTGTCATTGTAAACGGTTAAATTCATTTTGTCGCTTGCCAAACTTAAAATATGGCGGGATTGTTCTTATCACGTGCATTGTGTACACACGCGCATGTCTTGCCATGCGGATGTTTCTAGTGTTTTCAAAGACAGCACTGCAAATAACTCTCGTTATATCACAGGGACCTGATAATTTGTTACAGTTGGTATGATTGGACCACTACTGATGTGCAGAAAGTTATATTTGTTTAAATCAACACCTGATTGAAATGATATCCCCAATGAGATCTAATTAGACATGTTATGGGTTGAAATCAATTCTCGGTAAAATGACATCCCCAATGAAGCTATACTTGCACATCTCAAAACATACCAACTGTAACAAATTAGCGGGTCCCTATATGATTAATGTAACCAGTTTTTGTTTCTCTTGAGTTACCAATGGGCGTAACGCGAAGCGAAGACTTATCTATACGTCTCTGGGCGAAGTTTGTGTCTTCATTTTGTTTCTTAATTATGTAGAATAAATATATATTTCCAGTTCAAATATTTGTATTTGTGACTAGATTTTTTTTTATATTATAAATCGGATTAAAGACTGAACTGGGTGACATTTTTTTCGAAATCAAGAATTCGAATTCTTGATATAAAAATGATTTTTCTTTTATTGTCTTTTCTTGGGGGGGGGGGGNGCCCCATAAAAACGAAAAGTTGACTAACGTCAGCATTCAGCTGAAACCCACAGAACATTTTTTTATTCGTTTCGCTTGGTCTTTAATTAAGGTAAAGAAACCCAATATCTATCACCCTCACTTGTATAATTGTTTAAGAGAAATATTTCCTAATTCAAGTAAAATTTATTCTAGAGGTCATGTATCTATTTGATAAGATAGAAAATGTCATACATATGTAAAAAAAAAACCCACACACTATTAATCCAATACACAATGCAATGAACCACACTTTAGCTGCTAAATTTCTCTCTTTGATTTAAAACATTAAAGTGATGTATTTTTAAAGTGGTCAATTTTTAGGACAATATTATAACCTATGTTGCCAGAAATAGGACAAGATTGCCTCGCCAAGAGACTAAATATTAACAAAATATATACAAATACATACATTTGATTAAATATAATAAAAAAAAATTTGGGCCTTATATGCACTCAAAAACAGCCCATGTGGCACTAGAGACCTTCCAAAGTATTAATTAAGTTCAACCTTTCCTTTTTGGAGGGCTGCCCGGGCCCCTAACCCACACCATTCCCTACTTTCTTTAAAAAAATCACGGATTCTATATATATCCAGAAAAATTCAATTTCTTGAAAATAGTAAAACGGTGAATGAAAGCAGCAATAACACCATGGTGCCCATGGCTCGATCGGAGCGACTGCAGTCGGTAACGAGCTAAAATAAAATACCCATAATTCCATTTCTTGCCAAGACGTCAGAAGTTCAAGATGGTGACGTCATTTTAACATCATTATTTTTCGTGATTTCTCTACACAAAGGGTTGGATAAAACTGGTGAGTAAACTAAGTGAGATTCGTGTAAAAGAGGTATTAAGATAAACCTCAATAGGCCTTTTAGCAGTATATCAATGCAGGACAGCTACTTCAGTAAACAGGAAGTAAAAATGGACTGAAGTGGATGACATTGAAAGTCATAGAGAAGAGAGGGAGACATACGATACTACAAGGATACAGATTTCCAACAGTTGTCATTCTTGTTGTTGTAGAGAGGATTAGTGATAGCTTTTAATAAACTGATCATTATCTTATTTTAAACTGTTAGACATACTTCATCTGTTAACAATATGCTTGAGCCTCTTCGGAGACCCTGTGTCTGTGTCATCTCATGAATGAATCTTAGTCAAAACAACAGCGGGATTAGATTCCCCGATCGGACGTGAACAGGTATGGAGTCACCTGCCCGAACATGCTAGTTTCATTCGGGTACTCTGGTTTCCTCCCACATCAAGACTCCTTGCGCGCTAACATCCGGACCAACAAGGAGGATTACTATAAGTATAAGTTGAGATAACCTTTTTATAATGGTTAAATAGTAAATAGTTTATATCTATGTTTACAATACTAAAATAGTTCACCTGGAGCAGTTCTTGTGCATTTGAAGATATTAAAGCATACTTATGATCTTCATTTAATGTCCTTGATTACTTCAGTCACTATATCAGTAGCAAAATAAAAGAATACGGAGTGATATATTGTGATTAATATAATAATTTGTGTTCCATATACTATATCATGGTGTAAATAGCATGTCTCATCTTCATTTTGCGATTTATGCACCAGTCCTTCTTTATAGTATCATGTACCCCATGCATATCAGTAATTGAGTTATATTGTATTAATCTACCACCCCTAGTGTATGAACGGTGTATCGGGTAATGTACATGGATGTAACCTGACACTTTTCTATATAATATGCAGCTGTTTCTTTCCTAAGCATTCGCTAGTCAAAACTATTTCCCTTCCGTTTTCGGACCAACCTGATGAACTGTTTCCCGGGGCCTGCAAAAATTCATTGGGTTGTTTGCCAACCAATAACTTGTTGGTTTCAGTATCGAGGGGAAATAGTTTGGACTGTTGACTGATAAGGAAGAGAAGAACTGTTTTGTTACTTGATATATGAAAAATAAATGCTATATGACATTACCGTATCACCAATTTCTTCAAACAGTAGCATGTTGATGTCGTCTACAGAATCTGTTTAACTTTTGAAATTTTATCAGACGAAATTTAATTGGCTATTGTACGACGCTTTTATCCAGTCAGAGACTGTCAAGCAACTGGTAAGTCTTATTGACTGTTGCGCGTTGCTGTTAATCAGTCAGAATTTGACAGACAACTATTAAACTATTAATTATATTCGACTGTCATCCGGCTTGTCACGTAATATATGTTTCTTTATGGTGGAACAAGTCAAAATCTATCGTCAGACAGTGTTTGTTTTCCAACGAATAGAAACCCTAAAACATATTGCCTTTATTTCAGATTTCTATTGGGTGTCCGATATTACTACCTAGCCTCTACGTGATGAGTCACCGACGCTACATAGTGGTAGACCCAATCACAATGGTATGTTTGTCTTCAAAATAAATTTAACGGCATTAACATTTGTAGCTATTTTGTAATGTTCACTGCACGTTGTAAGTTAGTTCAAAACATGGCATCCTTTGAGTATATTTCACACCACAATTTGACAAGAGTGACAAAGGGAAAAATGAAAATAAATGCTTAGTTTGTTTTCAATCCAAACAAGAATTGAAAACTTATTTTGCGAGCTTTTTTAAACGTCTATTTCCTTTGTCAAGCAAAGAGTCACATCTGTTTCCTTTGCCAAGCAAATAGTGCACACTCGAAAGCTCGCAAAATAAGTTTTCAATTACTTTTTTTTGTGTTCATTCTTAATTCATACCAAACTGAAGAAACTCATTCCGGTATAAGTGAATATATATATAAGATTTACACGTTCAAGATACTGAAATACCGCACGTGTATCACAACAAACATTGTATCTTATGAACTACATCATCAACGAGCTCCCTTATTACACGCGGGGCATTGGTTCACAAATAGTTGTTGACCCTCGACAGTGACCTTGACCGATGTGTTTTGCTTTTTTTACCATTAATTTGTTTAACGTCCTGCTAATAGCTAAGGTCTTTTAATGACACGCCTCCATGTGCGTTGTGTAAGCGTGCATGTGTGTATGCGTGCCAGAGACCGGGTATGTTATAGCGGATCTGATGTCGACTTTATAGTACTAGCTCACTGAAATGCCATGCCAAAGGTACCAAACACAGTAGTATTCCGCCCGATCACATTTTACTGACGAATCAGTTGTTGCGATGCCCCTAAATGCTGAACGTTAAGCATGGAAGAACAACTACCGGTATCGACTTACATTTGTATTCATGCCTCCACGCTAATACGGATTTTTTTATAACCGCCAATGTTGTTCCCCCTTTGTCTAACATGAGCTGCCCATCACTATTACTAAACAGTACCTCGCTTATCTAATGCACATAAATTGATGCTGTTTGGGTATGTAACTAATCACAACGTATACTTGTAGGGTCCCAGAGAAGTGGATAGTCTAGATGGTACTGAAGGATGCCCCGTGCCACTGTTGGGCAGGTGTCTGACGGAGTGCTATTACACTCTCCGGCCAAGTAAGAGACCTCCGGACTATCACATTGATCCTACAGTATTTGTCGAACCCGTTTGGTACGACACTTGCCCGACGGACGTACAAGCAGACGAAGAGGCGGTTACCGACACATCGGTGGAATCACGGCCATTACGACTCGTGTCTACGGCCTTCTCCAACATCTCGACGCCACCTGTTTCAGTTCAGAGAATCCAAACGAGTGATGTCGAGATGGACGATATCGAATGGTTCACCACGAAGAAACCTGATCAGGAAGAATTTATGAGGGTCACCAAACAGCGAACAGGCAAGATAGATCGTCCGGTTTCAGAACATTTAGAACGAATGAGGCAGAAGGAGCGGTCACGTGATTCGGCATACACACGGAGAAAAGAATCTGTAGCGGAAACCAATGAGTCTGCCGCACGTCAAGTTCTTAGTAATAGAATTGTGAGGCGAGCAACGAGACTCCCCGACACGTGGGAGACTACTGAAAACAAACAACAGTTAATAACAAAGGCGGTGTCTCAGCATCAATATGAATGGTTCAGATCGACTTTAGGGTGGATTACTTCATAAGGAAACGAATACAGGACTTGTATGACCAACACTGTATTAAAACATTTCAAAGATTCAATTTTGTCTTACCTTATTATTTTTGTAAGTGTTTTAACTATTCGTTTTCTATAGTACAGTGTTGACTCTTGATTATTTCACCTTAAACTGCACACTCCGATATTATCAATGTAAAGCTGTCCATGGTGGTGTATAGGTAGACGTCACATTCACAAGCGTTAAATCTCAGCAAAGATACCATTGTCATGCTGACACTGTGATGTTAAAACATTACCAGAATATATCCTCCAGACACTCCGTAGCGTAATAGACTGGGAAAATAATCTCGAAAGAAATCACTTCGGTTGGTCAACCGTGTCACTCAAGTAGTCATCTAACCAATCTGTAAACTGGCTAGGTCACAAAAAGTCAGACTGACATTTAATGTTCTCATTTTTATTTATTTTATTTTGTTCACCAGACTTCATCTCAAACTCAAGGCCAAGTTTGGCACACGATGACTTTGACGACCTGGACGATATTCATATGTCTCAGTTAATGACTCGCATCGAAAGTGACCCAGAAAACCTTACTGAAACAGTGTAAGAAGACCTAACTCCTGCCGATTTCGGAATGTGATTGTTTTTTTTCTCTCTCGGCGATTAAAGATGAGCCAAAGGAGGAGTAAATACCCGTTAAAAGCCGTTTCCCGGATCCTGTTGGAAGGAGAAAATGGTATACATTGAGGGCGCTAAATGTCAAAATGGTTATATTAATTCAACATGCCTAAAGAAAAGAACAAGGTTCGATTTGCTGATATTTCTAATATGGCCAGAAATGTGTTTCACAATGGCCATTTGCCATTTGCCTAACAAGACGGACTAGTCCATGCTTAAAGTTGTAAGTTACAAAACGGAAAAAGGTAGACCGCGGATGCTAGAAAACAATGCTGAATAAATGTGTTTGAACTTCCAGTGTGTGTATTTTTAGTTATTTTTCACGGTGTCGATATCCTATTAACATTCACTAATAGGCCACTTTAAACTTTCATTGGCTGACCAATGAGAATAGAGAACTATATTGTATTCAGTATATTGGAGGAGCCTCACTAATACCATATGGTATTAGTAAAACTGTGTAAACTAAGTAGATTATACCATAGCTAGATCAAAGGGAAAGTGACACGTCTATGCGACAACGACAGGATGACACTTGCTGACCTTCACCCTCCAACTAGTTCCGGTAAAGTGAATTGCCGTCTTAGAGTGTTTCCCGTTAAGGGGTTTCTAGACCGCGGATGCTAGAAAACAATGCTGAATAAAATGTGTTTAAACTTCCAGTGTGTGTATTTTTAGTTATTTTTCACGGTGTCGATATCCTATTAACATTCACTAATTGGCCTCTTTAAACTTTCATTGGCTGACCAATGAGAATAGAGAACTATATTGTATTCAGTATATTGGAGGAGCCTCACTAATACCATATGGTATTAGTAAAACTGTGTAAACTAAGTAGATTATACCATAGCTAGATCAAAGGGAAAGTGACACGTCTATGCGACAACGACAGGATGACACTTGCTGACCTTCACCCTCCAACTAGTTCCGGTAAAGTGAATTGCCGTCTTAGAGTGTTTCCCGTTAAGGGATTTAAGAGGCTGTGTAAGTTTGATTTTAGGAGATACGGACAAGGATACAGCATAACCTGTTGTATCAAATTAAGATTATTCAAAGACATGGACCAATCAAGTAAGTTTAATTTCATAGACTAAAATTTGCTTTATAATGCCATGTCAGGTTTTCATCTAAAAGTTTTAAAAGTTAGATTGAACATTTTTCAAAAGTTATATTTTTTACATGTTAACACATAAATAATCATGAATCCTATCATCTACAAATGTCTTGTCTTAAAAACAGCTCAGTTACTTTGAAAAATAATGATAGTCTCTACTTTAAGTGTTTACCTAAGTGTTTATTATAGAAAAATACATACACTTAATATATTTGCACATGCGTATTAGTTCCCAATTAGAATCAAAGTGAATAAGCAGGTGTTTTTATATTAAAACCGGTGTTAAAATAAGATGTATAAGTAATTTAATCAATAAACTATTTAATCCTCCTTGTGATCAAATTGATACACAAGCTTACCTTTTTTTCCTGAAACCGTAACGTACGATTCAGTTTTATATAATAAATTGCCTTAACTTCTTCGTACGCATCACACACAGGGGCACGTTACAAATGCCCGAAATACACACATATGCTCTGCTGATATGGGTCACAACACACATAAACATACATTTGTAACGTGCCCCTGCGCATCACACGCGTACCCTACGTGCACCATTCGTCAAAGAATATGTCTTACAGGACTTCATCCAGTGATCTGTAGTTCAGGAGCTAAAGTTTTCTCTTACTTTTCAAATCGTTTTGAGGCAATATTTTTTGTTTTTTTGTTTTTTGACATTTTGAAATGTTACGTCTTATCAACTGAATACACGACGTCTTAAAATTGTCTTTTTTATCATTGGAAGCATATACCTTGTCAAAACGCATCCATCAATTGATGTTATCTTCAGCCTAAACAGTTATTAATACGCTTGGTTTTAAGCGGTTTGACTTATTAAAGGTCATAGGGTTTTTCTTGTTTGAGTAGTGGCATTCGCAGTTTCAGTGTTATAATATTACCCGGTTAAGAGGCGGAAGAAATTTGTCAACCCTGCGTAAGAGGTAGGAGAAAAATATCACTGCCACGTAAGATGACGGACAGTCAGTCTGTTTGTAGATATGGGGGTGTAGAAGCCTTACCCTATCCAAGCATCGATTCTAACCTGAAATTTTACGCTCGATGATAGAATATCTCTCTCTAGGCGTTCGTCTGTCACCTTGTAACAATTCTCTGACATTTTCACTCACCAGATGAAAGATAATCACCGATTATAAAACCTTGCTTAAGATAATACACTAGCATTAAAATTGATCATGTTTCATATCTTTTACAGAAGTAGTAAACATAAGAATGATTTGTCCGGCAGTCGAAATTACAGAAATAACACTTGATCGCGATGCTGAGTCACAAAAATAGTGTGTCTAACAGATTATGTTGCTGTTTTTTATTAGCATAATTTACTTAATGAATATTTTGTTGTCATTGAAAGTGAGACATCTTTTGCTTACTATCACACTTCTAAGAAAACAACGTTCACTGACTATGCTAGTTTGCTTGTCTTATTATTTGGTTGATAGCGCGTTGTTGAATTTATTTGAGATATATGTCAACAGAGAGACGTTATTTCTATAAGGATTCATGTAACCATTTCCAGCTGATCTGTTTTGTCTTTTTATGTAACTTGATGCTTTAGAAGTTTGTAAAAGCAAGCAAATAACATACAAGTCCGCCCGACCCCTTGATTTCTCATTTATATACTGATGAATCTTGTTAATGAACACCTTAACAGAAGTGCTTGAATTTAACATATCCTCAATAATTTGAAATCTAACATATTTTTAAACGATCTTCTTTTACTTCATATCTTGGGATTTTCCTACAAATAGGGATTGAATGGATTTTTTTTCAAAACGCGATTCTCAGAAGATGAACTACAGTAAAAAAGTTACGACATTTTTTGTAGATTTAATATTTCTAGTATTAGTATCGGTCAGAAAATCATAAAAAAAGGAACAGCCAGAACTCCAGCCTACACACAAACTTCAAATGTTCGACCTCCGCAGATCAGCTGATTTTGTTGAAACGAATATATATATCCAGAATCTAATAATAACCAACACGTGATATTCCTTTCATTTTTGAAAAATGATCATATTAGATTTTGTTTTTCGAATAAAACACCGCATATCATATATTTTAAAACGTTTATGTCCGCACTATTTCAAATCATCGGTCACTATAGTAACCATCCAGGGCACTCGTCGGCCGAGCACCCGTCGGCAGTAGGCAACGAGCTCATTTGAAGTAAAATATACAGCCGTTGAATGTACTGTTTACCAAAAAACCTGCAGATGTAAATGATGATAAGTTGGTGAATGAAGTGCCCTGTGTCATTACAAAGTTCTCTGAGTTTAATGTGCAAGTTGATGTCACGGGGATTACCCAGCCGGACGTTTGGATGTTAGAAAGTTCGTGACCACGAGGAAGCGATTGCGAGTCGGAAGTCAGTATTTAATATGACAATGTTATAAGTATTTTTTTTAGTTTTAAATTAGAAATAGTAATAATATTAGTACAATGGTGCACCATTCATGATTTTTGTAATGTTTATTATTATTTCTCGTAACTACCTTATCTCGGAGAAGGGGAGATAACAATTCTCAGAAACGGTACTATGCGTAATAATATGAAGTGGTCATTGTGTGTGAAATCAGCTGACTGAATCCACGAGAATCATTTTATTCATAGTGTATTTATAGTCAAATGGCAGTTTTTCAGTTGTTAGATTCATATAGAGAACAAACATCAAGAATGTAAATATAATACAACAATTGTCTTCGAACTGCCAATCTCAAAGACAAAAGCGACGACTTTATTTATCCAATAATTAACTTTCGTTTCCCTAGTAATAACATCTGGCCTCCCTTATTGTTGAACTAGCACATACAAGTCGATATGAAATTCAAAAGCCTGAAATTTCTTGTTGGATATGAAAGAAACGCTCTATTCACAAAAACACGAAGCCAGGATGTTCTACATGAATAGCTTCAATTAACAGTGTAGACATTTAACATGCGTTATCATGACCATATTTCCTCCTGTGTGCTGGTGTAACTGTTAACCACGATTCCAGAATAATTCTACATATGTTTGGTCTTTGGTGACTAACATGCTTTTATAGCTTTGATACATCATGATAGATGACAAATTTGGTACAAGAAAGACTCTCCCGTAGTATATGGTTCCACTTCCGGTGTCATGATGTCTTCCATTTTCCATTTTGTTTTCGATGTAGTTTTGTATATTGTCCTCTGTATTGACAAGGGGGTATGGTTTTGTGTTTTTCTATATATCCAGTGTGAGATTAGCAAATTTCATTTCAAATCAACTTTATTGTATTTAAAACACAATTGGATTAGGCACAGGCATTGCCTATTAAAACCCTTTCCAGCACATCATTACGATTGGTTAACTATGGTTATGGTTAACTGTCTTCAACCCTTTTTGTTTCTTTGAAAGGATAAAACATGTTTTCGGAATCTGTTCGACCTTAAGTTGAAAGGTACATTATCGATATTGTTCTACAATTCTCTAATTGCTGGTCTTGGATATCCCTCAGAAGCCAACGAGGCCATGGATCAACCACCACCACCCCAAACAGGTTAGTCGTTGTCCTCAAAATTAGGAATTATTCAGCATTTAGGTAAGAAACGAACATGGTTTTAACATAAAAGAGGTTTAAGAATGAAGCAGTGTAATGTTTTGTTCAAATTAATGCATATGTTTCACATAATGTGTTTTCATATTTTTCTATGATACCTTATGTTATGATACGTCAATTTCAGGAGAACCCCCGCCCCCGTATAGCTTACAGCCCTATCCAGGGGTGCCGCCAAACTCCGGTAGGTATCTGGTTTTGTTTTTAATTTGAGTAATTAAAACTCTGTTTGCATATATATGTCAATCTGAGATATTTCACTGTATACACTTGTAGCAGCCATTTTATGTCGCAAACGTTTATTATGTGATTGGTTTCAGGGTATATACAATCCTCACCTCCCTGACAGCCTAACCTAGACCCACTATCAATTGGTCATGTATAATACAGCTACATATGCACATTGTCGATACACTTGACTCTGCCTATCAAATATCTTTCATACATATTGTTGACCCCTTTAAAAGTTATCTTTAAACATCATAGTGTCCGTATGTAAATCATCTACACACACAGCCTCTTACCCTATCACCAACCTCTTCCTCAGCATACACATCCGACTATATACGTATCATACCCCCTATTATTTGACCCTGTGTATACATCACTTATATATAACAAATAGTATCCCAATGTAAATCATCTACAGACACACACCCTCATTCCATCACCAACCACTTCTTCAGCATACAAACCCGTCTATACGCTTCAACCCTACCCCCCTTACACAACTACGATACATAGTCACTCTATACACAGCGTCCATACACATACACATCACAGACACCCTATACATACCATTCTTACACATTCATCGTAGTTACCTACAAACACATCATACCCCTATTTTACTGTCACGCTATGAACATTTCTTACATTTTTGTCAATTGATTTCAGGGTACGTGCAACCCTCATACCCTGGTCAACCTGCTCCCCAACTGGCTGGTAAGTAAATGTAACAAACGCGTATATTATATAATGTAGTACTGTACTATGAACTATCAATATTATATAAGAACTCTATAGTAAACATTTAAACCCACAGAGGGATCTTAAAGTTAACATGAAAGAGAGATATCTCAATTTCAAATATAGATTCTTTAAATGTAATTAAAATATTTGAATGAATCAAAGATATCTCTAATAAAAATTAGACTATCTTGAGATGTAATATATATATATATACCACATATGATAATTTATATATGTACAATTTAATCATTCAATGTCAAACAGGGATTCAATATGGTTACCCAGCAACGGCCGTCGTTGTTTCGCAACCAGGCGTCGTGACCAGAATTCTGGTAAGTCATCTACAACCTATTTTAATGCTAAATAATAAAGCATTATTCTAAAGATTTTTCCACTAGACAATGAATAAGCTTTTGTTATAACATCTATATTTAAGGATCTATGTGCGTGCGGAGAGTTATCCTTATTCTCAGTCGTCCTGAAGCTACCTCGTGTTCAGGTAAAGAGTGCCACTGCAAAAGTTATGAGTACAAAGATACCGTTGCAGACCGTTTTTCGACTTGGAATATTCCCCCTTTGATCTAGAAGATATGAAAGTTTCATTCCTTTTCAAGGTGTTCCTCACCCATTCTTCGTAATACCATTTATAGCAACTAAATGTAGTTTTGGCAGTGGATACATCCAGACGTAGACCCATATACTTTCTATTAATCTATTTACTTTTGTTTTTGTTTTCAAATGATTAATTTTGAACATCTGTACTTGTGTAAAATGTTTCGCAAGATGTGACTTGTGGAATACTCTGTGTAAAGTGAGCAATTATCATAATGGTAGTTTTTTGACGATTTTCACTTTCTATTTAAGCATATATTAACGTATAAATGCATTATCGTTTTTCCTTTCAACGGTTTTATTTGAAAACAGACGTCAACTTCACTCGGTGATATAAAACCAGAAAGCTTATTTACATTTGGTGTAAATTATATAGAAATACAAACCTTACATAAAACAATCAGGTAAATCCACCTAGTACATTTTGTGTGTTACTAATCTATATAACCATTCTGTCTACTGTACCTACATGCCAGCATTCATAATAACAATTCACAATGAAGTATATGGCAATTAGTACCTCACCCATGCCATTATTCCAACTTCGTGCTACCATTTCTAGCACCGTGAAACCAGGGTTAAGTGGTCCAGTGATATTGTATTCTCAGGAAGTGGAATTAATAGATCATCGAGTATTAAGATCTAAAATCTAAAAGATCACCTCATCAATCTTGAATAACCTTCCTAAAAATTGTTTCTCCTATTAGGGCGTTTGACTTTTTCACTCTTTACACTAAAAATACCGTTGACCAAACTGAACGAATGCCTTCTTACTTGTAATAAGATCAGCTTTTCCAAGAAAAGGGTATGCTTTTCTGTGCGGACTTGATTCAATTAAATTTTATAATTTCAAATACAGTACTATTTTTCAGAAGCTGGAATATTAATTATATATGCTATTACAGAGAGAGTAATGGCGAACCAGAAAATGGTTACCCACTTTTTTTCAACATAATGATACGGAGATGTAGTTTCCATCGCGAAAACCTTATAAATGTGTTATTTAACTATTTCCAGTGAATTGCCGTACATCTTCCGCCACGCATTGATAGATAAATCGTAATCAACGGACGACAATTACATATCCGCCATATACCTTTTCCTTTACGCCTCTCCAAATTCAGCGTTCTCGAAAGATAGTTATTGTGACTAATAATTTATTTTCACTATTTGTAGACACAACCCCCACCAAAATCTTATATGGTCATTTCTGTATGGCTTGGATGCCTATGCTGTCTGTGTATACCTCTTGGTATTGGTGCGATAATAGCATCAACTAACGTAAGTAAAAACTCGTATCTATTAGTACCCTCTGGTTCATTGTATATTATGTAAGTGGACATTTTCTAAATAGATGTATGTGATGTAAGTGGATTTTTCCTATTCAGTTGTACGTTGTAAGTGAACATTTTCTATTCAGTGGTACGTTGTAACTGAACATTTTCAATTTGGTCCTATGTTGTAAGTGGACATTTTCTGTTTAGTTGTATTATATAAATGAACATTTTCTATTTAGTTTTATGTTGTAGGAAACATTTTCTATTCAGTTTTATGTTGTAAGTAAACATTTTCCATTCAGTTTTATGTTACTTAAGTAAATATATACTGACTGAAACTCCATGAGCACAAATCTGTTGGTACTGTTAACATGTTCTGTTTGGTTGCATGAAATATAAGTGAACGTTTACTGAAACAACTTTCCGTACAAATTTAAGTGACTCCGTTCAGTTTTATCGTCAAATAACGCCACTTTATTGTTAATCATTTTCAGGTCCAATCGGCCATAGCCCGTGGGGATATTCCATCAGCGAAAAGTTCGTCTAAAACGGCAAAAGTCCTCAATATAATCTACTTCATGCTTGGTTTATAATCATACTGATTGGTAGCACTCTTTACTCAAATACCAAAACCTCTCGAAGAAAATCCAACGATACCTGTAGCGAAGTGTAGTGTTTTCCTGAGGTATCTAGTCTTCTCGAAGAATATACATATAATACCTGTAGCACAGTGTAGTGATATCCTCAAGCATCCACACTTCTCAAAGAATGAACAGCTAATACCTGTAACTTAATATAATGTTATCCTAAAGTGTGAATACTATTTTAAGAAAATACTGATACCTGCAGCTTAATGTGGTGTTATCCTCGTGAATTCAGGCCTCTCAAAATTATAAAACTTATATATGTAGTTAAATGTAGATTTATCCTAAAGTATCAGTATTTTTCGAAGAAGAAGTGTAAACCTCAAGCGTCTAGATTGCTAGAGTTATACTCAGCGAATACGTGCATCTAGTTGTAGCGTCGGAAAAAACGTCCCGTTTCCTGTTGCTTAAAGGTTGGTAAAATTTGACCGGTGGCCAGTGAAAAATTCGAATTGATGACATTAAGAATTTGAATTTCTTTGATTATTTTGAATTTTCCTTCACCGCTGGATAACTCTGACCAACATTTGAGCAACTTTGGCCAGACTGCTAGAGGCATACACAGCGAATACGTGCATCTGACTAGCGCAGGCATGACGTCTCCAGACTGTAAATACATTTACAACTAATCCTATAACGCAATATAAGCCTGAAAAGTCCCAGATATATACAACTGTTTAAGACCTGTACAACGAAACCTGTCACCTCGTGCAATATTAGCCTTGATTATCCAGATTGGTAACGATATATAGCCAACTTGTATATATACATTGGACAGCAAATTCATGCACATTTTTGCCAGGTTTTGTACCGAAGGGGAGACTACCAAATTGTTTGCTTTATTTAAATGTGAAACTGTTAACGTATTTTTTGACATATTCAACTTGACTAAGCAAATATTTAATATACATTTATTACAGGAATGTTATCGTGTAATCGGTCGTTTTTTCTTACTATCCATATACTTATAGCTGCTGGTATGTCTGTGATTTATTGCATTATATAAATAACGAATACTTCTTATAATTGTACCACTTTATAATCCTTTAATAAAAGATAAATAAACACAAGTTTAATTATACAACAAAAACGAAATTTATCCTCCAGGTCCATTTTTTATTAGCAGAATTCCATATTTACAAAACAATGTTGCGAAATTGAGAAAATGTACGGCTATATTTAAAGGAAAGAAGTCAACCAATAAATACAGTTACTTGGAGCCGAAATACATATACATATATTTAGGAATGAAATAACAAAAAATGCATTCCAGTTGTTGTATCAATTGAAAATATGCACGTTAAAAAGATTTTAAAATACCTTTCAATGTTCGTCTAATGATGTTAAAATGTAAATAAAAACGTTTAAAAAAGAACAAAAACGGCATGATTTATTGTAATTGATGACTTGTTGGTTGTAAAACGCGATTTCCTCAGTTACTTTATTTGTTGTGTAAAAATTGATATATTGTACTGTAGGATATGTTGTAGCGGAATTCAGGTAAAGTGGCTTTGGCATTAAGAGCTACGATAATTTTTTTATTAATTATTTTTCGGGGTGTATTTTCGCGAAAAGAAAATTATTACAGCAAAATTTAGAACTTGGCAAAAACAACAACTTCACCGTGTTTCATATGGAATACCGCTAATGTTTTGGAAAATATTTTGCTTATATATACTATATACCATTTAGGTTAAAATGATGTTAGAATGCGAAAACTGTATACAGCAAAATGTGATTTTTTTTTATCTTACAGTGTATGCAGTTTAATTAAATGGTAAAATATACATTTGGTTACGTGCATATCTATTTTACGCAGTAAATACTGCTACAGTTTTTTGAAGTGGACTGTTCTGTATCAATATCAATCATATGGACTTCTGTCTACATTTTTGAAGCAGATTATAATATTTCCACAGGAACGGCATTACTTTCGAATGATGACTCATGAAAACGGATGTTGACGTTTATTAAAAAAATGTCTGAAAATATTTGTTTATTAGAAAAGCGATAGGTACAGTGTCGAGATAGACGTTAATTAAGTCTGAAACTGACAGGGCCCAGACACGTTTTCTAGGACAGTATCACTGCGAAAATAACCACGACAAAATAATTCCAGTAACAGTGTTGGTAATGTTTATTTCCAGTGCAACGTTAGAGTTCGTCATAGCTCCCTCCATGCCACCTCGGTCTACTGCAGAGCGGGCACAGAACGGGAGAGAAAAGAACGTGTAACATAATCAGAGTACAAATTGTGTGCTTTCGTTATTTGATTCTGTACGATTATGTCGACATGTTTGAAGCAGACCTATTACTATTTTCAACTTTTAGAGATCATAGATTATTATTACCATTTGGATCAAACGGCGTAACAAATATATATTATAAATTAAATGTACAAAAAAGTTATTAACAGAGTAACTTGAAAACGTAAAAATCAACCTACCATGGCAATGACGTTTTGACGTCGCAATAAAAGCAAGCTCTATGACGTCGTTATGTCAACGGTGAATATTTGATGAACTTAGATGTAAAGAATGTTACCAAGGGTAATTAATTGAGAGCACCCGAGGAATATATTTTGTAAATAATAATGGCATATATAAACACAATATAATATGAGCAGTCTTCAATGTATTTTGAAAGAAAAATACAAATTATTACAAGGATATATTATCAACCTTTTACCAGTCACATCATATATTTCTTATCGATGATCCTTAGAAAATTTGGTAATAGAAACATTATGTCAAAATGAATAGCACTGCACAATAAAGAGGTTTCGTCCTTCTATGACTGATAGGTGATGCTAGGGACCGACAAATATATAACGGTGGCCATCAAGGTTACGGTAGTAAATCTCGGGGACTAAACAGTAGACTCTACCACCTGGTATCTTGGAGAATAAACTTAAGACATACACATGCGAATGTACCTTTAAAATTTGGTAATAGATACAGCATGATATGTAATTACTTATAATCTCGTAAGTTCAAAATATTACCAGAACATAACACTGTCGGGAGTCATATGTTTACCAAATTATAGTCTCGTGTCATATCAAATTATTGGAGTTGTTTAATAAACTCAATATGACATGGACACTCATGTAAGATTCTCTTTATTACATAACAGTCATAATTTGAAATCAAACAGGTTCAAACTGAATTAAGTGTTATCAGCAGACACTTTATAAACGAAAGTACTCCGATCATTATATTATCGTTCCGCGGAATGCAAAGTAGTTCCAGATTTTGTCCCCCCCCCCCCCCCGAGCTACATCACCCAACACATGTCCCTGTATGTTCTGCAGAGCCACAGCGATCGAAATGAACGGTATTTTAACACCACAATGTTTGTAGTAAGCTGTCAGGTGTGTTTTAACGTTTCAGCTGACGTTGTATATTTTTGTAGTTTATTATAATTTTTTACATGGCTGTATGACATAGTGAAATGGGCAAGTTTTTTTTATAGATATAATTCAATTCTAGCCTAAGTGTACTTACATTCATGGAGGCCACAATAGCACAGATTCCAATAGGCCACAGGCAGCAGAGGCAGCCAAAATTTGACCATCCGAGATAATCAGAAGGAGGCGTCGTCTTTATTCGAATCATTTGATGATAAATAAATTATTATATATAAAGACAGATAAATAACAGCGAAAAAATGATTTATTATACGTACAAACACTGACAGATATAATATCCGTCATTAGCTTGTACAGGAAGACACGACATCAATTTAAATTTCCGTGTGTTATCAAATGATGAAGTTTCCTTTTTAATTAAACCTCGACGAATGATTTATATATTAAAATGATTATAATAGTAAACAAACGGAAAATTGTGATACATCTATAGAAGGTATGGAAGAAACCTCCAGGCATTCAACTCTAAATTACAGTCGACGGCATGTCTCATGTTTCATAGCAATCAAATGCTATAATGCTATTTTACATATTACTGGTTACAATATTTGAACTTCCTTACTACAAAAATGACGTTTTATTGTCTTTTGCTTTGTTTACATCAGATGATATTTTCTACATAAAGTTCCATGTTTTTGTATACATCACCTGCAAATGGAGATCTATCAGATTTGAAAAAATATCGGCTATTACCTTAGGCACAGGTGATGTTTTGCTGTAGTTCACCTGGGTAATAATTTTGAATGGATGTGTGCTGTAAACGATCGTTAATGTGAACGAAATCCATTTCAATCCTTATATTTAATTTCAAAACAACAGACAATCTTATCTCTCTGGATGATTTCGTTTGGTTCATAACACAGTCTTAAACGATTATGTTACCAATGTGCAAAACAAAGTTAAAGGTCTAAATGAGTCGCTAAATATTATTTCATTATATGAATCCGTTAATGTTGTTCGAAAGGTTTGAAAAAAGAAAACATGTGCTCAAACTTCCAAGAACGTGGTAAAATTGATAAATATAATGATGATGCTTGCAATATTTGATGCATTTGTTTGGATAGCAATGCTTTATCTCCTGAAATATCGCCTTAATTTATGGATGCAGTTTATGTTCAAATGACCTCTTAAGATAAGTATAATTTAGGTGCAGATTGTTTAAATGATTTTGCTAAGATATACAAGTTTTGGTTTAGAAACATGAAACGAACTAAACTTAAGGATAATAGAAAAACTAGAGCTTCCATTTCCAATACATTTATCTTGTAATTCAATTCAAATATAGTAATTTTTATTCAATCTTATTCAACCTCTCAGTATTCTGTCACACCGTTAACGTCAACATTTAATGTAAACTTCAAAATAAGACCTGTATATTAAAACGTCCTTTTTAATCTTATCAGTATGATACATCTCACAGGGCCATACAAGTTTTATTGTAGTTGAAACAGGATCGATCTAAATGGCGTATGGTATATACACTTATAAAGTATAACAATGCTATTACTTATTATAACCTATACAAATTGAAATTCTAGAAAAAAAACCACATAGTATATGCTAATCATAAACAGACATTCTTACTCTTCACCAGCTAAAATATTACCACCTACCCGTAACCGGATTAGTTTACTGTGAGAATCAGCAGATAATTACAAAACTTCCTGGTCAAATATGCATAAGGAACATGTAATAGATGCGCTATAGCATTCACAAACGTAACTAGATTTTTTTTATAATTTGTTCAAACACGTAAACATGTGACAAGCTAACATGATGGCCATTGGACACTATTTCTTACAGTGCAGATTTTTCAGGATATGCTCTTCAGGTAATATTTCTCATGCGTAGATTTCTCTTTGGTAATATTTTGTCTCTGTTGGCTTTACTTTAGTAAATATTTTTTCTGTGCTGGCTTTTTTTTAGTAAATATTTCTTCTGTGCTGGCTTCTCTTTAGTAAACATTTCTTTCGTGCTAGCTTCGCTTTAGTTAATATTTCTTCTGTGCTGGCTTCTCTTTATTTTATATATCTACTGTGCTGGCTTCTCTTTAGTTAATATTTCTTCTGTGCCGACAATTCTTTAGTTAATAGTTCTACTGTGTTGGTTTCGCTTTAGTTAATATTTCTTCTGTGCTGGCTTCTCTTTATTTTATATTTCTTCTGTGCTGGCTTCTCTTTAGTAAAAAATTCTTCTGTGCTGGCTTCTCTTTAGTTAATATTTCTACTGTGCTGGCTTCTCTTTAGTAAATATTTCTTCTGTGCTGACATTTCTTCAGTTAATAGTTCTACTGTGTTGGTTTCGCTTTAGTTAATATTTCTTCTGTGCTGGCTTCTCTTTATTTTATATTTCTTCTGTGCTGGCTTCTCTATATTTTATATTTCTTCTGTGCTGACATTTCTTTTGTTAATAGTTCTACTGTGTTGGTTTCGCTTTAGTTAATATTTCTTCTGTGCTGGATTCTCTTTAGTAAATATTTCTTCTGTGCTGGCTTCTCTTTAGTAAATATTTCTTCTGTGCTAGCTTCTCTTTAGTGAATATTTCTTCTGTGCTGACATTTCTTTAGTTAATAGTTCTACTGTGTTGGTTTCGATTTAGTTAATATTTCTTCTGTGCTGGCTTCTCTTTATTTTATATTTCTTCTGTGCTGGCTTCTCTTTAGTAAATATTTCTTCTGTGCTGGCTTCTCTTTAGTAAAATATTTCTTCTGTGCTGGCTTCTCTTTAGTAAATATTTCTTCTGTGCTGACATTTCTTTAGTTAATATTTCTTCTGTGTTGGTTTCGCTTTAGTTAATATTTCTTCTGTGCTGGCTTCTCTTTATTTTATATTTCTTCTGTGCTGGCTTCTCTTTAGTAAATATTTCTTTTGTGCTTGCTTCTCTATGGTTAATATTTCTCTGAAATATTTTTTTCTTCTGTCTTAGTTTTTCTTTTAATAATATTTCTCCTGACCTGGTTTCATTTTGGTATATATAATTCTTCAGTGTTTGTGTCTATTTAGTTAATATCAAATTTTCTTCTGTCCTGAATTATTGTTTTCCTTTAGTATATATTCCTTCTTTCCTGAACTATTGTTTCCCTATGGTATATATTCCTTCTGTGCTGAACTAGTGTTTCCCTTTGGTATATATTCCGTCTGTGCGAACTATTGTTTCCCTTTGGTATATATTCCTTCTGTCCTGAAATATTATTTCCCTTTGGTATATATTCCTTATGTCCTGATCTATAGTTTCCCTTTGGTATATATTCCTTATGTCCTGATCTATTGTTTCCCTTTGCTATATATTCCTTATGTCCGGATCTATTGTTTCCCTTTTGTATATATTCCTTATGTCCGGATCTATTGTTTCCCTTTAGGTATATATTCCTTCTGGCCTGATCTATTGTTTCCCTTTAGGTATATATTCCTTCTGTGCTGAACTAGTGTTTCCCTTTGGTATTTATTCCTTCTGTCCTGTTCTATTGTTTCCCTTTAGGTATATATTCCTTCTGTGCTGAACTAGTGTTTCCCTTTGGTATATTCCTTCTGTCCTGATCTATTGTTTCCCTTTGGTATATATTGCTTCTGTCATGAACTATTGTTTTCCTTTGGTATATATTCCTTCTGTCCTGATCTATTGTTTCCCTTTGGTATATATTCCTTCTGTCCTGAACTATTGTTTCCCTTTGGTATATATTCCTTCTGTCCTGAACTATTGTTTCCCTTAGGTATATATTCCTTCTGTCCTGAACTTTTGTTTCCCTTTGGTATATATTCCTTCTGTCCTGAACTATTGTTTCCCTTCTGTGCTGACTTTTCTTCAGTTAACATTTCTACTGTGTTGGTTTGCCTTCAGTTAATATTTTTTCTGTGCTGTTTTCTCTTCAATTCTTCTTCTATGATCTGTGAAAGCTTCTTTAAGCATTAAACTGCCTCCTTTGGACAGTTATTGTCCTATAATCCTGTGAGAATTATAGGACAATAACTTTCAAAAGAAGGCAGTTTGATACTTATATTTCCGTTTTTAATTTAAGTTTTTCTTATATTTCCAACCTGTTATCGCATTTTCTGTCAATGGAACCTGTTCTTGTGACGTCACGAGTACACGCGACGTTTCCCGGCAAAACAATAAAGTTCGTGGAAATAAACACAAATCGTCAATTTGATTTCAACAATTTAATCAATATACCATGAGGATATTCACCTTTTATACAACATAGCTACATAAATTGTTATGAGTTACATAAAACGACGTCATTTGGTCACGACGTCCCGAACATGTTCTTCATATCACTACACAATGGGAATTATTTGAGAATTATGATCTGATATCTTTCTATTTTGTTTGGTAAGGTTATATAGTCGCAATGCAGAGCAAATGGAAATATTAGTTTATATTTATTCTGTGTTGGCTTCGCTTTAGATTAAATTTCTTTCGACGTGTATGTTATTTTGGATTTTGATGTGATCTTCTGTTATGATATTATTTCGAATGTCGTTGTCTTTTTTTCTTGCCTCCTTTTGTCATTTTTCTGCATTTTTGTTTACTTTGTCTTCTTATCCGCAGTATACAACATTTGTTCATTAGACGCATCAAAGCAGCGAAGACTGTGGCATAAACAATTTCACCAAGGAATGATTACTGCTATCACACTTATCATTTTACCTCATTATACGCGACGCTTGCTATTTAGTTACTGTCTATTATTTATCCTTTTATTCTGTTCAATGTACGTTATGCTGAAATATAGGTTTATCATAGTTTGAGATAAAATTATCTTAATCTGTTCTTAATGGGACATTATAAACCTAACTGTCGATTTATCAGTATAACATATGAACATTCCATTTGGTTCTGAATAAGTTTCTTTATCCGCTTTAATGCTGTTTTACCCGGTGTTTGTTTTCAGCTTTTATTCAGTATTTACCACCAGTTCAACATGATTAACACATTTTAATTTGATTTTTCGATCCCTTACACTATAATACTTCTTACCATACTGATAGAGTGTCTTAATTCCCTAATTACGAGAGTAAATGCTTTTTTGCTAAAAGCACCATAAAAGCCAAAAATGAAATATAATGAGGATAAAATTGTAAGGGTAATTGAGTTCTTGGTTGATAATACCTTTTTGAGCTTGGTTGCAAGATTTTCCAGCAGACCGTAGGCATTCTTATAGAAACAAACTGCGCCCATCTGACGGCCGATTGTCTTTATTTTTCATACAAAGCTTAATTTATTGATGAGCTCATCAGAACAGTTAACAAAAACCTAGCAAAGTCCTTTAATTTCTCATTCAGATATATCGTCGATATGGTGTTTTTGAATAATAATTGTTATTGACTACATCGATCGTATATACCCTCCTGAGGACAATTCCGACTCTCCTATCGTGAATGTTAACTTTGTCGATAGTGGCATCTCTGAATCCTCTACCTATGTTGTTTACATGTCGCAGTTAATTTGTTATTCAAGAATTTGCTTAGAATATCATGACTTTCATGATATATGTCGACTTCTGACAGACAAACTTAGAACGCAAAGTTTTCAAAGAAGCAGATTGATGAAGACTATGAACCAGTTTTATGGTCGATATCATGAACTCATAGGAAAACATGTTATTTCTCTTGTTGATGTTTTTGATTACGTTCATTAGTGAAACTTATCGTTCTGTTGTTACAATCCGAGTTCTCGATGTGGGGAAATGACGTTACTTTGATTTCACCTTGATTTCACCTTGATTTACACGGGGATGTCGTCGATGAGGCAGAAGACACTTACCTTTCTGGAAAATCTGGTCTTATTCTCGTTGTACCTTTTGAAGGTCTCCGTCTAATTAGTACATTTGTTCACATTTTGCCCTAGTTTTATATTTCGTTTTATTGACAAATTCCTGTATCATACTTATACCCAGTTTTCTGAACATTGTCTATTTCAAATGGTTTACATGACAGAAGATAAGTTTTGCCGAAATGGCGTGTAGTTTTGATGCTACAATAAATTTCTTCCTTGTTCGTGAGACTTAAGTCTATTGAGTATTGATTCCTCCTCCACATGTGTATTGTTTAATGTGATTATATATACGCAACAGTCGCGACCGGTTTCTATAAATTAAAAGTTTTTTGTTGTTTCCAGTCGGCAATAGACAGTTTAACAAAATCACTAAATAATAAAGTAAAGGGATACTTTTGTTCGGAGATACACTGTGCTCTGAACTATCTCATATCATTTTACGAAATGTAGTACGAAGTTACTTTAGGTGCTTAAAACTCAACTTAAGTCCATATAACGTTTGTTAAACATGTATTCTGATATAATTGATAATAAAGCGTTTTACTAAGGGTCAACACTTGGTTTGAGAGATAACTCCAAGCAATCGCAAATTTTCTGCAGGATATTACAATTAGCATTACGATCCCAAACACACCTGCATAACGATATGTTGTTTCCTGTTTAAGGAAACCACCGCTTTGATGAAAGTTATGCTGCTGGTATACATGAACAAGTAAACGTCCCACGTATGAATTCGACATTGGTAGATTCAGAATTTCTGAAAGAAGGGTGAGTTCTGATATTTTCAACCCCCTTCACCATAGCATTTTGTTTTCCTCTTTCTTTTTTATGTCCAAATGGACACTTTTATCGACTGAAATATTCAGTTATGTATACAACTTTTAATGACAATCCCAGTAATTTAATAGCAATAACAACAGGATGACACTTGCTGACCTTAAACTTCTAACTTCCTCCGGTAAATGTGAATTGCCGTCATGGAGTGTTTCCCGTTAAGGGGTTTAAGAGGCTGTGTAAGTTTGATTTTAGGGGATACGGACAAGGATACAGCATAGCCTGTTTTGTAAAATTAAGATTAATCAAAGACATGGACCAATCCGGTAAGTTTAATTTCATAGACTAATATTTGCTTTATAATGCCATGTCAGGATTTCATCTAAAAGTTTTAAAAGTTAGATTGAACATTTTTCAATAGTTAGATTTGTTACATGTTAATACATAAATAATCATGAATCCTATCATCTACAAATGTCTTGTCTTAAAAACAGCTGAGTTACTTTGGAAAGTAATAATAAATCTCTACTTTAGCCATCAGTTTAGTGTTTATTATAGAAATATATAAACACTTGATATATTGGTACATACATATTTGTACCAAATTAGAATCAAAGCAATTAGGCTTGTATATATATTGTTTTTATAAGTAGTTCTTTTTATTTCAAAAACAGTGTTGAAATAAGATGTATAAGTAATTTAATCAATAATTATTTAATCTTCTTTGTGATCAAAATGTTACACAAGCTTATATATTTTTTCCTGAAACCGTAACGTCCGACTCAGTTTTATATAATAAATTGCCTTAACTTCTTCATACGCATCACATGCGTACCCTACGTGCAACATTCTTTAAAGAATATGTCTTACAGGACTTCATCCAGTGATCTGTAGTTCAGGGGCTACAGTTTCATATGACGTTTTCAAATCGTTTATCAATTGATGTTATCTTCAGCCAAAACAGTTATCAAGTACACTTGATTTTAAGCGGCCTGCCTTACAAATGTCATAGGGCTTTCTTGTTTTTAAACTCATGTTTTTTGTTTGTTTGTGTGTTACCTAAACAATACATTATGTTAGAGTCACATAAGAAGAGTCAGTGTTAATTTACTACCCGGTTTAAAATCAAAAGAAATAAGTCCGAGTGAGAGGTAGGAGAAAAAGACCACTGCCGCGTGAGATGACGGACAGTCAATCTGTTTGTAGATTCGGGGGTGTAGAAGCCTTACCCTATCCAAGCCTCGATTCTAACTTTTACGCTCGATGATAGAATATCTCTCTCTAGGCGTTAGTCTGTCACCTTGTAACAATTCTTTGACATTTTTACTCACCAGAAGAAAGATAATCACTGATTATCAAACCTTGCTAAATAAAACCCACTGGTATTAAAATTGATCATGTTTCATATCTTTTACAATAGTAGCAAACATGAGAATGATTTGTCCGGCAGTGGAAATAACAGAAAAATAACACGTGATCACGATGCTGAGTCACAAAAAAGGGTGACTAACAGATTATATTTCTGTTTATTATTAGCATAATTTATCTTTCACACAATTTTCAGTAAAATGATATTATATTCGTACGGCAGTAACATATAAATACTCATTCATTTAACAATATAAGTTTGAACAATACACATATTGTGAGATGACATTTCACAATCCTAATTCAGGTTTACCAGAAAAATCCAATACTAATTGGGTGGTCTGATAACGTATGCTAGAAGTATGAAGTTCCGGAGTATGGGGTCTGAAAGTTGGTTCTGACCAGAGCAAGCCAGGTCACACACTTCCGTTTCAGACAGCGATGACTTCGACATGACGTGTCGGTATCGTAATGTCCCTCATCAATTTATAAACGCAGCACTGCACACGGTTTATGCGGTGGATGTATGTACTTGTGTTCATCAGGGCCGATTGCCAAATGGTCTTCACCACCAATATGTACGTCAGTCAATTAAAGACGACCGATAAACTAATTGTGATACTGTTTATTCATGCTGCGACATCAACTAAAAGTGAACATTGAAAATATTCATAAAAAATATTCATAGACAAACTTTTAAATGTAGATTATTGCTTTCACAACACTGTATACCACAATTCATTATTCCTAAAAACCATGTCTCGAAATTTCTAAACATTTTCTTCAGGTTGGTAAATATGGATTGTGAAAAGATTCATGTAGCACAACCAATAAGTGTCGATATGTATCACATATAAACACTTAATGGTTGTGCTACATGAATCTTTTCACACAGTCTCGAAAATCTGGTATATCAGCTCAGATGGTCTAAAATTTCCAAACGTAGTGATGAATATTTTGTTGTCATTAAAAGTGAGACATCTTTTGTTCAATTTCACACTTCTAAGAAAACAACATTCGCTGAATATGGTAGTCTGCTTATCTTATTATTTGGTTGATAGCGCGTTGTTGAATTTATTGGAGACATGTCAACAGAGAGACGTTATTTCTATAGGGATTCATGTAACCATTTCCAGCTGATCTGTTTTGTTTTCTTATGTAACTTGGTGCTTTAGAAGTCTGTTAAAGCAAACAAATAACATACAAGTCTGCCCGACCCCTTGATTTCTCATTTATATACTGATGAATCTTGTTAATGAGCACCTTAATAGAAGTGCTTGAATTTAACATATCCTCAATAATTTGAAATTAAACATTTTTTTGCACGATCTTCTTCTTTTATTTCACATCTTGCGATTTTCCTACAAAATGCATTAATTGTCTTCGCACTGTCAATCTTAAAGCGACTACTTAATTGATCCAATTTTTAACTTTCCTTTTCGTAGTAGTAACATCTGGCCTCCCTTATTGTTGAACTGATACATCAAAGTCGATATGAAATTCAAAAGCCTGTTCTAAATGCAGGAAATTTCTTGTCGGATACGAAAGAAACGCTCTATTCACAAAAACACTAAGCCAGGGTGTTCTGCATGAAAAGCTTCAATTTACATTGTAGACATTTTACATGCGTTATCAGGACCAGATTTCTTCCTGTGTGCTGATGTAACTGCTTACCATAATTGCAGAATAGTTCTATAAATATTTGGTCTTTGGTGACTAACAGGCTTTTATAGCTTTGAGACATCACGATAGATCGCAAATTTGGTACAAGAAAGGCTCTCCTGCAGTATATGGTTTCACTTCCGGTTTCATTATGTCTTCCATTTTGTTTTGGTTTATCCCTTGTTCGTGTTTGATGTAGTTTTGTATATTGTCCTCTGTATTGACAAGGTGGTATCGTTTTGTGTCTTTCTATATACCCAGTGTGAGATTAGCACACCATTACCATTGGTTAACTATGCCAAATGCATGTCTTCAACCCATTTTGTTTCTTAGAAAGGATAAAACATGTTTTCGGAATCTGCTCGACTTTAAGTTGAAAGGCACATTATCGATATTGTTCTACAATTCTCTAGGTGCTGGTCCTGGATATCCCTCAAAAGCCAACGAGGCCATGCATCAACCACCACCCCAAACAGGTAAGTCGTCGTCCTCAAAAGTAGGAATTATTCAGCAATTAGGTAAGAAACAAACATGGTTTTCACTTTAAAGAGGTTTAAGAATGAAGCAGTCTTATGTTTTGTTCAAATTAAAGCATATGTTTCACATAATGTGTTTTCATAATTTTCTATAATATCTTATGTTATGATATGACAATTTCAGGAGGACCCCCGCCCCCGTATAGCTTACAGCCCTATCAAGGGGTGCCACCAAACTCCGGTAAGTTTTTTATTTTTTTTTAATTTGAGTAATTAAAACTCTGTTTTCATATATATGTCAATCTGAGATATTTCACTGTACACACTTGATCAGCCATTTTATGTCGCAATCGTTTATTATCTCATGTAATTGGTTTCAGGTTATATGCAATCTCCACCTCCCGGGCAGCCTGCCCAGCCTGGTACGTACACAAATGTGTTCTCTACTTACACAACCTAGACCCACCACAAATTTGTCATGCATAATACATCCCCATAATATTATGCACATTGTCGATACACTTGACTCTGCCTATCAAATATCCTTCATACATATTATAACCCCAATATATATATTATCTATATATATCATAGTATCCGTATGTACATCTTCTACACACAGAGCCTCTTACCCCATCACCAACCTCTTCCTCAGCAGACACATCCGTCTATATACGCATCATACCCCGTTTGTTTACCCCTGTATATACATCACCTACATATATCATAGTAGTATCCCAATGTAAATCATCTACACACAGAGCCTCTTATCCCATCACCAACCACTTCCGCAGTTCATACACACGCGTCTATATACGCATCATACCCGTATATCATAGTAGTATCCCAATGTAAATCATCTACACACAGAGGTTCTTATCCCATCACCAACCACTTCCGCAGTTCATACACACGCGTCTATATACGCTTCATACCCGTATATCATAGTAGTATCCCAATGTAAATCATCTACCCACAGAGGTTCTTATCCCATCCCCACCCACTTCCGCAGCATACAAACCCGTCTATATACGCATCATACCCGTATATCATAGGAGTATCCCAATATAAATCATCTACATACAGAGGTTCTTATCCCATCACCAACCACTTCCGCAGCATACACAAGCGTCTATACGCATCAACCCTAACCCCTTACACAACTACGATACATATCAGTGTCACTCTATAAACAGCGTCCATACACATACCATTCTTACACATGATACCCCCCCCCCCCCACACACACACACACACTTTATTCACATATTACACATTCATCGTAGTTACCTACAAACACATCATACCCCTATTTTACTGTCACCCTATGAATATTTCTTACATTTTTGTCAATTGATTTCAGGGTACGTGCAACCCTCATACCCTGGTCAACCGGCTCCCCAACAGCCTGGTACGTAAATGTAGCAAAAGTGAATATCATATAATGTAGTATTGTATTATGAACAATGATATTATATGAGAACTCTATAGTGAACATTTAATACCAAAGAGGGATCTTAAAATTAACATGAAATAGAGATATCTCCATTTCAAATATAGATTCTTTAATATCTTAAAATGAATCTCTGTATACCTACCACCTTTTGACGTAATACCCCCACACCTTATTGAAATATACATACACATCGTAGTACAGAACATACCCCTATTTTACTGTCATGCTATATGAACATTTCTTACATTTTTTTCAATTATATATTTATATTCATATGTAATTAATGGACCGGGCGATTGTTTCCCGGTTTAACGTATATTTATATATATTTGTATATATGTTTACATTCATATGTAATTGAAATATCACATACACATCGTAGTTCCCAACACACATCATACCCCTATTTTACTGTCATGCTATATGAACATTTCTTATTTTTTTGTCAATTAATTTCAGGGTACGTGCAACCCTTATACCCTGGTCCACCTGCTCCCCAACAGCCTGGTACGTAAATTTAACAAAAGCGTATATCATATAATGTAGTATTGTACTATGAACTATCGATATTATATAAGAACTCTATAAACATTTAATAACCAAAGAGGGACCTAAAAATTAAAATTAAATAGAGATATCTCCATTTCAAATATAGATTCTTTAAATGTAACAGAAAAATCTTAAAATGAATCAAAGCTATCTCTAATTAATCTAAAGCCATCTTTAGATGTAATATAAATACCACTTATGATTAGGTTTATATAAGTATTTTGTTTATTATAACATATCTTTTAAGTAAATAGAGATATCTCCATTTCAAATATAGATTCTTTAAATGTAACAGAAAAATCTTAAAATGAATCAAAGCTATCTCTAATTAAATTAAAGCCATCTTTAGATGTAATATAAATACCACTTATGATAAGGTTTATATAAGTATTTTGTTTATTATAAGATATCTTTAAAGTAAATAGAGATATCTCCTTAGGTACTAAATGGTAAGTTGGCAGTGTTAAATGCAGTCACTTTCCACAGCTCTATTTACATTTAATCATATAAATCAACACTTATCATTGTTGTGGTTGTGGTTATGGTTTCCAAACGTTAATGAACGAACGACCTTCTTAAAATAATTAAGATATTTAATATAAAAAGCAAAGAAATAATAACGACTATGCAGATATGATATATAAATATTAAGTTCCCCTGGTGAACCTCTAAAGAGGTGAAAGCTCTAGGGAGGTACTAAGAAACTCTTGTCTTTTGTTTTTTATATATGTTTATTAATACATTTAATACTATATATGTGTACACTGGAAATTTTCGCTGCAGTTTATCTTTTGCATTTGTCGCCCTCCTTAATGAGGTTGAAATTATCATTTCAGTGAATATAGGTAGACAGAATATTAGTACTATACATAATTCATTTAATGTGAGGGGCGAAATTAACGCAGGACGAAAATGACATTAAGGATGAAGGGCGAAAGTTTGACCGGGCGAATGCTTCCCGGTATAAAGTATATCAATATATATTTGTATATATATTTGTATATATATTTGATATATATTTGTATATATTTTTATATTCATATGTAGTTAATGGACCGGGCGATTGTTTCCCGGTTTAAAGTATATTTATATATATTTGTATATATGTTTACATTCATATGTAATTAATATATTACATACACACCGTAGTTCCCAACACACATCATACCCCTATTTTACTGTCACGCTATGAACATTTCTTACATTTTTGTCAATTGATTTCAGGGTACGTGCAACCCTCATACCCTGGTCAACCGGCTCCCCAACAGCCTGGTACGTAAATTTAACAAAAGCGTATATCATATAATGTAGTATTGTACTATGAACTATCGATATTATATAAGAACTCTATAGTAAACATTTAATACCCAACGAGGGCCCTAAAAGTTGACATGAAATATCTCCATTTCAAATATAGATTTTTTTAATGTAATAAAATCTTAAAATGAATCGAAGATATCTCTAATAAAATTAAGTATATCTTTAGATGTAATATTGTTTTCACATATAATAATGTATATTTATATTCAATTTTATCATGTTATGTCAAGCAGGGGTTCAATATGGTTACCCAGCTACGGCCGTCGTTGTTTCGCAACCAGGCGTCATGACCAGGGTTCCGGTAAGTTCACTATAAGCTATTTTTATTATCAATATTAAAGCATTCTTTTAAAGATTTTTGCTACCAGAAAATAAATGTGCTTCTGTTATAACAACCATATTTAAGAATCTATGCGCGGAGGGGTACCTTATTCTCAGTTGTCCGGAAGCTACCTCGTTTTCATGTAAAGAGTACCGCTGCAAAAGTTATGTGTACAAAGATACTGTTACAGACCGATTTCGGCTTGGATTATTCCCCCTTTTATTACCATCCCTAGCACTGTGAAAGCAGAGTTACAGTCATACAGTGACGCTGTACTCTCCGAAAGTGGAATTAAAAGATCATTGAGTATTAAGATCTAAAATCTTAAAGGTCCCTTCATCAATCTTGAATAGCCTTCCTAAAAATTGTTTCTTCTATCAGGGCGTTTGACTTTTTCACTATTTACACAGTATTTATAACCTTTGACCAAACTGAACGAATATCTTCTTACTTATATCATCAGATCAGCTTTTCTAAAAAAGGGGTAAACTTTTCTGTGCGGATCCCAGAATTTCATACTTGAATTAAATTGGAGTATTTGCTCTTGCATTTACTTGATTCATTTAAATTTCATAATTTCAAAAACAACCATGTTTCAAAAGATGGAATATCAATTATATACGCTATTACAGGGAGAGTAATGGCGAACCAAAAATGATTTCCCACCTTTTTTCATCATAATGATACGGAGATGTAGATTCCATCGCGACAACCTATTAAATATGTTATTTAATTATTTCCAGTGAATTTCCTTACATCTTTCTCTAAAGAAGAAAACTTCAATGTACTCCTTTATGCATTTGCCAATTGTATGTATTTTTCTTCCGCCACGCATTGATAGATAAATCGTAATCAACGGACGACAATTACATATACGCCATATAACTTTTCCCTTACTCCTCTCCAAATTCAACGTTCCCGAGTTCCCAAAAGATAGTTATTGTGACTAATAATTTATTTTTCGCTTTTTGTAGACACAATCCCAACCAAAATCTCATATGGTCATTTCTGTTTTTGGATGCCTATGCTGTCTGTGGCCTCTTGGTATTGGTGCAATAATAGCATCATTTAACGTGAGTAAAAACTCGTATCTATTAGTACTCTCTGGTTCATTGTATATGATGTAAGTGGACATTTTCTAAATAAGTGTATGTGATGTAAGTGGATATTTTCTATTCAGTGGTACGTTGTAAGTGAACTTCTATGTTGTAAGTGAACATTTTCTATTTGATTCTATGTTGAAAGTAAACATTTTATATTTATTTAGTTGTATGCTGTAAGTAAACATTTTCTATTTAGTTGTACGTTATAAGTAAACATTTTCTATCTAGTTTTATGTTGTAAGTAAACATTTTCCATTCAGTTTTATGTTGTAAGTAAACATTTTCTATTTAGTTGTATGTTGTAAGTTAACATTTTCTATTCAGTTTTATGTTGTAAGTAAACATTTTCTATTCAGTTTTATGTTACTTAAGTAAATTTATACTGACAGAAACTCCATGAACACAAATATGTTGGTACTGTTAACATGTTCTGTTTGGTTGCATGAAATATAAGTGAACGTTTACTGACACAACTTTCAGTACAAATTTAAGTGACTCCGTTCAGTTCTATCGTCAAATAATACCACTTTATTGTTAATCATTTTCAGGTCCAATCGGCCATAGCCCGTGGGGATATTCCATCAGCGAAAAGTTCGTCTAAAACGGCAAAAGTCGTCAATATAATCAACTTCTTGCTTGGTTTTATAATCATACTGATTGTGAGCATTCTTTACTCAAGTATCAATACCTCTCGAAGAATATACTACTGATACCTGTAGCGAAGTGTAGTGTTATCCTGAGGTATCTAGTCTTCTAGAAGAATATACATCTAATACCTGTAGCTCAGTGTAGTGATATCCTGATGTATCAAGGCTTCTCGAAGAATGGACAGCTAATACCTGTAGCTTAATATTATGTTATCCTAAAGTGTGAATACCTTTTTAAAGAAAATACTGATACCTGCAGCTTAATGTGGTGTTATCCTTGTGAATTCAGGCCTCTCAAAAATATAAAACTTATACATGTAGTTAAATGTAGATTTATCCTAAAGTATCAGTATTTCTCGAAGAAGAAGTGTAAACCCCAAGCGTCTAGATTACTAGAGATATACTCAGCGAATACCTGCATCTAGCATCTTCAAATTTATGACATTAAGAATTTGAATTTCTTTCATTATTTTGAATTTTCCTTAACCGTTGGATAACTCTGACCAACGTTTGAGCAACTTAAGCCAGACTGCTAGAGGCATACACAGCGAATACGTGCATCTGACTGTAGCGTAAGCATGACGTCTCCAGACTGTTAATACATTTTCAACTAATATCTATAACGCAATATAAGCCTGAAGAGTCCAAGATATACAACTTTTTAAGACCTGTACAACGAAATCTGTCACTTAATGCATATTAGCCTTGATCATCCAGATTGGTAACGATAAATAGACAACTTGTATATATACATTGGACAGCAAATTCAATATATTAGAACATTTTTGCCAGGTTTTGTTACTAAGGGGAGACTACCAAATTGTTTGCTTTATTTAAATGTGAAACTGTTAACGTATTTTTTGACGTATCCAGCTTGACTAGGCAAATATTTAATATACATTTATTACAGGAATGTTATTATCTAATCGGTCGTATTTTCTTACTACCCATATACTTATAGTTGCTGGTATGTCTGTTGACTAATACATCAAAAGTTGTTTACTGTGATTTATTGCATTATATAAATAACGAATACTTCTTATAATTGTATCACTTTATAACCATTTAAAAAATAAACGATGAAAATTAAAGATTAAAAGATACATAAACACAAGTTTAATTATACAACAAACACAAAATTTAGCCTCCAAGTCCATTTTTTATTAGCAGAATTCCGTATTAACAAAATAACTTTGCGAAATTGAGAAAATGTACGGCCATATTAAAGGAAAGAAGTCAACTAATACATACAGTTACTTGGTTAGAGCGTAACAAATAAGCAGAAATGTATATACATGTATTTAGGAATGAAATAACCAAAGAAATGCATTTAAGTTGTTGTATCAATTGAAAATATGCACGTTAATACGATTTTAAAAATACCTTTCAATGTTCGTCTAATGATGTTAAAATGTAAATAACAACGTTTAAAAAAGAACAAAAACGACACGATTTATTGTTATTGTTGACTTGTTGGTTGCAAAACGCGATTTCCTCAGTTATTTTATTTGTTGTGTAGAAATTGATATATTGTACTGTAGGATATATTTTTGGCGGAATTCAGGTAAAGTGGCTTTGGCATAAAGAGCTCCGATATTGTTTTTTTTAAATTATTGATCAAGGTGTATTTTCGAAAAAAAAAATCATAACAGCAAAATTTAGAACTTAGCAAAAACAACAACTTTACCGTGTTTCATATGGAATACCGCTGAAGTTTTGGAAAAAATATTTTGCTTATATATACTATATACCAGATGAGAATACAGCAAAATGTGAATTGGGCATTCATTAAAAAAAACTGTCTTGCAGTATATGCAGTTTAATTAAATGGTAAAATATACGGTTGGTTACGTGCATATCTATTTTACGCAGTAAATCCTGCTACAGTTTTCTAAAGTGGACTGTTCTGTATCCATATCAATCGTATGGAGTTCTGTCTACATTTCTGAAGCAGGTTCAACTTTTTCCATAGGAACCGCATTACTTTCGAATGTTGACTCATGAAAACGAATGTTGACGTTTATAAAAATAATGTCTGAAAATGTTTGTTTATTAAAAAAGCGATAGGTACCGTGTTGAGATAGGCGTAAAATAAGTCTGAAACTGACAGGGCCCAGACACGTTTTCTAGGATAGTACCACTACGACAATAACCACGAAAAAAATAATTCCAATAACAGTGTTGGTAATGTTTATTCCCAATGCAACGTTAGAGTTCGTCTTGGCGTCCTCCAAGTCACCTCTGTCTACTGCAGAGCGGGCCTAGAACGGGAAGGGAAAAGAACGTGTAACATAATCAGAGTACAATTTGTGTGCTTTTGTTGTTTGATTCTTTACGAATATGCCGACAATTTTGAAGCAGACCTATTGCTATTTTCAACTTTTAGAGAGCGATCATAATCATTATTATTTGGATCAAACGGTGTAACAAATATATATTATAAATTAACGAACAAAAAAGTTATTAAAAGAAAAAACTTGAAAACCTGAAAATCAACCTACCATGGCAATGACGTTTTGACGTCGCAATAAAAGCAAGCTCTATGACGTCGTTATGTCAACAGTGAATATTTGATGAACTTATATGTAAAGAATGTTACCAAGGGTATTTTATTGAGAGCATCTGAGGAATATATTTTGTAAATAATTATGGCATATATAAACACGTGTTAGATAATAAATATGATCAGTCTTCAATGTATTTTGAAAGAAAAATACAAATTATTACAAGGATACATTATCAACAATTTACTAGACACATCATATATTTCTTATCGATGATCCTTAGAAAACTTTGTACATAGAAACATTATGTCAAAATTAATTGCACTACACAATAAAGATGTTTCGTCCTTCTATGACTGATAGGTGATGCTAGGGACCGAAAAGTATATAACTGTGGCCATCAAGGTTACGGTAAATCTCGGGAACTAAACAGTAGACTCTACCACCTGGTATCGTGGAGAATAAACTTAAGACATACACATGCGAATGTACCTTTAAAATTTGGTAATAGATACAGCATGATATGTAACTACTTGTAATCTCTTAAGTACAAAATATTACCAGAACATAACACTGTCGGGATTTATATGTTTACCAAATTATAGTCTCGTGTCATATCAAATTATTGGAGTTGTTTAATAAACTCAATATGACATGGACACTCATGTAAGATTCTCTTTATTACATAGCAGTCCTAATGTGAAAACAAACAATTTATAAACTGAATTAAGTGTTATCAGCAGAGTCTTTATAAACGAAAGTACTCCGATCATTATATTATCGTTCCGCCCAATGCAAAGTAGTTCCAGATTTTTTTTATCCTATCCCCCCCCCCCCCCCCCCCCCCCCCCCCCCCCCCCCCCCCNTCTGCAGAGCCCCAGAGATCGAAGTGGACGGTATTATAAAACCACAATGTTTGTAGTAAGCTGTCAGGTGTGTTTTAACATAATTGACCAGAATTCCACAGCATATCTCTTTCAGTGTCATTTATTGGATCACTTCTGTGTGATAAATTGTTTTTTGTGGTCCCGTTTCAGCTGACGCTGTATATTTTGTCATGGCCTAACGAACTTGGTAAACCATAGGGCTGCTAACAATTGTGTGACCGTAGTTGTTGTGACGTAATTTCCGATGCAAACTTGACATCATCCCCTATAAACTGGTAGGTTCATATTCAGAAACGTTATTTTTTTTATATCAATAAGTAATTACACAATAACGGACACAGTTCAATTACTGGGGTATCGTGAATACTTTCATCAACAATTTCAGATCGTATAATGTTTTGTACAGAATATTTCTGTTAGATTGGTTTAGGATAAATTCCCCCATTTCTTTTTCATTTACAGTAACAAATGGGGTTTGATAGCCCCATCATCCAAGTGTGTTGTCTGCTCCGGCTGCTGTTCTGCCCGGGCCTATGTAACAATGACTTTCCTCAATACGATCTCGTAGAAGTTTAACTTTAAAATCAATTCCAGACACTCCTACATTTTAGAATGTTGCAAAAAGCTCTTTGAAGAATGTCCATTAAATTACCTGTTTCATTGTTGTCAATTGTAGATGTGTCGCCAATGTTTATCGGACCAACCTTTTTTACAACGGTAAATTTAATAAAAGTAGTGCTTGTAGTGGCGTAAGAAAATGTTCCCACGGTCTTGACCAATCGCAGCACTTTAGGTTTTGTTACACGTGTCTATTATATTTGTTTTACATGGCTGTATGACATAGTGAAATGGGCATTTTTGTTATAAATATAATTCAATTCTAGCCTAAGTGTACTTACATTCATGGAGGCCACAATAGCACAGATTCCAATAGGCCACAGGCAGCAGAGGCAGCCACAAATTGACCATCCGAGATAATCAGAAGGAGGCGTCGTCTTCATTTGAATCATTTGATGATAAATAAATTATAATATATTAAGACAGATAAACATATTTATTTTACGTACAAACACTGACAGATGTAATCTCCGTCCTTAGCTTGTAAAGGAAGACACGACATCAATTTAAATTTCCGTGTGTTATCAGATGATGAAGTTTAATTAAACCTCGACGATTGATTTATATAGTAAAATGATGATAATAGTAAACAAACCGCAAAATGTGACCTGTATGTCTCATGTTCCTTAACAAATCAAATGCTATAATAATATTTTATATATTACTGGTTACAACCTTTGAAATTCCTTTCTACAAAAATGACGTTTTATTGTCTTTAGATTTGTTTGCATAAGATTATATTTTCTACATAAAAGTTCCATGTTTTTGTATACATCACCTGCAAATGGAGAACTATCAGATTTGAAAAAAATATAGGCTATTACCTGAGGCACAGGTGATGTTTTGCGGTAGTTCACCTGAGTAATAATTTTGAATGGATGTGTGGTGTAAACGATCATTAATGTGAACGGAATCCATTTCAAACTTTATCTATAAGATCAAAACAACAGACAATCTTATTTCTCTCGACGATTTCGTTTGGTTCATAATACAGTTTTAAATGATTATGTTACCAATGGCTAAATTACCAAATTTTGCGGGGGGAAATGTGTATTTTTATGGTTGACTTTAGTCAGAAGGCAAAAAAAATGAGTAGACTGGTTTACATGTCGTAATTGTTTTACTCTTCGCTAGACTACAATTTGAACAACCGGGAACCGTCGGCACTTTCCGTAAACAAGGTAATCTCATTTACGGAAAGTGCCGACGGTTCCCGATTGCGTTTCGTAAATACAAAGAGCGAAGCCTAGTGGAGAGAAATGATACTAAGGCAGGTAACCCAGTCTTAAGTCAAAGGTCTGAAAAACAGAATTAGAGAAACTATATCAAAACCTGTATAACTTTAGGAATATATATTTACCATTTGCTGATATATCTGTGGTGGCTGCTGTACGACGACCACCGAACTTTGAGACGAAGACTGCTGAATTGACTGGGGTGGATTTCCATAGGGTAATGCTGGAGTTCAGATATCAAATGCACTTGATCAGTTAATATGAAGTCATCAGAAGACATTAAATGACAATATCAGGAATTATGACTGATCAGGACAATGTAAAAGTCGTATGCTTACGCAAAGGAAAACGATGTTTTCTGTCCTCAAATGTGAAAATGTGCAAAACAAAGTAAAAGGTCTAAATGAGTCGCTAAATATTATTTCATTATATAAATCTAAAAAGGTTTTTTGAAAAATTTTGAAAATGAAAACTGGTGCTCAAACTTCCAAGAACGTGGTAAAATGGATAAATATAATGATGATGCTTGCAATATTTGATGCATTTGTTTGGATACAATGCTTTATCTTATGAAAAAGATAATAATTTATGGATGCAGTTTATGTTCAAATGACCTCTTAAGATAAGCATAATTCAGGTGCAGACTGTTTAAATGATTTTGCTTAGATATACAAGTTTTGGTTTAGAAATAAGAAACGAACTAAACTTACTGACAATAGGAAAACTAGAGCTTCTATTTCCAATACATTTATCATGTGATTCAATTCAAATATAGCAATTTTTATAGGTATGACTTAATGCATCTTTGTGTAAAAATAAAGGCTCATCAATGAGGGGCTGTAAACAGGCAAATAGGTACACATCCTTTGGCTTTTTTCAACTTATTTCTTTGCATGAAGTAATAAATAAAATAAAATTCAATTTCATGATAACCTATCCCTATGCTCAATTTCTGCAAACAAAAGCTATGATTTGGCATCCCCCTGTTTACATGGAGTCAGGTACATTGCTAATGACTTACGTTGTTGCAACTGGGAGAATTCGGCGGGGCCCGAAGGAGAGGAGTAGGGCGGAGGCATGTCCCTAGTTGCACCTGGAGAAAAGAAATAAAGCTTTGGTCTCTTGTTGAGATAGTTCAGAAGTTTCCGTTTTTTTGTAAAAAAATAAAATACAAGTGGGTTTTTTAATAAATTGTATTCTTTCTTGTTATCAGGAAAATTTATTTTAATAAGATAGCAATATGAACCGGCTTTATAAATTAATTGATGACAGACAATAGGAAAAATAGGGAACACAATAGAAACATTTCATTAACAAATGTTAATTTATCGAAAAAAACACAATCATTTACAATTTATCTCAAGACTTATCAAAAGAACAGAAAGAAAAGTTCACAATCAAACTAACATAACTTCTCACGTACTGACTTTTATAATGTTAACATGAATGTAAAGTTCTAGACTAGTTATTTTTTTCAAATAAGGAGATGCCAATTAGACAGTGGTGAATTATATTTTATACGATTTCATGACCATATCTCAACTTTGTGTTCCATACGTTAACAGGGATGAAACAAACCACCTATTTTATTCTAATGACTTGATATTACCGAATGGTTGTGTAGACATAAAAATCAACCAGTACTGATTTATTTTGTCCAGATGTAGGCTTTGCTAAGGTTTGAATACTAAAAATCTTGTTTCGAGAGTTACAAATACTTCTTGTCTCTGGCAATCATTAAAACAGGATGTCTCGTAATTAATATTGTACGGGGCTGTGTACGCATCTATCCGTGAGGACTGTAAGACCTGTAATCAACGTCGACAATATGCAACATAATGGCAATCTGAAGGGGAATGCTCCAAAGGGGAAGGTAATTCAATCACATGATATGTACCTGGACTTCGGCTCCAACAAAGGGGAAGGTAATTCAATCACATGATATGTACCTGGACTTCGGCTCCAACAAAGGGGAAGGTAATACAATCACATAATATGTACCTGGCATTCGGCTCCATCAAAGGAAAAGATTATAAAATCAAATGATAAAGATTTTGAATTCGGCTCCAACAAAGGGGAAGGTAATTCAATCCCATGATATGTGCCTGGACTTCGGCTCCAACAAAGGGGAAGGTAATACAATCACATGAGATGTACCTGGACTTCGGCTCCATCAAAGGAAAAAATTATAAAATCAAATAATAAAGACTTGGAATTCGGCTCCAATAAAGGGGAAAGTAATACAATCACATAATATACGTGGTCGAAACACAACACTCGACCAGTTTTATGATTCTTTACTCCAATATCACCATCCATATGCGAGAATATGCTAGTTACCTGAACAGGTGTTAGCACGGTGTACAGAAAATTTATATATATAACATACATACCGACCATCACCCCACCCCCTAAGTACATGTATCCTGAATTATTTGTTAGATGTCCTTTGATCAATACAGCTTTATGAGGGAAGATTAGGCAAGATGTATTATATACCTACTTTATAAGACATTGTTAAGTTTACTAATTTAAAATAAATAAAATAAAGTTAATCAAAAAGTACAATATTATGTTTATCTATAGTATTATGTATAGGTTGAGTACATGAAATTGTGAATTAAACATCTTGATGAGTACCTGTAATCCTGAATGATGTGTTAGATGTCCTTTGATCAATACAGCTTTATGAGGAAATATTGAGCAAGATGTATGTTTTGTATACCTACTTCATAAGACATTGTTAAGTTTACTAATTTAACATTAATTTTAAAGTTAATCAGAAAGTACAATATCATATATATATATATTACGAAGACTGTTTTAAATATTGATGTACACACATGTACATCGATGCTGACCAGATATGTCAAACTATACAAACGTTAAATGCAAAATGAAGTGCATTTAATATATACATTTAAATATGAATTTATCTTGGTAATGGTTGATCAAGGGCATTAAATTATGATTGTGATGATTATATAAAAGTTGAAATACATTATAAGTGTTAAAGTGTACAAAATGGAATTTTGATCAAGATTGCAACTGCTATGTATACAAAATTGAAAGTTACCGGGGTATGCGATGGATGTGTGCGTGTTGTAAACTGGTTGAGCATATTATCTGCCACCGCCTCAGGAATCATCTCGAGGAATACAACATACTGACACATCTAGAACATGACTTCAGGTCAGGACACTCCTGTGAATCCCAGCTGCTGATTACCACCTATGACATCACCAGTATGTATGACAGGAAACTACAAGTGGACACTGCCATCCTGGATTTCAGCAAGGCCTTCGATAAGGTTCCCCACTCCAAACTCCTGTACAAACTAGAGAATTTCGGTGTGAACCCCGACATCCTACAATGGATCAAGGCCTTCCTGACATCACGGACCCAACGAGTACTTGTAGACGGCAGCCATTCAACACGAGTGAAGGTAGATTCATGGGTTACCCAGGGGACGGTCCTGGGACCTATACTCTTCCTCTGCCACATCAATGACTTGCCCGACTGCGTAACATCTACTGTACGTCTATTCGCTGATGATTGTCTGGTATACCGCCCAATTCGATGCCTTCAAGACCACCTGGACTTCAAAAAAGACCTCAAGTCCTTGGAAGAATGGGCAACGAAATGGGGTATGTCTTTTAACGCGTCGAAATGTTATATTCTAAGAACATCAAGATCCAAGTCGCCTAGTGCCTACAACTACCAACTGTCGGGCCAATTACTCAAAAAAGTGGAAGAAAATCCATACTTGGGGGTGGCTATTCACAACTCCATGAAGTGGGACTCTCATATCCGTAACACAACCAACAAGGCAAATTCCACTCTCGGATTCCTAAGACGAAACCTGCGACAGTGCCCAGCGTCACTGTAACTAACCGCATACAAATCGTTGGTGAGATCTGTCCTGGAATACAGCTGCACGATATGGGACCCTTACCAGCAAAACAACATCTACTCGCTGGAAAAGGTACAACGCCGCGCTGCCCGCTTTATAACATCCAACTATAGAAGGGACAGCAGTGTAACAGAAATGATGGACACTCTAAAACTAACACCACTAAAGGATCGCAGGCGAGACCATCGGCTTGCCCTTTTTTATAAGATCTTAAAGGGGCTAGTGGCCATACCTGTAGATCACATATTGACTTCATCAAACACCCGTACCAGATAAATTACCGACATTTCCAGTGTAATACGGACATATTTAAAAATTCATTTCCCCCCCGAACAACAACAGAGTGGAATAACCTACCAGAAGACCTCGTCAAAACGCAAGAACTTAAAAGCTTCAAGACATTACTACAAACGGAGACAAAATAAACTAAAAGCGCACTCCTCCAACCCTGGAATTTATACTGAAATTTGAGGTCTTCCAGTAATCTACAGAAACAGAAACACATGCTTGCACTGTAGGCGTTTTGAGGTCTGACAGTAAGTAGAGAAATGGAAAGCAAAGGGACAGTACTACCCCTATTGGATTTTTTTATTTTTATTACTGTTAATATTTCGTTAATTGCTGTCAGAGTCTTGAATGCCTGTGCTGGTGCCTATATGTGCAGTACATGTATCGCTATCGACCCGGGTGTCCTCTGGCTCCTTCACCAGACTGTTTTACTTTTGACAAATGGATGTTATTTCTGTTCCACGTCAGACGTCTACCTTTCAGGGTGGCGGGGGAGTCGGATTACCCGGGCTATATCTATATGTGACATGCGATACATATTGGTGTGGGTGGGTGTATGCGGGCATTTGGGGTAAGATATTATTGATCTAACACTTATCAGTTTAAATTAAGTAGCTGCAAATTAAACCAATGAAGGAGCTATTTTTAAGCATAATTTTAGTATGTTGTAATGTATGTCATGTACTTTATACAAATGTTATTTTTGTTTTTGTCTTTTTCCTGGTTAATGCTCTAAAGTTATCCGTATCCTGTAACACTGTAAGTAACAACACATGATTCATCTTAAGTAAGTGGTCTCTTGCAATATACATTGACATAATGGGGGGGGACACAATTGATATACTCTCAGCAAATTGCCAGGGTCTTGGTGGTCTTTTTGCATACTTAAGATGTAAGAAATATAGCATTTATTGTATTCAAGATACTCACTTCACAAAGCAGACTGAAGATATAATAAGGTCAGAATGGGGTTACGACTGTTGTTTTAGTTCTTTTTCTTCTAATTCAAGGGGGGGGGGGGGGGTTTTTTAATTAATAACAATTTTGAACATAAAGTTTTTAAAGTAAAGCAGGATAACTCGGGGAATTTTTTGGCATTAGATATAATGATTGAGGGCAAACAATTTACACTTATCAATGTTTATGGTCCAAACACCGATACACAATCTTTCTTCGAAATTATATCAAACACCTTAGATGAATTCAATAGTGATTCACAGATAATATCCGGATATTTCAACCTAGTTTTAAAACCCGATATAGATTACGAAAATTATAATCACATAAATAACCCAAAGTCAAGAGATAAAGTCATTCAAATTATAGAAGACAAAAATTTAGTAGATATATATAGAGAACATCACCCTGATAAAAAACGATTCATATGGAGGAAAACAAATCCTAGGAAACAAGCCCGACTAGACTTTTTTCACACCTTCTTACAGTTTAAAAAAGGTAGAGGATTATGGAAATTCAACAAGTCACTTTTAGAAGATTGTCAATATTTAGATCTTGTTAAATCTGTAATATGTAAAGTAAAGGAACAGTATGCTGTCCCAGTCTATAACTTGTCCAATTTAGATGATATTCAGGACACAGACATACAGTTTACTATTAACGATCAACTATTTTTAGAATCATTACTTGTGGAAATTAGTGGCAAAAGTATATCCTATTCTTCATTCAAGAAAAAAGATAGTAGCCTAACGAGAATGAATTAAAAGAAATGATAGCAAAGTTAGAGAATGAAAAAAATACATCATTAGAATACTTAGTAACCAAAAAATTAGAATTAGAAAACATGAGAAAACAGAAAGAGTAAATAACATCCCAAAGTTAAATGAAACAGAGTCAAAAATGCTAGAAGGACCTATCTTGTATCATGAAGCGGCTAAAACTCTCAAAAACATGAAAAATAGCAAAAGTCCAATTCAGACGGCTTTCCAGTAGAATTTTTTAAATGCTTTTGGAAATTTATTGGTTATTTTATATTAAGATCAATTAATTATTGATACTCAATCAATGAACTCTCTATCACACAAAACAGGGCATAATTACATGTTTACCAAAAGGGGACAAAGCAGAACAATTTCTAAAAAAATGGCGACCAATTGCACTACTAAATACTGTATACAAAATTGCATCTGGTGCAATAGCAGGTAGAATTAAAACGGTTTTAGACAAGTTAATAAACATTGATCAAACTGGATTTATTAGTGGAAGATACATGGGAGAAAACACTAGGCTAATTTATGACAGTATGCAGTATGCAGAAGAATATGATCTTCCATGCTTATTATTATTAATAGACTTTGAGAAAGAATTTGACTCTGTTTCATGGAATTTTATTTCTGAAGTTTTACAATTTTTAATTTTTTTTAATCAGGGAGGTAACCTATCAAATTAAAACGAGGATGCCGTCAGGACGATCCGATCGCCTCATATAAATCTATCTTATGTGCAGAAGCTTTAGCCCTTAAATTCAGAAATAAAACAAGTATTAAGGGAATATCATTACATAAGGAACCCATTATTTTATCACAGTATGCAGACGATACCTCAATAATTCTAGATGGTTCAGAAAGGTCGTTAAAGAAACAATGAACAAACTAACATTATTCGCAAACCTATCTGGATTGAAAATAAGTACATCAAATTCACAAGTAATATGGATAGGCAATACAAAATATAGTAAGGAAACTTTTTTTTACCTCAATGGAAACTACAATGGGGACATACCAAATTCATTGTGCTAGGGATTGTTTCGATGTCGATTTATACAAAATTACCAAGTTAAACTATGATAAAAAAAATAGACAAATTAAAAAACCGGCTTAAAATATGGAATAGAAGAGTCCAATTGAAAGACTGACAGTAATCAAAACTTTAATAAATCTCAACTTAATCATCGATTTATTTCAATCCCAAATCCTGACGAAAACTTTTTTAAAATCTTAACACAGAACTATACAACTTTTTGTGGAATAGCAAAGTTGACAAAATAAAAAGGGGTGTTGTTATTAAAGAATATATAAATGGTGGACTAAAAATGATTCATACTGACTCCTTTATCAACGCATTTAAATGTACATGGATTCGCAGGCTTAACAATGGATGTGGCAAATGGACAAATATATTATATACTAATTAAGATAAGGATAAGTTAGCTAATTGTTGGACTGAATTTATTGAACAGAGTATTAAGAACACTAACAACTTGTTTTGGAAAGATGTTTTAAAAGCGTGGCTAAAGATAATACAGGCAAATAACACAAACAGCTATGAATCCTTCTTAAATCTCCGATTTGGTTTTGTAATGAAATAAAAATAGCACGCAAAACTATCTTTTACAAAGAATGATTTCTAAAAGGAGTCAGAATTATCAATGATGTGTGTATCGATGTACGTAAGTGTTCGTCCATTAAGTTAGGTTTAAATGTTTTAGTATCTTCATCCTATTTATGACATATGAAAGAAAGAAAGTGAAAGAAAGACGAATGTTGAAAGAAAGCGCTCTTGTGAGAGGACAATACATTGTAAAGGGGGATAATCCCAGGGCTCCTCAACCCTGGCATCCTCCGTACTTAATGAGGAAGTAAAATATTTGAACCTAAAAAAATAAAAATAAAAATACAATCACATGATATGTATCTGGTCTCCGGCTCCTACAAAGGGAAGTAATCAAATAACATGATATGCACCTATACTTTAGCTCTATCGAAGGAAAAGATTCCAATCACATGATATGTACCTGGTCTCCGGCTCCAACAAAGGGGAGATAATCCTATCACATGATATGTACCTTGACTTTGGCTCCAACAAAGGTGAAGTAATCCAATCACATGAAATGTTACTGGACTTCGGCTCCAACAAAGCGGAGAAAATCCTTTCACATGATATGTACCTAGACTTTGGCTCCAACAGATGGGAAGTAATCCAATCACATGATATATTACTGGACTTCGGCTCCAACAAAGAGGAGGTAATCCAATCACATGATATGTACCTAGACTTTGGCTCCAACAGAGGGGAAGTAATCCAATCACATGATATATTACTGAACTTCGGCTCCAACAAAGAGGAGGTAATCCAATCATATGATATGTACCTGGTCTCCGGCTCCAACAAAGAGGAGATAATCCAATCACATGATATGTTCCTGAATTCTAGCTCCAACAAAGGGGAAGGTAACCAATTGATATGTACCTGGTCTTCGGCTCCACAGTATAACGACAGCTACATGACTTAATGATAAGATGGGCGCTAAAGACTAAAAGGGATTTTAAACGGATCATAGGATGATTTTACCTGGAAGGTGGGTTGGGTGATTAATGACCATGGTGCACCAAAGGGGGAAGCAATCATGATGGCACGAACAAATGTAGCTTGGGGCTCGTAAGGGATGCCGTGAGCATACTTATACTACGATAAGTACGTCGGGGCTCCGAAGGGGAATGTAAAGATGATGACATGGCGATACATACCTTGGGGCTCCAAAGGGGAATGTGAGCGTGATGCTATGGCGATGCATACCTTGGGTCTCCAAGGGGGATTTTAAGCATGATGCTATGGCGATACATACCTTGCATGTGTACAGGAGAATTGTTCATATGCGTTTCAAATCGTCGCTGGTTCGTCTGTTAACCTTCGCTGTAACCTATAATGTAATAATATACAATTACTTGAAATGCTGACAATGTTATGCATTTATCCATGCTGAATTAACCGTTGAGCAATACTTTCATACAAGGATCAGAAAGACAAATTTTAAACTACAGATAGTGTACTGACTGAACAAATATATCCATAAAAGGGAGATAATTAACATCAGAATGTTTAAACGATACTATAATATCAATTAAACAAGTTTGTAATAAATAACCACCAAAGATACGTGATTACATGTTTCTTTAATTAATTGTGTTGTGCTGCAAACATCTCAACCCGAGTGAAAAGTTCATTTGCATACACTTTAGGAAGTATTATTGAAGTTCCAGTAAGACGATGATAATGATTTTGAAAATCAGATTATCAAAAGGTTCGTCAATCCATTGTACGTGTTGTATGTTTTGCAATTACCTTTTTAGCACATTTTCTTAATCCTATGGATAACGCTTCATACTAATTTTAAGAAACAAGTAAAACGGTTGTTATTACACTTATAAAACGTAGGTGTGTTACCTAACATACCGACCATATATATGTTACAATATGGCAGTGTTATCCATATCACTTACTATAGACAGAACACATAAAGTCATGTTAACTATCACACTTATTATAGACATAACACATAAAGCTGTTTTATCTATCACACAGACTATAGCCATAACATATAAAGTTATGCTACCCATCACATTGACTATAGACATAACACATACAGTTATATTTCCCAATATATGGACTTTTTACATTACATGTAAGACTGTGTCATCTATCAATTGAAGTTATTCATCACACAGACTATATACATAATACATCAACTTATGTAACGCATCACAAATAATATAGACAAACACATGCAGTTCTGTTACTCATCACACAGACTAAAGACAGAACAAATTAAGTTATGTTACCTATCAAATGGACTATAGACATAACATAAACAGGTATGTTATCTTTCACACTGACTTAGACAGAACAAACACAGTTATTTTATCCAACTTACGTACTAAAGACAGCAAAAATAAAGTTATGTTACTCATCCCAAAAACTATAGGCATAACACATAAAGTTATGTTACTCATCACTCAAGCTATAGACATAACACTTAAAGTGATGTTAATCATCACACAGACTATAGACATAACACATACAGTTCTATAACCTATCACACAGACTAAAGACATAACACATAAACATATCCTACGCATCACACAGACTATAGACATAACACATAAATCTATCTTACGCATCACACAGACTATAGACATACACAACACATACATCTGTTTTACTCATCACAGAGACTAAAGACAGAACAAATTTAGTTATGTTACCTATCACATGGACTATAGACATAACACAAACAGTTATGTTATCTTTCACACTAACTATTGACAGAACTAGCACAGCTATTTTATCCATCTGACGGACTATAGACAGCACAAATTTAGTTATGTTACCTATTACACAGACTATAGACATAACACATTAGGTTGTGATACGCATCACACAGACTATTAACATAACACATTAGGTTGTGATACTCATCACACAGACTATAGACATAACACATTAGGTTGTGATACTCATCACACAGACTATTGACATAACACATTAGGTTGTGATACTCATCACACAGATTATAGGACTATGGACATAACACATATAATTATGTTACTCTTTACACAGACTATAGACATAACACATAAAGTTATGTTACCGATCACATAGACTTATTACATAACACATACCACATAAACTATCACACAGACTTAAGACATAAAACATAAAACTGTGTTACCCATCACATAGACATAAGACATAATAGACAAAGCTGTGTTTTCATTCACCCAGACTATGGATACAGTTTATAAAACTGTGTTAGCCATCTCAGAGACTATAAACATAACATTTTTCATTACCCAGACCATGGGTATTTTAAACAAAGCTGTGTTTCCCATCACAGGACCTATAAAAAACATAACACATGAAGATGTGTTACCCAATACACAGACTATAGACATAACAAATAAAGCAGCTGTGTTACCCATCACACAGACTACATACATTTAAATCTTTACATTTAATAGTGAATACCACACTTAGTTATACATGGTGGCATGTTTGTTTTCTTTTTTCTTTTTTTCTTTTTCAGTACAAATATTTTATTCCCCCAGCCATTTTTTTCATAAATATGTATATATATATACATATATAAACATTTTGATAGGGATGCCAGGGTTGGGGAGCCCTGGAGTCAGCCCCTGAACAATATGGTGTCCTCACGCAGGAGGGTTCTCATTCAACATTCATCAGTCAAACTATAAATAAATAAATAGGAAGGGCAATGGGAAAATAAAATATTTGCAAATAGAGTACAGGACATACTTCTTTCACACCCTAACAAATTCCATATACAACATAATATTACAAACAAGGATAAACATATAGCACGTCTACACAAAAAACATAATACACATACAAATACACCCACATATATACTCATACACACATACATATATACATGAGACAGACATACAGACAGACAGACATACAGACAGACAGACAGACAGACAGACAGACAGACAGACAGACAGACAGACAGACAGACAGACAGACAACACAGACAGACAGACACACAGACACACACACAGACACACAGACACACAGACAGACAGACAAACACACAGACACACAGACAGACAGTACATACATACATGTATACATTGAGACAGACTTACATACATTGAATCAGATGCATCATTATACAAGCATAATTTCAAGCAGTTGAGAAACAATAATAAATACACTGTGCAAACAGTGTCAGATGTACATATATATATATACACATGTGTATGAATATTTCTATGACACATGCATGTGGTCATTCACATTGACATGGACATATACTGACATCAATTTTCAAATAACATTTTAAAACCGGTTTTCATACAGGTTTTTCTGTCCGCTAAAAAGATAATTATAAAACAAAACTAATAAAAAAATAGCACATAAATCTACTCACACCATAACATACCGGATATATGCAGTTTTATTTTTATCAGATTACAAAATCACGATGAAATTTAAATATTCATTTCAAGATAAAGAGTATCAATTATATAAACAAAGATACAAAGATGTATGGATTGTGTAAACTGATAATTCGCCTTCTAAATTTACACGTTGATTGTCTGTTAATTTTACATATTCTAAACCATCTAAAAGGCTGTCTAAATTAACATCTTCAAAATCTGTGTTACCCATCACACAGACTACAGGCATTTAAGTCTTTACATTTAATAGGAAATATCACACTTAGTTATACATGCTGGCATGTTGATGGCACGCGTTAGTGTTTTACACAGACGTCCTCTTCGACGAATGGATAGGTAAAACACTAAGGTTTTGAGTGGTCGGGGATGAATCTGAGTTCGAGCAATGACAGTTCGAGTATTCTGAGGTTAATTTACAAAGAAAACACAAGAACACGGTGAGTAGCAAGCGAACTTTTCGAAGAACAGGGGGTATTTGAGTAATGTAAGTTCGAGTAAGTGGGGTTTCACTGTATAGCTAAGCCAGCCTTATTCAACCGCTCAGTATTCTGTCACACCGTTAACATGAACATTTAATGTAAACTTCAAAATAAGACCTGTATATTAAACGTCCTTTTTAATCTTATCAGTATGATGCGTCTCACAGGATCTCTCAGGTTGTATTGTAGTTGAAACAGGATCGATCCAACTGGCGTATGATAAAGTATAACAATGCTGTTACTTATTATAACCTATACAAATTGAAATTGCAGAAAACAATAACATATTATATGCGTATCATAAACACAAATTCTATCTCTTCACCAGCTAAAATAGTACCACCTATCTGTAACCGGATTGCTTGTTTGTGAGAATCAGTTACCTATTACCAGAAACAAGCCAACCTTGACGCACCTCCTGATCAAATATGCATGAAGAACATGTAATAGATGCTCTATCGCTTTAAAAAAACTCAACTAGTTCAAACATGTAAACAAGTGACAAGCTAACAGGATGCGGTGGATTTTTTTTCTTACAGTGCCGATTTTTCAGTATATGCTCTTCAATTATTATTCATCTTGCGTAAATTTTTCTTTGGTTGATATTTTTTCTGTGTTGGTTTCTCTCCAGTTAATATTTCCTTCTGTGTAAGTTTCTCTTTGGTTATAATTTGTCTCTGTTGGCTTCTCTTTAGTTCATATTTTTTCTGTGCTGGCTCCATTTTAGTTAATATTTCTCCTGTGTTGATTCCTCCTAAGTTTATATTCCGTCTATCCTGGGTTTTTTTGGTGTTTTTTTTTAATATTTCTCATGTTTTGGTTTTCTTAATTTTTCTACTGTTTTGGTTTTTCTTTTATTAATATTTCTCCTGTGCTGGTTTCGTTTTGGTATATATAATTCTTCTGTTTTTATGTCTAGTTAGTTAATATTTCTCCTGTTCTGGTTTCTATTTAGTTAATATCAATGTTTCTTCTTTCCTGAGCTATGGTTTCCCTTTGGTATATATTCCTTCTGTCCTGAACTATTGTTTCCCTTTGGTATATATTCCTTCTTTCCTGAACTATTGTTTCCCTTTGGTATATATTCCTTCTGTCCTGAACTATTGTTTCCCTTTGGTATATATTCCTTCTTTCCTGAACTATTGTTTCCCTTTGGTATATATTCCTTCTGTCCTGAACTATTGTTTCCCTTTGGTATATATTCCTTCTGTCCTGAACTATTGTTTCCCTTTGGTATATATTCCTTCTGTGCTTGCATTTCTTTAGTTTAATATTTCTCCTGTGCTGGTTTCTATTAAGTTAATATCAATTTTTCTTCTGTCCTGAACTATTGTTTCCCTTTGGTATATATCCCTTCTGTCCTGAACAATAGTTTTTCCTTTGGTATACATTATTTCCGTCCTGAACTATTTTTTGCCTATGGTATATAATCCTTCTCTCCTGAACTATTGTTTCTTACTCATCACATAGAGTATTGTCATAACACATACAGTTATGCTATAAATCACACACACTATAAACATAACACATAAAGCTGTGTTACTCATCGCACAGACTATTGACATAACCCATAAGTTTGTGATACTCATCACACAGACTATTCACATAACACATTAGGCTGTGATACTCATCACACAGACTATTGACATAACACATTAGATTGTGATACTCATCACACAGAATATAAACATAACACATACAATTTGTTTCTGGTCACACAGACTATATAAATAACCCATAACGTTAACACATAAACTATCACACAGACTAAAGACATAAAACATAAAGCTGTGTTACCCTTCACATAGACATAAGACATAATAGACAAAGCTGTATTTTCAATCACCCAGACTATGGGTACAGTTCATTAAACTGTGTTAGCCATCTCAGAGACTATAAACATAACATTTTTCATTATCAAGACCATGGGCACTTTACACAAAGCTGTGTTTCCCATCACACGGACTATAAAAAACATAACAAATAAAGATGTGTTACCCAATACACAGACTATAGACATAACAAATAAAGCTGTGCTACCCATCACACAGACTACAGACATTTAAGTCTTTACATTTAATAGTAAATATCACACTTAGTTATACATGCTGGCATGTTGATGGCACGCGTTAGTGTTTTACACAGACGTCCTCTTCGACGAATGGATAGGTAAAACACTAAGGTTTTGAGTGGTGGGGATGAATCTGAGTTCGAGCAATGACAGTTCGAGTATTCTGAGGTTAATTTACAAAGAATACACAAGAACACGGTGAGTAGCAAGCGAACTTTTCGAAGAACAGGGGGTATTCGAGTAATGTAAGTTCGAGTAAGTGGGGTTTCACTGTATAGCTAAGCCAGCCTTATTCAACCGCTCAGTATTCTGTCACACCGTTAACATGAACATTTAATGTAAACTTCAAAATAAGACCTGTATATAAAAAGGTCCTTTTTAATCTTATCAGTATGATGCGTCTCACAGAATCTCACAGGATCTCACAGGATCTCACAGATTGTATTGTAGTTGAAACAGAATCGATCCAAATGGCGTATGATTAAGTATAACAATGCTGTTATATAACCTATAACCTAAACAAATTGAAACTGCAGAAAACAATAACATATTATATGCGTATCATAAACACAAATTCTATCTCTTCACCAGCTAAAATAGTACCACCTACCTGTAACCGGATTGCTTGTTTGTGAGAATCAGCTACTTTTTACCAGAATCAAGCCAACCTTGACGCACTTCCTGGTCAAGTTTGCATAATAAACATGTAATAGGAGCTCTCTCGCTTTAAAACGTAACTAGTTCAAACACGTAAACAAGTGACAAGCTAACAGGATACGGTGGAGTTTTTTTCTGTTAATATTTCCTTCTGTGTACGTTTCTCTTCGGTTAAAATTTGTCTCTGTTGGCTTTACTTTAGTTAATATTTCTCTTGTGTTGATTCCTCCTAAGTTTATATTCCGTCTATGCTGGTGTTTTTTTTTTGTTTTTTGTTTTTAAATATTTCTCATGTTTTTTGGTTTTTTTTAAATATTTCTCCTGTGCTGGTTTCTTTTAGGTATATATACTTCTTCTGTTTTTATATCTAGTTAGTTAATAGTTAATATCAATGTTTCTTCTTTTCTGAACTATTGTTTCCCTTTGGTATATATTCCTTCTGTCGTGAACTATTGTTTCCCTTTGGTATATATTCCTTCTGTGCTGGCATTTCTTTAGTTTAATATTTCTCCTGTGTTGGTTTCTATTAAGTTAATATATATATATTTTTTCTGTCCTGAACTATTGTTTCCCTTTGGTATATGTTTTTTTCCGTCCTGAACTATTGTTTCCCTATGGTATATATTCCTTCTGTCCTGAACTGTTGTTTCCCTTTGGTATATATTCCTTCTGTCCTGAACTATTGTTTCCCTTTGGTATATATTCCTTTTGTCCTGAACTATTGTTTCTCTTTGGTATATATTCTTTCTGTCCTGAACTATTGTTTCCCTTTGGTATATATTCCTTCTGTTTTGAACTATTGTTTCACTTTGATATATATTCCTTCTTTCCTGAACTATTGTTTCCCTTTGGTATGTATTCCTTCTGTCCTGAACTTTTGTTTACCTCTGGTATATATTCCTTCTGTCCTGAACTATTGTTTCCCGTTGGTATATATTCCTTCCGTCCTGAACTATTGTTTCCCTTTGGTATATATTCCTTCTGTCCTGAATTATTGTTTCCCTTTGGTGTATATTCCTTCTGTCTTGAACTATTGTTTCCCTTCTGTGCTGATATTTCTTTAATTGATATTTCTACTGTGCTGGTTTGCCTTCAGTTAATATTTTTTTCTGTGCTGGCTTCTCTTCAATTATGCTCTGTGAAAGCTTCTTTAAGCATTAAATTGCCTCCTTTGCAGACAAATTGAACATCGCGCGTTAGCGCAATATGACTTATTTGTCTGCAATCCAGCTTTCAAAAGAAGGCAGTTTGATACGTATATTTCCGTTTTTAATTTAAGTTTTTCTTATGATTTCAAACCTGTTATCGCATTTCAAAGTCTAATTTCGCGCTGTCTGTCAATGGAACCTGTTCTTGGACGTCACGAGTACACGCGGCCGTTCCCGGCAAAACAATATAGTTCGTGGAAATAAACACAAACTCATCAACTCAACAACAACTTATTCAATATATTCCACCGTGAGGATATTCTCCTTTGGACAACATAACTACATAAATTGTTACGAGTTACATAAAACGATGTCATTAAGTCGCGACATCACGAAAATGTTCTTCATATCACTACACCATTGGGAATTATGTGAGAATTATGAACTGATATCTTTCAATTTTGTTTGGTAAGGTTATATAATGGCAATGCAGAGCAAATTAAAATATTAGTTTATATTTATCCTGTGTTGTTTTCTCTTTAGAATATTTTTTTTTCGACGTGCATGTTGTTTTGGATTTTGATATGATATTCTGTTATGGTGTTATTTCGAATGTAATTTTTCTTTCCATGTTTGTGTTATTTCGGATCATTGCTTTTCCGTCTGTAATTGAAATGTTCTTCTCTGGGCTTTTCTGTTCGGTTCACAAATCTCCTTCTATGTCGTTTTTACTCAAAGGCTTGCAATCACTTTCATACATTTAACAAGCAATGTGCACATAATTGAACAAATAAAAGGGTGGTATTTACATGACGTCTTTGCAAAGATTCTAAAATGCAGACGTGAAGAGGTGAGTTTTTATGTCCCTCTTGAACTTGGCCAGGGTATTCGACTTCCTAATAGCAGATGGTAAGCTATTCCACAACGTAGCCGAATCCCTCCCAAAGCATCTGTTTCCGTAGGGCACAGTACGAGATTTTGGGACACACAACAAAGATTCTGACTCCGACCGCAGTGATCTTGACGGCTGATACAGGGTAACAAGTTCCTGTAGGTACTGAGGAGCTGTTCCATTCAGTACCTTGTATGTGTATACCAGAATTTTGTACTGCGACCTGTATCAAGCGCAGGTGTGATGTGCTCTCTCTTTCGAGTACGAGTAACTAGCCGTGCTGCAGTGTTCTGAACCCTCTGCAGACGACTAGTTAGTTTGTCAGATATACCACAGAGCAGGGCGTTACCATAATCCAACCGAGAGGTAACAAGTGAATGCACCAAAATCTTGCATGCATCTGCAGTTAGAAACTGCCGAATACAGCCGATGTTCCTGATCTGGTAGTAACAGGATTTGGCAATAGCGTTCACTTGTTTCTCCATGTTCAGAGAACTGTCAAAGTATACCCCTAGGTTTTTAACAGCTGGAACAGTCTCAATAGTTCTGGCACCAACCTTGAGCTGGAGAGCCATTGTTTGCTGACACTTTGGGGAAAAGACGATTAGTTCCGTCTTTTCCTGATTAAGTTTAAGCATGTTGGCGTTCATCCAGATACTGATATCTGTCAGACAAGCTTCCAGACTTTCTGAGACTGTATTCCAACTGTCCTGTGGTTTTATGACCATGTAAATTTGTGTGTCATCAGCATAGCAATGATAGCGAAGGCTATGGCGACGACAAATCTCTCCAATCGGTTTGGAGTACATACAATATTTTCGTGGTCCTAACACCGACCCTTGAGGAACCCCGAAATCTAGTACTTTGTCATGTGAGGTGGCAGATCCGATGGCAACACACTGTCGTCGTTCACTCAGGTATGACTGTATCCAGCATAGTGCGGTATCAGTCACTCCATAAGAGTATTCCAGACGTTTATAAAGTATGCCATGGTCGATGACGTCAAATGCAGCTGACAAGTCCAGCATGACAAGCACCGCTCTGCACTTGTTATCCAATGCAGAAGCTATATCACTATGTACACGTAGGAGGGCCGTCTCAGTAGAGTGTCCCATGCGGTAGGCCGATTGCATGTTGTCATGGAGACTGTTTGCATGGAGATGAACCTCTAAACGCCGGGACACAACCTTCTCCAAGATCTTAGACAGAAAAGGCAGATTTGATACTGGGCGGTAGTTTTTCAACTCCTCCTTGTCCATTCCAGGCTTTTTTAACAATGGTCTGACATGTGCCATCTTGAAACATAATGGACCTTTGACTCAACCAATGATGTATTCATGATTGCGGTAATCAAAGGAAGCAGTGCTTCAAGACATTGCTTTAATAGGTCTGTAGGCAGTGGATCAAGCTCACATGACTTCGATTGCGAGCCCCCAGGGCCTCCATATTTCAGTAGAGCCAGAGCACACGCCTGTACTGGAAGGTCGTCTACTGAAAGGCCGCAAGGCCGTACGTAATAGCGGATGTAAAACGATCAAAATCAATCTGTATTGGCTCTTATTAAAGTGTACCCTGAACGAAAATAGAAATTAATATATTATTATTCTATATGATCCAAACACAAAAATGTCAAAAACCGCACAAAAATCGGTCATACGATTTTCACCTGTCCTTCTTATGTATTATATAATATGGCATAATCGTGACTTGTGGTGGTTTGGCCCCTATCGGCTGTGACGTCACAAGTTCAACGCCTATAGCGGTCACCATCGAAGGAATAGGCGATTATCAAGAACAGCCATGGTCATATAGAATCAGATTGCGAATTAATAATTTTTTAGTTTTGAAGAATCAGATTATGCTGAAATTAACATTATGTATATGGTATGCAGCCATATAAAATTTGCAAGAATTTCCAGACAGTGTGTTTAATGGAAACCAAACTGACGACTGAATAGGGTAACATAGACTGGTAGCATTGCATGTCCCGATCCTGAGCACTGATGAGATTTTTTTTTTCAAATGTACGAGTTTGAGGGAAATTAAACAGAAATAATCTCAATGTTATCGATCAAAGATATTTCTTAATTTTAGCTGGAAAGTCAGTTTGCAATTATTTTTTTACTCTACACAGAGACGTATATACTTTATATGTTTCTGCTCTTCAGTGAGAACTTATCCAATCATGTCGTCATTGAACAGCACTACGTCGTGACCAGTTTATGTGCCGGAATATTTATATTTGAAAAAGTTATATACTGTGGTACCTCTACGGTCCAAAAATACGGAAATATATCAGTAAAAATGTTTACAAAATAACTTCAACGTTGGTGTCTGCTGTTTTTAAATGTCAAGATTTTTAGTGTACAAATGACAAATCCACATTTTGTCTTCCGTATGTTAGGTCGACATTTCAAACATTTGATCGATACGATACGGTACCTGTGTTTGCGATGCTAAACTAGATCACGGACTTTCATAATCTAATTCCAGAATTTTATTTATCTCGAAAATATCATTGAACTCTGAGATTTTTTTGTTTGTTTCTCCCCATACATGTAGCATACACAAGTTTTAATTTAACATCTTGGTTAAATTATGAAAATCATCTCGATCCGCTCCCTTAGCATACTTGGGTATGAAATGTGTGTTCAGGTAAATATCACTAAACACCTGTGCCCAGTGCTGACAGCAGGAGGCCCAAGATACACCTATATACCTGCGTACAGGTATGACATCAAAAGGATGTCAGCAGATGGGCAAGGGGGGTCCTGAAGTTGGTATGTAGATTGGTGTAGATTATGTGTCTTCCAATTTTCAATTTAACAATAATGTCCTCAGGTGAGATAACGTGGAAAAATTAGTCAAATTAACGTAAAGACGTATATATATATATTACGTCTCTGGTATAAGGATCAATTTCAAAATAATTATGAATAAATGAAATGCGTAAGTGCTGTCACAGAGTCACATTATATGCAAACCACAATCAGTACAACTGCATCACTCGACAGATGAAAGTCAGAAACGAGCCAATTAATGCTGGACCATGCTATATATCTGATCAGGTGGTTCATTGATAAATTACTAATCTTTGTGAGACTTGAACGGACAGGTTCTCCCTCTGTAATATTCTTAGAAGTGGTTTGTGCTTAATTCCTTGGATTGCATACAGAATAAAAACGTTTTACGACTGGGAGTGAAAAAAACACGGGTTGTTGCTCATTTTGAGTATTAATTATTGTACCGGTGCATTTTTTTATCAATTCCAATCGTATATATCTACATATTGTAAAGATAGGGTGCGGTGCGCCAGAGACGTATGTATTATATACTCTGGGTGCGCCTACGTTAATTTGATCAATTTAGATCAATTGTTTTTTAATCAATTGTTTTGTGTTGTATATAGGTGTTCACCAAATTTACTAAATATCAATATCACCTGACGCGTACTGTATGTAACTCTTGTTCAAATTTATCATACACATTCAAATATTTTGTCAAATAAGTATACCTATTTGTGTAATCCTTCAAACCAGAGACGTATATATTACATAAACTTAAATCTATGTGGAGGTTTTGAAAGTAAACAGACTTTCATTTTCTCAAATTTATCATGCATTCTTGTTGCATAATAGATCGAAAGTAAGATATAATATGGTAATTGTCAACTATTTTCTTCTTAATGTGGTTGTTATGGCTGTAGTTTGCAAGAAGTCTGAATGGCATCTATATGCTATGCTTCGATGTTTAAAGAGTTTTAAAACATATCTGGTGAATCTTACTATGACTTTCATGTTCTCAAAATCATACACATAAAAATACACTCTTGTCGCATCAAAAGCAAGTTTTAACTTTTAGTGACGAGAATAAGATCTTATATCATAATTGTCAAATATTTTCTTCTTAATGTGGTTGTTATGGCTGTAGTTTGCAAGAAATCTGAATGACATCTATATGCCTCGATGCTTAAAGAGCTTTAAAACATATCTGGTGAATCTAACTATGACGATGCAGTCACGTTTTCATTCCATGTAATATAAATGTTCTTGTATTTCAATTTTGTTATAAAAGGAGACATTTGTTACCTGAAACTCGCCAAATGGATGCAATTATCAATTTACTCTTAAAAATATATCAAACAAGAGAGGTGTAATAGGCTCGGAAGGTCTTTGTACCAGGAAATCATATTTTCTTAAATATCGTTTGATAGCAGAGACTAGTCCATGATATTGGAGAAAGTTTGTGTTGGTTTGTTAAATCAAGATACATTTACACAGAAATGTTAATTTATAAGAAAAAATATAAACATACACCTCACTATATAGGTAGTTGAAGATGCATGCATCATTATTGGCAGTAAGACATATGTAACGATATTTGATTGATCCTTGAATACATTTACATGACATATAAATGCATACATATACCACCTATACCCTGCTACATCACCTATACGTCCTATACCCTCTTTGCCCTCCTACATCATCTTTACTTCCTATACCCCCTTTGCCCTCCTACATCACATTTACTTCCTATTCCACCTATACCCTCCTACATCACCTATACGTCCTATACCACCTATACCCTCCTACATCACCTATATGTCTTATACCACCTATACCATCCTACATCATCTATACCCTCTTACACCAACTATACCCTCCTACATCACCTATACTTCCTATACCTTCCTACGTCACCTTTACTTCCTATACCCCACCTACATTATCTATACCCTCTTACATCACATATACCCTCCTACATCATCTATACCTCTTACACCACCTACCCCATCATACGTCCCCTTTACTTTCTATACCTTCCTACGTCACCTTTACTTTGTATACCTTCATACGTCACCTTTACTTTGTATACCTTCATACGTCACCTTAACTTCCTATGCCACCTATACCCTCCTACATCACCTATACTTCCTAACCCACCGTTACCCTCATACGTCATCTATACTTCTTATACCACCTATACTTCCTATACCACTTATACCCTCCTACATTAACTTTATTAACTATATCCACCTATATCCCCCTACATCACCTATACTTCCTAGATCCTCCTGCATATGTACATCACATTTACTTCCTATACCACCTATACCCTCCTACATCACCTATACTTCCCTTACGACCTACACCCATCTACATCACCTACAAAGGTAACCTGAATTTACCATCTATACCCTCCTGCATTTATTTAGTTATTTTATTTAAGTTATTATGTTTATTTAATTTATTTCAATATTTTTATTTCATTTTGTTGATTTATTAATTAATTTGTTTTATTTATTTAATTTCATTATTTTTATTTCATTTAATTAATTAATTAATTTGTTTTATTTATTCAATTTATTTATTCATTGCTATTTTTTTCATTTGTGGCGGGTTTTGCCATTCGTGATTTAACCATAAACACGTTCTTTATTAGTCTTTTCAATATTTTAAATGCTTATTTGAATACTCATCACCATTTTATTAAATATTAAAAACGCATGTTCAACGCACATTCAACGCTAAAGTTAAAACGCACAACAAACAGTCAACGCACACGCAACCCAAACGCAACACAAACGGAACGCAAACGCAACGCAAACGCAACTCAAACTCAACGCAAACGCAACGGAACGCAAACGCGACGGAAACGCAACGCAATTTTGGTAAAGAAAAACGGTCCCTGGGTCTGTATCTAGTTATCGATTTATCAGTATAACCTATGAACATTCCATTTGGTTCTGAATAAGTTTCACATAAGAACCGATATCCGCTCTAATGCTGTTTTACCCGGTGGTTTTTTTTAGCTTTTATTCTGTATTTAACAAAGAATCGATAGGTTGATCCTCGGCATTGATAATGATTTGTCCAATGCAATAAATTTAAGACTCTTTTTGTTTAGCTCAAAAAAGTTGTTTTTACGCCTAAATAAAACAGATATCCATTTAAGGAAGGTAAATGATAGCTCAAAGATTTTCTTTCAAAGACGGAAGACAATTTTACGCAGAAGCATTCAAACGTAGCTTTATAATTAGTAGTGAATAGGCCATACCTATTTGAGGCCGGCCACAGACGAGATCCTTTTAGATTGCAGCGAAATTGAACATTTTGTCGAACTGAAGGGTGCGAGGAAAAAAACCCAATTACCTGTAACTGAGCGAGATCAGCTTTCTCAGTCTCGGGCTAACATTCTGTAACATCCCAACCTTTGCTAACGCCTCTGTTGGGATTATGTTACATAATCCTAGCCCTCGATTGAGATCATCTAAATTAGCTCAGTTACAGGGAATACATTTATTTGTGACTTTAAGTAAACCCGTTATACATGTCACATGTCAATTTTTACCGATATTTTGTGCTCTGGTCATCAGAAAACAATATGGCATACCATTCAGGTATTAGATCAGTATACACATGTCCTTCACTTTCCTATTGATATGTAAAGAATAATTTTGTGAGAGAAACTTTATTATACATTTAGTGTAGTAAACAACACACACTGTATAAATGGCATTACTGTTCTTACACTGAATGTACATACAATTTTATATATCGACCTGACATTACACACATCTATAATTCTGTTATATACTTTCATATACGATTATGTTCTTATTTATCCATCATAATTGTCATGTTGTACTGATTCACACGTAGCCTTTGGGATCAAACACCTAGGCCGAACCTGAGTAGACAGTACGTCATTAGGACAACTCCGAGCACCATGTTGATGAAGTTCAGTCTCAAAGCACATAGAGAGCTGGTTTTGGCATTGACCATATCTCCTTGGAACGCTGCTCTACGAGACTGAAAGAAAACACAAGTCATTTCAAACTGATGGGCTCTATTTACAAGATACAAACCAAGTTGGATATATATTACGTAATTAAACTAAAGTTACATGCTTTTTAATACGTAAAATCACAAATGCATTTCTACTCACTACTGATTTCTTCAATGAAATCAATTTTGAATTAATTAGTAAGCGTTGTTCCTCTTCAACGAGTTGTTTTTAAATTGGATTTTATTAATAATCTGCGAAAGCTAGGATAAAATTTAACTGATAGTTTTCTGCATGACTACTCACATCGTACGAAGAGATAATGGCGCATATTCCTATCGACCACACACAACACAGACAGCCACATATGGACCAGCCCAGATAATCATTAGGAGTAGAAGTCTGAAGTTCATAAGCAACAACAACAGGTTTTCGTCCTCATGGCACATTGTAAGCATGTAAGAATCATCCCCTTACTTTCTCAGGGATTTTTTTTCGCATATGATAATAACATTATTTATCGTTACTTATTTCTCAGTTTAAAACAATATGAATCGTTACAAGCACTTGGAAGTACTGTTTTCTATTCAATATTTGACGTTTGCACTATTACAGCAAAATCATATGCTTTGTATGATAGATTGGCTTGAAATGGCAAATAGGAAATGTGGATATATTTACGACTGTGGGTAGCTCAGTGCCATTAGGTTGTTGAATGGTTACGCTTGTGTCATTGGTGGGGGCGTTGTTAGTAGGATGTCCATTCTCCGTGTCTGTCATCGTGAATTAAAAAAGGTTAACAGTTATTGCGTACAGTAACAAAGGGCAATATATATACATCTATCCTTGATCTTAAGTATTGGTACATAACATATAAGTTATTCATAATATATAGGTTTTCACTATTGCATGCCATATACAGTGGGCAATACATACATATTCATCCTTGACACCTTCACATTTTTTTCACATGCTCTCATTGATTTATTATAGGTTTAAACGGTTGAGTGCTATGTATGTTTATATCTTGTTGAGTGATTTACAACATTTATTTACAACATGTTTATTATTGTAAAATTTACACATGATATTTGCGATTCATATCCAATTTCTTGTGATTTATATAATTTATTTTTATGTTATCGATATTCTAAACATTGTAAGGAAAATCAAAAATTTATTAATTTATATTTGCAGTATGACTAAATCACTTTTTTAGTAACCGCATTTTCCATTGGCTTGTTTACTTTATTTTAAGAAAAATTGGTATGTATGAAGTCCTTATACGGATACGGAGAACGAAAATTCACATTAGATGGAAAGACAATGTATAACATTAGATCATCAGCTAATGGCAGCAACAGACTTTTCTGCTACTTTCGCTTTGAAAATTTCTTAGTCGATGGAAAATTCCTGGATTTTTTGGAAGAAAATTCTTGAAATTATCCAAGATATATTCAAAATTCATCTGGAAATTTTGAATATGCATGTAAGTAGCATGATTAAAATAATACAAAACACATCATAAGATTAATCAAGAATACAAGTCACGTGATTTCGAATAATGAATATACATTACAGGACTTCCATTATAAATCAAAATTTTAATAAAAGAAAAAAGTTTCAAATATTGACAACATGCTTTGGATCCCAAATAAAATAAACTGAAGAACCAAAATCAAGTTTATCGATAAAATTGCATGTGGAACTTACCCTGTAAATTATATGGTGGCAGTGTATCATTGTCTCTATACGGTGGCGGTCTTGGGCCATCTGATATAAAGGAATAAAATGTCCATGTAAATCTCTCATTTGTTCATGTTTTGCCCTAGTTTTAATCAATTTTGAGTTCAAATCATGGTTTGGCTGTTTTTTCACTTCCTTGGTACGTTGATTAGAATGTTATTAATGCTATTGAATAAATGATATAATAACCTTTGCGTATTTACTTTGTCTGCGTCAGCTTTTTTTTAATAATTATACCACATTGCGCGCCTTACATCGCCCTAATGGCCTGAGTATTGTGCCATACTCATTCACCCCTCAAATTTCATAATGACTATTCCAATCATTGAATTGGAAAAGTTCAAATGTGTGTTCCGGATTGAGTGAGTTAAAGGTATGGTGGGCGAAGAGCAATGCTTACCAATTTGCATTGACGTCACACTCTGATAACATGCCGGGCGATCTCCCCACGTGTACTGTGCGTTTCCTTCGTCTGTAGGCGGAAAATATGGCGGAGGACAGTCAGCACTACGATCTAATTTAAAATAACAAAGACAGATGGATACACATGTACACAAAACTCGTATAAACTTTATATTAAGCCAGAGTCTCCACAGGTCTTGACACCAGTCTTAAACATTTTGACAAATATATGTCTATTATATCATTGTGCCAGGGTCAGAGGAAACTCTGACTACTTCAAACATTATATCGACTCAGTTGAAGATAGAACGGAAACATATTTAATTTGACAATACGTAGCTTAATCGAACTACTATTGATTATTAGGCGTGATTGCAAATTTGTATCTTTCCATTGATCGCAAATTTATAAGTTTTGAAGATAATTAATAACCCATTCACACAGGATATTGACCTTTGGGCCTTTTATGAGGCCTTAAAACGTGTCAGGTTGCCGTTGGAAACCGCAAGGTTCTCTAGGTCGTTTAAAGGTAGCATACAGGATTTTCAGACATGGTCATGGACGCCATGGTAGCCGTAAATGTTTTGAACATGTCCAAAACAGTCGCACAAAGGTAGCCGGAGAGGTTGGTTGTTAAAGTTGGCTCAAATGAGGCAGAAGGGAGGCCGAACATTGCCTTGGCTGCATAATGGATGCACGATGTTCGGCAAATGGTCGCCATCTAAATTTTTCTGTCAATCTGGGTGATGCTTTTGCCTCCCTTGTGCCTCCTTGGTAGCCGATGATGGAATAGAGGAGGTACATAGTAGGTACAATGTTTACCCAAACATTGCTTGGGGTCGTCTATGTTGCTAGTGGACGCACAGGTTGTACATAGCTCGACATTGAAATGCCCGACAATTGCAGTTTTGGTGTTTCAAGAGCCGCAATTCTGACCTCAGCGCGTAAGTCTACGACGTCATATACTTGTCCTTGGCGTGCCGTCTCAATTGAAACATACAACCAATCAAAGGGCTGATAGGTCATATTATATCGGTTAATACGCAAACATATCTGACATGGTTATATTCACTGGATATCAACTTAGGTGATAGATACGATCTTTAACCCTATTCTTCTCACGTTTTGTTGATATCTTCATGTCAAAAACACATATAAGAGCATAATTTTTTGATGTAATTAAGTTAGTAATTAATTGATAAGGAAAAGAGGAAACATCAAAGACAAAAAGGAAAGAGACAGCGTGAACTCCCCCGAAAAAAATCTATCATTGATAAATATGAAATTCATTGTGAAGTATAGCGACACTTTTAACTTCGAGATCGTTTATATACTCGCTGGAGTCAGTGTATTTCCTATCGTGTTTATCGGAATCCATTTTTTATTATCGTCATGATCGTACGTACCTGCTTGCAGCAGAGACGGAGACCCGGGGCAGGAGTCCTCATTAGGAAACTGGTGGTATTCAGACATTGCTGAAATTAAAAATTACTCTCCATTCTTTTGACATCATTACCTTTCATAACGACGGAACGTGTTGAAGTCATTCAACCTTCAAGCTCCAATCCGTAAAGTTATGGTGGCAATGCACTCTAAACAAAATATCTCCCTATGTGATTCACCCAGTGAATTGTCCAGAAACATACGAACATGTGACAAGATACCACGGAGGACCGATTGTCAGAACATAAGTGGAAGAGACAGAACGTTTACGACCACTAAAAGACTGAACACCAGTGGAAGAGATAGAACGACCGACGAAGGACAGTATATTTGAACACCAATGGAAAGATGAAATAAACATGAAGGAAACACTTGTAGGGTATACACTTATGAAAGACTAAGTGGTAAACATTCATGACCAGAGTTCCAAGTTACGCATGCCAAAGTATACATATACACATGATGATGATGATGATGATGATGATGTACACACCCAAACATAATGACGAGATTCACACATACGCATGATGACAATTTAAACACATACACATGATGATGATTTATACACATGATGTCGATGTACACCCACACACACACACTCACACACATACACACATGATGAAGATGTAAATACATACACATGATGACAATTTACACACATACACATGGTAACGATGTACACTCTAAAACATGAAGTAGATGTTCACACATACACTTCATAAAAGAGATACACACATACACATGCTGGCAATGTACACACCTACACGTGATGACGATTTACACACATACACATGATGACGATGTACACACATATACATGACGACGAGGTACCAACATACACATGATGACGATGTACACACATACACATGACGACGAGGGACACACATACACATGATGACGAGGTAAACACATACACATGATGACGAGGTACACATACACATGATGAAGTGGTAAACAGTTACACATGACAAAATGGAGCACAACATGCAATCGTCTGAATTATCATTTAAGGTGATAAAATATTTCAGAAGAATCATCCAAAAACATCATCTTGAATTCAGCTATACATACCTGTTTTGAAATGACTGGAAAAAATGGAGTAACTCAGAATAATTTATGCTGTTTTTGCGTAGTAATCATCACAGCGGCACTGTACTTGTTGATCATTCCACTCCGTTATAAACAATACAGCTCTGTGTCAAGAGTCCATGCAGAAAAGGATTAATTAGTGTGTCATGGCTCTCACGTAAACAGTTATCATTTAATAGGATTGATGTAATGATATATAGAGTGTATCGTATCTCTTCACTATACGACTAATTATATGTGATGAATTATATTATAATGGCAATAAATACGTAATGTAACATTTCAGAGAATCGTATTGATTTCCACGTTTCCAGGATATAAACATTTAAACTTATCATTCTTATAACACTTATGCTTGTGGAACATATTCCGAGGTCTGTAACATCATGTAATGAAATAATGACTTTGAATACTAAAGAGCTCCGTACTGCTGTGTTTGGTATGTCTCTTCAAATTATTGTATCACAGGATTTTATAATGTAACAATGACATTATCGAGTAAATCGTATCGTTTTAGTACAAAACTATAATGTTTGCCATATTTAGATAATGTGAAAGATTTCACCTTCCTGAATTGTTTTATCCTCAAAGCAATCCAAAATTCAATTTTTACTGTGATACTGCATGATCCGCACATTGTTTTGTAAATTGTATTGATACTCGACAGACAGAAATTCTTTATTTCTCCCTTTTCTTCATGAATTTCGAATTCATCATATACGATGCAGTATTGAAATCTTACACGATTCAATTGTCATGGATGTTATGGTTATGTAACTTAGGTATCGAGTATCAGACCCACATCAGGCACCAGCACAGGTAGCGATACATGTGTTGTGAAGCACACGTTTTTCTTAACTAACCCGTGCACCTGTTCAATCTCTCACCCCCTCTGTCCGATTTACCTGGCCTGTCGTCACTCCGTCACTGGCTGTACAGGTGAACATTCTTTAGTTTTCTATATAACTTCGTGGTGATTAATATTAAGTGTGAATCGGTGTGCGAATGGTGATTGTGTATCTATGTATTTGCAGGTCTATCGACCTAATAAATATGGAATAACCAATGACCTGTCTTGCATCATTTTTGGCATGGAACAAAATAATACTGAAATGTATATTGATGACACCACAATATAAAACAAAAAAGAATAAAGTTTTATTTTCGTAAGTGACGTTAATTATGCAAGGAGTTATATAATATCACCCATGTCCCAAAGCTTTTACGATATTGTTTTGTTAACGCCACTCCATAAATTAATTATAAAGTCGTTTAGCAATCCAAGTGACGAAATGTATCTTTATCAATTAAGATGAAAGCACAAACATTACCTTTGCCCTGTCGATCACATAGTATTGTGTAAACATTTGACCCCTTTGAACACATAGTCGCCATTCGTTGGATTCTGCTCTCGTGACACCTCGAGAATTCACGGTTTCTACCCTGCATCTGGTGAGATAAGTAGCAGCCGGAAAAAGGCTTCGCACGTTAATAATCTTAACCGCAGTTTTTACATTTAGCTACGGTGAGTTTATGACTTTGTCTCAAGCAATTTTATTGTTACGTGGTATGACTTTTACTAGTAGGAAAATAACCGGTCTTTTATTGTCGAAACATGTATGGTCAGCATTCCACACTTCTGGTTTAGTTATATCCGGCTAGTTAGGGTTATAATCATACAATTCACAACAGTTGCAAATAAACAAACCCGATATCACATTTGTAATTTTTCTGTATTTACACATTTAAACTGCATGTTTTAGAATATTTGAAACAAAAATTCTCGTAGAGGTTTTGTCAGATACTTTTCTACGATAATGTTTCAATAATGTTTCTATAATGTTTCTATGAAGTTTCATCACTTAAGTAGGTGTCAATTAATAGCACAATAATCCCGTCTCAGATTATTTACTAAGCAGGGTGACCTAGTATAGCTGTAGAACCGGGATTAACGTAATTCTATATAATAATAAGAAATTGTTCATGTATGACTATTGACAGCAGGATTAAGCAACAGATACATATTTTGTATGATCTTTATATACAAATTACAGGTGGCCGAAATGTACATATAATTTCAATATTATATACATAAGTATGGATAAACTTTGCGCCATGCTTTCAACTTACCAATATATTAATCAAGTGATATTCAGATATGAAATTGTTCTAAACTTGCCTAATAATGTCTTTAGAAGTCTTTCAAAGTCACTCGTTATCAATATGTCCTCCTTTCTACTAATCATGATAAGATAGAGACAGCCTTATTTTACTACACGTCGATGTAAATCAGTGCAATGCAACGTTATTCAAGGTTCGCCAATATAATATCTCCTATGTTCCAAAGTAACGATACAAATCACGACCACAGCCAACACAATTGACAGAAACAGATTTAATATGTTGATGGCTTGGACTGCCTTTGTCCCATTTGATGATTTGGCCAATGCTGCGTCTGTAAAAGATTGACATCGCATGCTAATGAGAGAGATAACCATCGCGGCTACTAGGCAGAGATTGAAGATATATACTCCTATGGCGCACACTGCTGCAATTCCTGCCCCGTAAGGATAGCCTTGATTCTTGCAGACATGAACCTAGACAGAAAAATGAATCATTGATTCACCTTATTATTTGCAATGCAACGTATAATAATAATAATACTTAAAGAGAGATAATTGTAAAAATAAGCATTCATTGTGAAAAACAAATAGGAAAATATTCTGTCAACTTAGCAAAATACACCGAATTCGATCCGTTCATGGCTTGTTCCGACAGTAAATGATAATTCAGGTAATGACAACATCTAAAAACATTTTATTAAGAAATTCTGTACCACAGTTTGGTCGATAAAGTAAAATCTTTATACGTTTGACTACATATAAAATACCCTGGAAATCATATTAACAGTCAATCGAGGACATGGGAAGTTATAAAATTAACTACTATGAAATAGTTATTTAATATTGATTTATTTATATATCAATATTTAATAACTCAAATACGTTTTCTTTACTTGACCAAAGTATTTCAGGATACAATTTCAAGGAGATTACTTCATGACTTATGCTTCGATATACACACAATATAAATCCCAACGGTAAAAAATATTTTCCAAGTGTTACCTATTTCTATGCACTAATGATTTCTAAAGATGGTTCTTACTAGGAAAGTTAGTCACATAACAAAGATTACGGTAAACAGTGATGAATATTAAGGAAAATTTTATATTAATTTCTTATACATGTTACATATAATGTAAAATTACAAATGTTATCGGTAGTCTTATCTTAGCGCTTTTCGCGCCTTAAATATTGCGCTTAATTATGACTGCGTCAAATGAATTGTTTGCTATTACATATTTTGTGGATGCCCCAACTGATCAATGCGCTAATCTGTTAAAACTCGTTAATGTGCGAACATTTGATTGCGCTATAATAAGAAATTTTGTTAGGATTTCAGACTTTATCTTTTTCATTTAGTTTAAGCCAGGCTCAAAATATAGGCGGAAGTCATTTGTTCTGTTGACTGTTTCACTGTCCTGTCGGGTTTGTCGTAAATGATAGCGACTTTGACAAGAATTAGATCTATTTTTCCACGTTTGAATTTGTATCAACTTTTGATGATTACTTACCTATAATATTTGACCACGACTTATTTTCATGAACTTACCGATATTATTGAAACAGCAGCACAAAGGACAATTGGCAGCGTACAGCAGAGGAAACGCCATATAGATATTCGAAAGGCTAGTGCGTTGGACTTCGGCTAAAATGTGAACAAAATCAGGCATCTCATTTTACAGCTTTTAAAACATTACAACTGCCAATTGTCAATACAGGAATTGGTAAAATGGCGATAAATGATACTTTGATTTAAACTCTATATCACATTTAATTTTACTGATTTCCATTGAATAAATAACACAAATTCAACAAACAATGACAAAGTAGAACTGTTTAACGTTATCCGAAACATACTGTGATAATTGCATAATTGAATGAAAACAACGTTGTGAAACAGTATATTTAAACTTAACGAATAGGATTAATGAACTACCGTATCGCCTGAGGGATTTCCCTCTGCACCAACGACCTGAAGAGGCACTTCTTGCATGTCACTTGCACAGTCCAGCAGTTCGTCAGATATTATAGCTAAGAAATACACAGAAACACAACATAGTTTACATGTTATATATACCCTTTTTACTAAAAAAATCACTATCTTTTACTATATCATAATAAAAATCATTTATTTCCTGCTTGTCTTTTTTATTGTGATGTTAACGTTAAACATATTCAATATTGAAGAATTTATATGTATTTGAAACAAATATACTTCACTTATACTTAGGCAAGAGGCAAGTGAAAATGTAGTGGTACATAGGTAGCAGTATACAGCAGAAATGGCCCGACTCTGATAAACAAGGCACATATCGAGGAAATGTAAACACAGCGGATTTACCCTACACAACACTTGTATAGATGTATATATATTTGTAAACTGCATTACATTTACAATACATATAAAGTACTGAGAAGTATATAAACCTCTTTTTTTCTATGTATGTCACTTGTGTGAAAACCATGCTTACCACATCAAAAATTACCAAAAAATGCCAAAAAATGCTATTTTTGACCCAAATTTTGACCCCCGCAACTAGTAATTTTTTTCCTAAGTTCTATCTAAAATTAAAGATTACCTTTCTGGTTGCAGAGTTATCTGGGTCCCAGTAAAGTTGTAAAACTTGATTTTTTGCAATTTTGCGTCGTGAGCTGTTGTCAAAATTGTACCTCCTGTAAAGCTAGCTTTTCATGTGCAGGCACCCTTTCGGATTATGGCCAAATTTTATTCTCGAACCAAAAAAATCTTTTTTTTTTTTACAAATGTGAAGCTCACATAGCCCACTTCATCATGCTTATACCAATTTTAGTACAGTTTTATTTTTATAATTTTTTTACATATCATTATAAAGGGGTTAGCCATTTAACAAAAATATCACCCATGGCCACAACCCTCTACTGTATACTGCTACCATAGTATTGATATTTGTTTCTTAGCTATTTGGTAGCTTTATATAGATTGTATTTGTGAGTATGATAAATATAACAGTTGGTCTATGAGACTAGATAGACTGTACATGAATGAGAACAATAATTTAATCCTCTACAAAGGTTTATTCCCTGAATAACAACGTAATGATTCAGACAGGATTTTATTAATTTCTTATATCACGAACATGTAGTTTGAGTGTGGCAATCCGTAAAAATACCGTTAAAGCGTAAGTAGACCCTAATGAGGTAACACTGTGAGACCATATAATAGTTAGCAGGTTTTGTAATGCGCACCCAGCAATATTTTTGTCTCCGTCAGACAATTACCACGTCAGTCGAGTAGCTACCTGTACGCTAGTACGGTGGTGAATCCACCAAAATAAACCACTGGTTGTGGCGTACAGAAATTATGTAACCTGATACTTTATTTCATTGTAGAAAGCAATTACTTCTTGCGATTTACCCTCTGGAAAATTATCCTGCTTCCGGCCTCCTTGACCCCTGCCTTGGACCTGCTCCTAAATTAATCCCTGCACGTCGTCTCGGTAGTTTCTTATGTACAAACATGTATTTTGTATTTGCCATGTTTTCGTGTATGTGTGTACTACTGTGGATGTACGATGCATGTGTTGGTCACAATAGTCTATATATATGATACATATGTTTAAAGCATGTTACTACTCATTACATGAATAGATCGGAGATAGGATTGCCGGTAACCGTATACATAGATTCACCTCTTATCTCAATTCGATTTTATTTTTCAAATAATGGTCGCGTGGGCTCACGTTTTCGAATGATTATTACATGTTACAACATTGTGTGAAGGAGGACATTACAAAAGTATAAGCTTATAAAATAGTGTATGTCGTATTAAAATTAATGTGAAAGGACAGAAAAAGAAATATGTTAGAGATAATTTTGGTTTCCATAAAAACTGGATTTATCTAAATATAGACAACAATCTCACTTTCATAAATGTAGCTACAATTCAGGTGTAAAGCGGCAAACAGAATCATGAGTTTTTGTTACTAATTGATGTGAAAGCGATCTGGTGAGATATATATTGAGCTACCATTGACTTATGAATGCAATGTTTCTAATCATCAAAGGATGTTAGATTTTTAGTCAATAACGATGTGTTACTAATGAGCTTCGAGTTTGAGGTGTGATCTAGTGAACTGTACTATTATGTAATTAAAGTTATATCACGATTCAATTATCTATGTTTGTTATGTTTCGAGAGAGCTTTGATATAATGTTATTAGTGAGCTACCAGTATTGTCACAAGTAAGCTATGTTTATTGTCTCTAGTGAGCTCTGTGTATTCTTTCTAGTGATCTACATGTATCAATTTTCGTGCTAGCTTTTGGTATTTTGTTACGGGTGAGCTATGAGCATTTTGTTGAATGTGAGCTGTAGCAATATGTTTTCTAGTGAGTTATAATTAGAATATTACTACTGAGCTATTCACATTAAGTTACTAATGAGCTGCAAGCATTACAGTATGTTGGTAATCAGCTGCGAGTGTTGTTTTGCATTTGTACCAAGGATAGTATAAAACAAAATGGTTTGTGAGTAGTGTATTACTTTGATCTACGGGTATTATATTATAGTGAGTTATGCATGTTCAATTGTTATATGATTGTTCTGCTGCTAGTGAACTATGAGAATTATGCTAAAAGTGAAATCATTTCAAGCTTCAAAGATACGTTTTGAAGAAATGTATCCTGAAAATAAACAAAACAATTATAGATCATAATTTATCAGTAATATTCTGTGTTATCTGTTTATTTTTATGTAATATTGTAATTCAATATTTGAAAAAAGACGAGAAATAAAATAAAGCAGATACAAAAATTGGTGAACAATATAAAGATATGAGACATATCGTAATATTAAATTGATAACCAGGTCAGCGGGCCTCACTTTTAAATTATTAGTAACTGTGGACATGGGCATATGTGTTTATCTCTGTTTTTTATTCTTTACTTACATACTTAGTACATATAGAGAGAAGCGACTTACACGCATGTTGAATACCTTTTGTACATGTGAACTGTATGACAGAGTATTGAACATTCCATACATATTTTACGTACAATGTACCGTCAAACCTCCGGGCTAATTTTCTAAATTATGAATGGCGCTATATAAATGATGAAAATGTTTAGTATTGCTGTCTATGCTATTACAGTAGTGATGACACAAACAAAAAAGCTTTTATGCCAACAATGAATCGAAAGATATCAATATTTAATTTTATAACTATATACATATGTTTAGTTTGATACTTATAGGTAATTAACACTGTGCTATGAAAGTTATCCAATTACATGATATGTACGTGGACTTCGGCTCCAAAATGAAGGTAATCCAATCACATGACATGTACCCGGACTTATGCTCCAACAAAATGAAAGAAATCCAATGCCATGATATGTACCCAGACTTTGGCTCCAACAAAAGAGAAGGTAAACTAATCACAGGATATGTACCTTGTCTTTGGCTCAAACAAAGGATAAAGTTATCCAATCACATGCTTTGTAGGTGGACTTCATCTCCAAAAGGAAAGTAATCCAATACCAAGATATGAACCTAGTCTTTGGTTCCAACAAAGGATACAGTTATCGAATTACATTATTTGAACCTGGACTTCAGCTCCAAAGGTAAGATAATCCAATCACATTATATGTTCCTAGACTTTGGCTCCAACGAAGGAGAAAGTTATCCAATCGCATGATATGCACGTTGAGTTCAGCTCAAAAGGGAAGGTAATCCAATCACATGATATGCACCTGGATTTCGGTCCAACAAAAGGCAAAGTAATCTAGTCACATGGTATGTACCTGGACTTTCGCTCCAAAGGGGAAAGACAGCTACATACCATAACGATAAGATGAATACTTAAGGCTGTGAAACAGCATATTTATATTAAACGATAATATAGCTAAGAAAAACACAGAGGATTTCGAACGGATGATAGGATGATTATCACCTAGAAGATTTGTTTGGGGGATTGACGTGGTTTGAGGCATCAAAGGGAGAAGTTAGCATGATGACATGAACAAAGATATTTTGGGGCTCGTGAGCATGCTGATGTACCTGGAATTTGGACCCAACAAATCGGAAAGTTATCCAATCAAATGATATGTACTTGGACTCCAGCTCCAAAAGGAAGGTAATCCAATCACATGATATGTACCAGGATCAAGTTTTACTAAACGTTGTAAGTCTACACGTAGACGTAAGCGTAACTTATGTGTAATACAAGTTACACTAAAGGTCGTAACGTAAAGTTACGTCTGTATTTACGTGTAAGTCTACGCCTGCCCTTATGTACACGTAAGATTAAACGTAACTTATGTGTAATACAAGTTTCACTAAAGGTCGTAACGTAAAGTTACGTCTGTATTTACGTGTAAGTCTACGTCTGCCCTTATGTACACGTAAGATTAAACGTAACTTTGAACAACAACACACGATGTCCTTGATTTTTATTTTGCCACGGAATATCAATAAAGCGAACATAAGAAGAGAATAGCTTTTCGTGCGTGGAGTCAGCCGTTAGATATGTTCAGAGTTGAAGAATTTATTAGCATGAATACGTTTACATTCAAAAGTACAGCCACTATGGTGCTTTGTGAGACGGACTTAGGGTAAACATAAATAAAATCCTAACTCCATTTACGTCAACGTTTACGTCTACGTTTACGTGTAACTTTACGACTTTTAGTGAAACTGGGTCCTGGACTTCGGCTCCAACAAAGGTGAAAGTAATCCGATCACATGATATGTACCTGGACTTTAGCTCCAAAAAAGGGGATGGTTATCTTGACTTCGGCTTCAACATAGGGGAACGATAACTACATGACATAACGATAAGATTGGCGCTAAGGGCAAAAGCTGATTTTGAACGGACCATAGGAGGATTTTTACCTGGAAGGAGGGGTATTATTTGGTCAACAAGTTGGGAAGTAAGCGCGCGATAAAAGGCGGCTGTTAGAATGCCGATGCGTCGATACGTACCTAGGGGTTAAAAATTGGAATATAAGCATGGTGACATGGCGATACATACCTTGCATGACTTCAGGAGGAGTGAACATATGCATTTCGAATATTCAATGGTTCGTCTGTTAAAATAACGTCGTTACCTATAATATAATAATGGATAATTAATTGAAATGATGACAATGTTGTGTATTTATCCATGCTAAACTAACGGTTGAGCAATACTTTCATACAAGGATCAGAAAGACAAAATTTTAACTAAAGAAATTGTTTTGACTGAACGAATATATACATCAGAATGTTAAATAGATACTTATAATATTTATTGAAATATATTGCAACTCACGCTGAGAGGAAAGTTCTTGGCATACACTAAAGGAAAGACTATTGACATTTCAGTAAGACAATGATATCGTTTTTGAAAAATCTGATTATCAAAAGGTAGATCGATTCATTGTTTGTGTTGTGAAATACACGAAACAAATCAAAAGGTTGTATTACAAATTATTCTTGTTTTCACTATGATGTATAAACCCTAGGTGTGTTACCTTTCATGCCGACAATAGATATGTTACAAAGGCAGTGTTATCCATAAAGTTATGCTACCCATCACACAGACTATAGCCTTAACACATAAAGTTATGTTACCTATCACATTGACTTTAGACAAAACACATAAAGTTATATTACCTATCACACAGACTATAGCCTTAACAGATAAATTATGTTACCTATCACACAGACTGTAGACATAACACATAAAGTTCTGTTACCTATCACATTGACTATAGCCTTAACACATAAATTATGTTACCTATCACACAGACTGTAGACATAACACATAAAGTTATGTTACCTATCACATTGACTATAGCCTTAACACATAGGGTTATGTTACCTATCACACTGCCATTAGTCTTAACACATAAAGTTATGTTACCTATCACACAGCCTATAGCCTTAACACATAAAGGTATGTTACCTATCACACAGACTATAGTCTTAACACATAAAGTTATGTTACCTATCACACAGCGTATAGTCTCAACACATAAAGTTATGTTACCTATCACACAGACTATAGTCTTAACACACAAAGTTATGTTACTTATCACACAGACTATAGCCTTAACACATAAAGTTATGTTACCTATCAAACCGACTATAGCCTTAACACATAAAGTTATGTTACCTATCACACAGACTATAGCCTTAACACATAAAGTTATGTTACCTATCACACAGACTATAGCCTTAACACATAAAGTTATGTTACCTATCACACAGACTATAGCCTTAACACATAAAGTTATGTTACCTATCACACAGACTATAGCCTTAACACATAAAGTTATGTTACCTATCACACAGACTATAGCCTTAACACATAAAGTTATGTTACCTATCACACAGACTATAGCCTTAACACATAAAGTTATGTTACCTATCACACAGACTATAGCCTTAACACATAAAGTTATGTTACCTATCACACAGACTATAGCCTTAACACATAAAGTTATGTTACCTATCACACAGACTATAGCCTTAACACATAAAGTTATGTTACCTATCACACAGACTATAGCCTTAACACATAAAGTTATGTTACCTATCACACAGACTATAGCCTTAACACATAAAGTTATGTTACCTATCACACAGACTATAGCCTTAACACATAAAGTTATGTTACCTATCACACAGACTATAGCCTTAACACATAAAGTTATGTTACCTATCACACAGACTATAGCCTTAACACATAAAGTTATGTTACCTATCACACAGACTATAGCCTTAACACATAAAGTTATGTTACCTATCACACAGACTATAGCCTTAACACATAAAGTTATGTTACCTATCACACAGACTATAGCCTTAACACATAAAGTTATGTTACCTATCACACAGACTATAGCCTTAACACATAAAGTTATGTTACCTATCACACAGACTATAGCCTTAACACATAAAGTTATGTTACCTATCACACAGACTATAGCCTTAACACATAAAGTTATGTTACCTATCACACAGACTATAGCCTTAACACATAAAGTTATGTTACCTATCACACTGACTATAGCCTTAACACATAAAGTTATGTTACCTATCACACAGACTATAGCCTTAACACATAAAGTTATGTTACCTATCTTACAGACTATAGCCTTAACACATACAGTAATGTTACCTATCACACAGACTATAGTCCTAACACATAAAGTTATGTTACTTATCACACAGACTATAGCCTTAACACATTGGTTATGTTACCTATCACACCGACTATAGCCTTAACACAAAAAGTTATGTTACCTATAACACAGACTATAGCCTTAACACATAAAGTTATGCTATATATCTTACAGACTATAGCCTTAACACATACAGTAATGTTACCTATCACATAGACTATAGTCCTAACACATCAAGTTATGTTACTTATCACACAGACTATAGCCTTAACACATTGGTTATGTTACCTATCACACCGACTATAGCCTTAACACAAAAAGTTATGTTACCTATCACACAGACTATAGCCTTATGATACCTATCACACAGACTATAGCCTTAACACATAAAGTTATGTTATAGATCTTACAGACTATAGCCTTAACACATACAGTAATGTTACCTATCACACAGACTATAGTCCTAACACATAAAGTTATGTTAGTTATCACACAGACTATAGCCTTAACACATACAGTAATGTTACCTATCCCACAGACTATAGTCCTAACACATAAAGTTATGTTACTTATCACACAGACTATAGCCTTAACACATAAAGTTATGTTACCTATCACACAGACTAAAGTCTTATGTTACCAATCACACAGACTATAGCCTGAGCACATAAAGTTATGTTACCTATCACATTGACTATAGCCTTATGTTACCTATCACAAAGACTATAGCCTTAACACATAAAGTTATGCTACCTATCACACAGACTATAGCCTGAACACATAAGGTTATGTTACCTATCACACATACTATAGCTTTAACACATAAAGTTATGTTACCTATCACACAGACTATAGCCATAACACATAAAGTTGTGTTACCTATCACACATACTATAGCCTTAACACATAAAGTTATGTTACCTATCACACATACTATAGCCTTAACACATAAAGTTATGTTACCTATCAAACTGACTATAGCCTTATGTTACCTATCACACAGACTATATTCTGAACACATAAAGTTATGTTACCTATCACACAGACAATAGCCTTAACACATAAAGTTATGTTACTTATCACACAGACTATAGCCTTAACACATTGGTTATGTTACCTATCACACCGACTATAGCCTTAACACAAAAAGTTATGTTACCTATCACACAGACTATAGACTTAACACATAAAGTTATGTTATATATATCACAGACTATAGCCTTAACACATACAGTAATGTTACCTATCACATAGACTATAGTCCTAACACATCAAGTTATGTTACTTATCACACAGACTATAGCCTTAACAAATTGGTTATGTCACCTATCACACCGACTATAGCCTTAACACAAAAAGTTATGTTACCTATCACACAGACTATAGTCTCAACACATAAAGTTATGTTACCTATCACACCCCCTATAGCCTAAACACATGATGTTATGTTACCTATCACACAGACTATAGCCCTATGTTACCCATCACACAGACTATAGCCTTAACACATAACGTTATGTTACCTATCACACAGACTATAGCCATAACACATAAAGGTATGTTACCTATCACACAGACTATAGACATAACACATACAGTCAGGCTACCTATCACACAGACTATAGCCTTAACACATAAAGTTATGTTACCTATCACATTGACTATAGCCTTATGTTACCTATCACACAGACTCCTTACCACATAAAGGTATGTTACCTATCACACAGACTATAGTCTGAACACATAAAGTTATGTTACCTATCACACAGACTATAGCCTTAACAGATAAAGTTAAGTTACCTATCACACATACTATAGCCTAAACACATAATGTTATGTTACCTATCACACAGACTATAGCATTAACACATAAAGTTATGTTACCTATCACATTGACTATAGCCTTATGATACCTATCACACAGACTCCTTTACACATAAAGGTATGTTACCTATCACATAGACTATAGCCTTAACACATAAAGTTATGTTGCCTATCACAGAGACTATAGCCTCAACATATAAAGTTATGTGACCTATCACACATACTATAGCCTTAACACCTAAAGTTATGTTACCTATCACATTGACTATAGCCTTATGTTACAGTTATGTTACCTATCACACAGACTATAGACATAACACATACAGTCAGGCTACCTATCACACAGACTATAGCCTTAACAGATAAAGTTATGTTACCTATCACCCATACTATAGCCTAAACACATAATGTTATGTTACCTATCACACAGACTATAGCCCTATGTTACCCATCACACAGACTATAGCCTTAACACATAAAGTTGTGTTACCTATCACACATACTATAGCCTTAACACATAAAGTTGTGTTACCTATCACACTAACTATAGACATAACACATAAAGTCATGCTTCCCATCACACAGACTATAGCCTTAACACATAAAGTTATTTTACCTATCACACAGACTATAGCCTTAACCCATAAAGTTATGTTACCTATCACACAGACTATCACACAGACTATAGCCATAACACATAAAGTTGTGTTACCTATCACACTAACTATAGACATAACACATAAAGTCATGCTTCCCACCACACAGCCTATAGCCTTAACACATAAAGGTATGTTATTTATCACACAGACTATAGCCTTAACACATAAAGTTATGTTGCCTATCACAGAGACTATAGCCTCAACATATAAAGTTATGTGACCTATCACACATACTATAGCCTTAACACCTAAAGTTATGTTACCTATCACATTGACTATAGCCTTATGTTACCTATCACACATACAATAGCCTTAACACATAAAGTTGTGTTACCTATCACACTAACTATAGACATAACACATAAAGTCATGCTTCCCACCACACAGCCTATAGCCTTAACACATAAAGGTATGTTACCTATCACATTGACTATAGCCTTATGTTACAGTTATGTT